GCTGCTCCACGTTCTCTTTGCTCGGTCTGTTCGAGGATCGCCCTAATGTCCCCGAGAGAGAGAGAAAAAAAGAGAAAATGTCTTATACAAAATTCTTTTAATTAAAAATCAATTGACTCTTAATGATAGCTTAATGATAGGCGTTTAAATATTCTAAAACTATGGGACTTGTTTGGACGCGGCGAGCCGGGACGTTAATGTGCGAGTAATTTACTAATCTATTTCACTATATAAATCGATACGCGTCTCGATCCAACCTTGGATTGGAGTCCTCTTCAACGTCTACAGTGTAGCCGCGTGCAAAATATTTCATATCACGTTGTTATTTTATTTATTGTCAGACTCTCCGGAGAGTCGCGTATGAGCGCGATTAAGTTTGTTCGAACAAACACGAGGTGTTTGATTGTCAGGTGCGGAGTCAAATGTGTTTATCGCGCGGGAAGAAGGGGGACGAGTACAGTTATATGTAGGACATTTGAGAGCAATCTTTTGTCGAAACGCACGATTCTCTTCTCTTGTCCTCGGAGCGAACGTATTCTCTCGTATAACAGGACGCGGAGATCGTCACGCGAACGAAGAAGAAGACGAACCGATTCCACACAGGCCGGACGAAACCTCTAATCTGAAAGTCGAGCTGAAATTTCATGGTCGGGGTCCTCCCGGGCAGCCATTAACGACGTTTTCCTTCCACGTTCGTTTCCTCCTCTCTCTCTTTCACTCGCTCGCGGACGAGAGCATGTATGTATGTGTGCGCGCACGTACGTGGCCGTGATGCGTCTTTAGGCGTGCTGAGGATAGACGAGGGACCCTTAATCATCGTCCCATCCCTCCGTCAAGATGAATCGTGCATTTGTATACCCGCACCCCTTTCGCTCTCCCGATGTCTCTGTCTTCGTTCCCGCGTTCCTTGACTCGCTCCGGCTATTTATCTCTGTCGTATCCTCTCTTCTCACTTTCTCTCTCTCTCTCTCTCTCCTTCATTTCAAGAGGAAGGAAAGAGTCACCCCTGACTCGCCGCGGCGCTTTGTCTATTCTCGAACGAGTCTAAGAACAGTTAGGTCGCCTCGCTGTCTTGGTATCGAAAGGGGGTTGCGTGGGTCTCATAATGTGCCTGCAATTCTCCGCACAATCACGCCGGACGTACCCTTTTCCACACTTAATTCGTTGTAACAACGACCAAACCCCAAATCTTGTTCGCTCATTTGGGATTTTTTTTTTTGATTCCACATCTCTATCCATCTCTTTCTCGAATTTCTTTTTCTATCAAAAGATTTCTATCGAAAACTTAACGGAACGATCAAAACAAATTAAATATCTAAATTCTTGCTTTCTCTCTCTCTCTCTCTCCATCTCTATCTATTTTTCATGTGACATTACAGTTGTCTGTAAAATTCGCGTGTAAAGTTTAATAGTTTTCGCGGCGCCGCGTGACGAGAGTTGCGATCTGTCGGATTATTTTATATCGCGTTAATGAGATTCCAGCTGCAATCTGTCGCGTCACGCGGCATTACTCAGATATTCTTCGTTTCCGGTTTTAGATCTCTCCGCAGATGTTCGACGAGCACGTTTGCGGTCAGAACCCGTAAGAACCGAGAGATCAAGACACGCTTCACGTGGTGGTCCTCTCGTATTACCGATACGGCGCGCGCGCAATACAACCGCCAACCGGTCAATTTTGAAATCCTATTTTTTCTCGCGACGAAATTATGTGTTTTGTACATTTTTGTTTTGCAAAAGAATTTTTCTCAGTAATTTTCACAAGCCCGATCCCAGCTGCATAAAAATTTCACACAGCGGCGAGTAATCATATCTCACGGCTAAAAGCTATGTTGAAACAAATATGAGCGCGTCGCTCGGGGCTTTTTGTTACTTATTTATTTCGAACGAAAGGACACGCTACACGTTCGAACGTATCAAATCCGAAACTAAATTTATTGGAAATGAACACCGCCATTTTTCTCGCCTGACGTATATATATCCTGTAGTCTTTAAAGTCTCGTATATTGCGCAGAGCTCGCGATCAGTATCACGCCGCGACCGGACATACCGACGCAACTTTTATGGCTCGTTTCAAGGGAAATTGGAGTAAATTACAAGCGTGTTCGTCGAGCGTCTTATGTATATATATATATATATACTATATGTATACGGTCATTCGCCACTTTTCAACAGCTACATTTTGGCAGAGCAAGCGAAGACTCGTAATTACGTGGGCATATTAAATTCTCGTGAGTAAATACCGAAATAGTAGCAGATTTTTAGTAATCCTAAAATATATAGCGCGATACTTGATCGCTTTTTCTTTTGCACGCAAAAGAAAATCGATGCTTAATTGTTTGCGCGTTCACGATTAAACATTAACATTTGATATTCGATCGATTCTACTTTGTCATCGTGTTCCGCGAGAGAGAGAAAGAGAGAGAGTCGGCGCGGGTCTATTACAAAACCCAGTCTCGACAGCGGCTTTACAGTCGGAAGGACCGATGACTGGCAAGCGACGAGGGGCCCTGAACCCCGGTGTATAAGGTATGTACTGGTCCAGAGAGCGCCCTTGCCTTCGCTCCGTCAGTTTTTTCATCGTCTGCAGCTCTCGGGCTGCTGCCGCTTTTAAAGCGATCGTCACGGGCACCGCGCTTTTACGCGGTTCTTTCTCGGCAGGTGTGCGCGCGCGCCTTCTCCTCTCCGTCTCTCTCTCTCTCTCTCTCTCTCTCTCTCTCTCTTTCTTTCTCTCTTTTCCTTCTTCTCCTCTCGCGCGTTACGCGCTTTGCAACCGATGTCGCATGGCGCACAACGATAACGCTCTTCTCGATCCCGAGAAAATTGTACAAACATTTATACAGAATGACAAAACGACGTCGTAATAAAAGCGTGGTTTTTCCGCGGACTCGATATGTAACCAAAGATCGATCTCCAAAGAACGAACAATCCTCGTGTGCGCCAAGAATTATTTATCAAAAGATGACTGCGCTCTTTTCTTCCTCTCCTCCTCTCTCCTCTGACGTTTCCAAGAGGAGAAACGTATATAGTCCGCGAGGATATTTAATACGTAACGCGGAGCAAAATATAATTTTGATATGAAACACATTCATCTCGCGTCGATAAAAATAGCGAAACAACGCGCCAAGGAAACGAGAGCTTGTAAGTCGTCTCTCGAGACAAAAAATCTTAATACTTGCGTGAATAAAGCTTTTAGCGGAATTGTTATAAATGCGCCGTCAAATCGATTGTAAGTTCGTGGGAAATGAAAACAAAGAAAGAGAGCGGTAGAAAAGTGAATGTGTGTAATCATGCAGATCTGGTTTACCTTTCGTCTGAATGAGATTGCATATCGTTTCATTACGATTTCGATGTAACCTTGAATCAGTCATGTATAAAGTTTTTTTTTTTTTACGAGTCATCGCGAGAGAAAAATAAATCCTAGTATTGATCTGCATCCGCAGAAATTATAGCTTATTATAGCTGTTTTTTTTTTGCGGTATAGCGATTTCTCACGATATACTTGCGAAGCGAGACAAAAGTGATAAATTTTAGAAGAAAACTCTATTCAGACCCCTTACGATTTTTTAACGAAAAAATAGGAGTAAATACGATAATAATAAATAATTATTTTATTGGTGTTTTACCCCCGATATAAAAATAAATAAATAAAAATTCGAGTATAAAACGTAAAATAACGCAACACACACCAAGAATCGATGCGTCAGCAAAAATAAGGCAATAAAATCTACGTAACAAAAAGAAATAAATTATATAAATAAAAAGTGTAATAAACAAATGTGAATATATTGGATATGTAACAAATATAAAACGTAAAATATGTAACATATTTAATATAAAACGACAATCATGCGACACAGTACAAAGCACACGGTGCAAATAAATAAAATCTAACAACTTGTTTGAAAATAAACGATTACAAACGATACAAGTTAAAAAAGAAACAAATAGTATATGAAGGAAAATAAAAATATCAAGAACCGTTGACAAGACAAATAATATTATAATTATATATAAACGATATTAAAATATTGTACAATTTGACCGGAGATTTTTTACATCTTATAAAAGCGTTTTTACGCGTTTTAAAGATGTTTATTAGACAATCTGAGCGCGCGAACAGACTTTGTTCTCGTCAAAAAGATGTTATTATCTCTGCGACTAACGTGCATAGTCCAGGTTCTGCGTTTATGCGAATTGTATTTAATTGCAGGTTTCCATCGCGGTGATTTTACATCGTGAATTACGGAATTTAGTCTCACAATGCGGCTTTGTTGTAATGCTGCTGCGGAGTTTCGGAGATATTTTTGATTTCGAAAACTGTGTTTACGATTCTTTTATTTACCTTGTCTTATTAACCTTTCGTGGATTATAATCTCGCGTCACTGTGTGCGATTATGCAAACGTAATGAAAAATACATTCCATCTCATCTGAGATGCGTAACCTCGCACCTCACCTTACAACTTGCGTCAACAATTTTGCTTCAACTGCTTATCTATACAGTGCGATTCACATAAAATCTGTGTTTAACTTCTGGACTTTATCTCGCAATGTGTTGTAATTTTTGCTTCGCAATTAATATCGTAATATTTTTATACGTTGGCGTACGTCATAGTTTTAAAAACTATATTACCGATTTTTTTGAATTTGTTAATTGTACAACAGCGCGCGCGTGCACCGTCTCGAGAGAATTTCAAAAATGTGCCGTGAGTTGTCAAATGCTGTTTCATTGGCGAATTCGTTTTTTATTGTTTTAAAGTCTCCGACTTAAGGGTAAAAATACAAAGCAACGGTGAAATTAATTATTTGCAAAACAAACGTACTAGAAGTAAAAAGAGACACAGAGACGGTTTTCTCAGCTGAGATTATTTTCCAAGCGGAAACCGATTGTATGAGAAACGGTTACGGAGTCGAGCTCTCAGAGGATGAGACAGAGAGAGAGAGAGAGACGGTTTCGCGTGTCAAAGTGTGTTGTTGCGTATCAAATCTCGCGTGTACTCACCTAACGAACAGCTGTTCCTGATTATTCACCCGCCAGGACACCACCGTGGCTCCTGCAAAATGGAAAATCAAGATCAGCATTTTAATCGGAGCAATCGCACATAGATAAAGGCGCGGAAAATGCGCGATGACACGTGAGGAAAACAAGTGACGCGTAACGCGCGAGAGAGGAGATCGCGTCACCACAGTCGCGTTCCGAGAGAAAACTCTCGGAAAAATCTTCTACAAGAGAACGAAGGGACGCGCACCCGAGGAAACGTAAACCGAGCACGTCGTTGATTTCTGTCAGGACGCGCGAATGAGGCGCGGCAGAGCGCGACTTCCGATTCGTCGTCGTCGTCGTCGTCGCGAACGCACGGACCGACGCGCGAAAAACTCGCGTGGCGAAAAAGCTCGTTGTCGCCGCGACGGTTCGGAGCTTTCTTCTTCATTCATACCCGCCGCGATTCTCGACCGCCTTGTTCCGATAGATCGACGGAGGAGTTTCACGCTTGTTCGCGCGCACATTCACACCACCCACACAAACACGCACACGCACACACAGACATACGCACGCACACGCGCGCGCAGCACACACGTGCACGTACGCACCGTACACACACACACACACCGTGTAAATTGATGGTGCAGGTGGTGTTGTTGCCCCTGTCGAGCACGACAACGCTGGTAGCCGCTGCCATGTTTGAGTCGTGAATGCGCCGCCGGCCGGCCGCCCGACACGGCCAACCTTTGTCCGACGCCCTCGGCTTTGCCCCCACCGTCGCACGACGACGTCGCGATGCTCGGACGCGCGAAGGGCGCCGCGCGTCGTCGCGACGGCCGTTCCGCGAACAGACGACGATCGACGAACGGTAGAACAGCGCGTCTCTCTCGGTCTGTTGCTCGCGCGTGACTTTATCAATAAAATAGTACTCTGTTTTACGTGTTATCTGAGAAACGTTGCTGAAAAGAGCGCAATTTTGTCCGTAACTGGTAACGCGGTAATGCGGAATTAACAGAAATGTGTGCGCTCGTGTTTTTGTGCGTTTATTTTGCACCGTAAGTACACAAATAATTAATACGTATCTACTAAATCCGAAGAGAAACCTGCGTTTTACAATGTGCACGCGTCAATTCCGAAACGGTCATCGGAGTTACCAGACATTATCAAAAACAGCGTGAACGTGTACCTTTGCAAGTAGATTCCACGTTACGAGCCCGTCGTGTTTATCGAATCATCCAGTGTCTGTACTTCGGAGGAAGGAAAACGATATCGTTCTGTAACAGAAACGTGTTTCGCGACGATGGAACGTCCAAATGCAAATTGTGTGAAGTTGGTCTCGAAACTCGCGCGACGTCGCGACGCGCCTGTCAAAATGCGCGATGACAGTAAAGGTAACGGCAACGGCGCCGCGCGCGGCCGCGTTGCGAAAACGTGGCAGCGCCGCGTTCGGCCGCGGCGGCGGCGCAGCACCGCACGGACTTGGTTGACAGACAGCTTCGCGTTCTTCCGCTACGGTGATGTGTCGTCGTTCACCGCTGTGCAATCGTGCCGTCGCGCCGTGCCGTGTCAGCTCGCCGATTAATACCGAGTACGGCCGCGCGTCAGCGGCAACCGCGACAACAACGACGACAACGACGACGACGACGACGACGACGACGACGACCGGTGGCGTCGACGACGACGGCGGCGACGACGGTGGTGCGTGTCGCGATTAATAAACGGGCAGTGTGTGGTGCTGTGGGGGAAAGGACGATGAGGGCCGGAGGGATAATTTGGGTGGCGACTTGAGGTCAGAAATGTTGAAATTCGGCAGCAAGAGCGACGTGACGGTGGTGCATCGCGCCACTATTCGACTGTTCGACGACAACGAAATTATTTACTGCGACTTCCAGGTGAGAGAGCGCGCCGTCTTTCTCTTCGCACCGCGACGCGCCGTCATCCCTCGCGCGACTCCTCTCTTCCACCCCTGCCTACATACACGTTTCCTTATTCGCCTGCGCGGCTCTGCCATTCACGAGTATACGCGTCCAACGAAAGATCTGAAAAAAAAAAACAAAAAGATCTTTTTCCCTGCTCCGATTTTCTCCCGCTGCTTGAAAAATTCAACCTGTCGAGATTACCGACGACTGCACTTGTCGAAAAGTGGCTAGCGTAAAAAGAAACGAAATTTGCAACGTACGTGCGCGGTTTTACGTGCGATTTCGACGATACCACTCGGTGCGGTGATTGGTCGGGTGCCGTTTGTGTGTTAATGTGTGATTCTGTATGTAACTTTAACGCTTCTCAATTGTTTGATTTCCGAGCATGTAACGCGAATTCATAAACGCGAGAAAAGCGTAGCGCTCTTTGTGAAAAAAAAAAATAAAGGTTTTCTCGGTTGCGTAAAAAAGTTTCGGCGGTTTATGCGGCTCGTACGGAAACGCGTTAATAAAACGTCGATAGAACCGATCGTATTGTACAAGTCAATACCCCGTCGTATCGTCTTCGTGTTTCGTAACGTACTAGAGCGATGAACATTGTGAAGAGATGGAAACGTGACACACTTTGCGCGTATCGATATTCCTTTTCCTTCGTATTTGATAGGAAATATAAGAGAGAAAGAGAGAGAGAGAGAAAATGTGTCGGCGAAATGTAAACTCGCGCGACTTCTTTTTTGACGTGTCATCGACGACCGCCACAATCGTCCGCCAAATACAACGAAAATATAAAACGGGTTTTTAATGCCTGCGCGAAACGTTTCGGTGAGACCGAACTGACATTTCGTTGAAATGTCAAGATTACATATTCAGCGGATACAAACAGGTTTTGTATAAAAAACTAACGTCTCGAAACGTGTTCCCACTTTGCGATCCGAATTTGTTAATTACAAATTTACTTACAAAGCGTTTAATTTCACGACACACATCCCGCCTGACGTTTCCCCGTTCTCTCCACGTGCTAACTAATTTGTCAAGGCTACAAAGTTGAGCACCGCTGTGGGGTGACTTCATACCTCGTGAGGTCTGTAGTGGATCCCTTTGACGTTCAGTTGCAGATACGCGGCGTCTCCGACGGCAGGCGCGCACATACACACACACACACACACGCTCCTCCGACTTGGATCGATTCCAGAAAACCACACACGCAGTCTGTCCTGTCAAAACCTCTTTTCCTCATCTCGAGCTGTCGAAGCGTCTCAGAAAGATCGACATTTCCCAAGGAACTGTATATCCGAGAGATTTGTCACTTCAAGCTTCGCTACGTTAACACACTCGCTCGAGATCAAGGGAAATGATACATGCGGAAGAGGAGATCGTTGATTCGGCAAAAAATCTCCTAAATTTATCTTCTATTTTTACTCTTCAATATTTTTTTTGTTAGATTCTCGGTTATCTTTAGTCGGTTTGTTTGGTTCAAAAGAAATGCAAACAATTTAAGCAATACATTTGTTTTTGTACATAAAATAAGTGAGACGTACATTTTAACAAATTTGTTTTGCACGTCCGTAATTTCATTTGATAATCAGCGCCGATCTGTGTTACGCAGCGCGTAGTTACAGCTACTGCGGTCGGCAACTACACAATTTAGTTAATCAATGTCGTTTCCATTCCTCATTTGAGGTAGAAAACTTGCGTTCTTCTCGCCGCAAAAAATCAGCGCGAATCAAACTTCAAACTGAATTGCTCAAACTCGTCTCCCAAGTCTCTCTCTCTCTCTCTCGGAGAGTTTCGTCGAGAATAGGTTTTTCTTTTTTTTTTTTTTTTTCAGAAACTCGAAAATTTGTCCATCGGGAGAACAGGGTCGCTCGCGGTTTGTTTCTCTTCATTAAAAGAGCGCGAAGCGATGCGCTCTTTCGCGAGAACCGCAGAAAATAGGGGATGCGTGTTTCGACGGTCTCGCGCGCGCCAGCGTCGACGATATTTCGCTGGGAATAATTGGCGGTCGGCCAAATCGAAGCGACGCCGATATACGGGACACACAGGGAGTAACCATTGGCTCGGATCTAAACCCTGAACGAACGACGTAGGAGGGATGAAAGAGGGTGGGCTGTTGCGCGCATTAAAAGCCAATAAAATTGGAGCTTCGTTCGGGTATATCGGATATACTCGCCCGTCTATTGTTTCAGACGCGGGAGAGTACGTATGTATTTCTGAACGAGATATTTTCATTTTTCTTTATCAAACTTTTGCACATTTTATTTGTCACAAAAAATAAAAACAGATAAATTATTCCGAAAAAAATTAATTATAATGTATATATATATATATATATATATATATATATATATATATAACAAAACCAAACAGGGGATTAGCACTGTAAACATTATTCTGTAGTGTCACGAATCCGCGCTGTAAGCGCGCGCGAAAAACGTTGCGTTGGCAGTAAACAAGCGATATTTGTGTCAATTAAAAAGCGCGATAGTTTGCGTGAAAAATCAAATTGAAAATATAAAATATTTTTCGCAAGATACTTCTTTGGATTTTGCGCGTTTATTTTTATTTCCATTCGCGCGCGAATAGCTTACGAAATATCAAAAATTGCGCGCGGTCTTATTACCGTCTCTTCCCATTTGGCGCAGAATAAAAGCAACTTACAACAGCACTTTTGAGATGCAAATTTAATCATATTAAAACAATTTATCGGTAAATTTTGATGAGATTTGTCGTAAAATATAACCGAGAAAAATATCAAACTACCGACTATGTCGAACTACCGCGTGACTTTGGAACAAGTTGAAACTGACCTTTTTTAGTGTTACGTCTTTGCGCCAGTTTCGAGTATGAGATCCGTGCGATAAAATTTTCAGACAAATTCTCGGACGCCGTATTATCTCCGTCTCCGCTGTATCAGGGACGATCCATTTGGCACACTGTCGCTATAATGGATGTAAATTACGGGGACGGGCGGAATTATCGTCTCGCGCCTCCCTAAAAAGACTTTTTGTGAAGAAGTCTTGCGCTCTCCGTTGACATTATACACACGGTATATAGTCGCGTTTCAAATCTTGCTCCGAAAAATGAAAATCTCGCGATAACCCTCTCTCCGGAACGGCCTCCGTTCTCTCGTCTCTCAACGAGCCGTGTCAAACATTGTGCCAAGATAAATGTTGGCGTGTGACGTAAATAAGAACGGGAAGATTTTTTGTTGGGATTCACATCCCGAGAACGGAAGGTGCGCTTGCGAATGTCTATTTGCATATACGCGTAAATTATGCAAATGATCGAGTAATTTTGCGCGTTTCATATTCGTGTATGATAATATTGTTATTTTTTGCGCGCGATTTATTGATTTTTTGTTTGAACGTCTTTTCTTTTCGATCGAGAACATCTCGTTATTTACGAGATTGCGTTACAACACAAGTACAAAGTTCAACGGAAAATATCCTTCCCGCGCGAGCATAGTGTGTCTATTATAAAAGCCGCCGTGTCTGGAGGTACAGGGTCACCAGGCTACAATCAATGATAACTGTGTTTTCTTATAGTTCTTGCCGCTCGCTTGTCGACGACGTGGCGGCGTCACTTAAATTATTATTTCCAATGAATGCAAATCCCCCGTCAATAATAACGTCGGTGTTGTTAGTCGACATATTACATAATCGGATTATTTAGGATTTTAGAATATCAGAAAGAAAGAGAGAGAGAGAGAGAGCGAGCTTCTAAATTATCTCGACAACGATATTGCGTTTAATGGATTTTACTGCAATTTTCAATCAACAATCAAAGGTTTTTAATTAAACAGAGCGTGTGATTAAAATCGCTCGCCGCTGCCTAAATAACGCGATGAATTCAAACGCAAAATTTATAAATAAAAACTCTCTCGTAGGCGATGTTGCGCGCAATATTGTGTCAAGTTTTTACTCTTTCGCCACATTTATAACCGCGGAGCGAACTCCAAACTCGGAAGAGAGTAAACTCGGATAAGTTACACGCTCGAATTAGCTTTGCTGAAGAATTTCACAAGTAGTTTCTCGCGATATCGGTAGACTTGTGTATGACGCAAGCGCGCGCCCGAAGTTCGCTTTGAGTTTGTTTTTATATATGTATATTCGAAAACAAATCCATTGTACTTATTGCTCTCGTCACTCTCTGGATATAAAGATCAACGAATAGTTTCCGCGAATTTTCGCGAGCGAATGCGCGAAGATGATCTCCGAAGGTGCAAGGTCAACAAGCTGGCACAGTTGTTTTTTTTTTTTTTTTTTACACGTTTATAATACATCAAGCTCGCGGGGACATACCGAGCGAGTAACTAAGCGAAACTACTTGCGCGCACACATACACATACCCCTATCGCTTCTCGATATTGATTGTCTCGTTCCTTGACACGTGCTTGGACGTTTCCGGCCGATGTTTGCAAACTCTCGCGAGACAACTGACTAATTGAACACGCACGAGCTTCATTTTACATTCACGTGTACGTGATACATTGTTTAACACACGGTATCCTGTATTCTATAATTACGTTTTGCGCCGCTCTAATCACTCATCGCTCTAATTAACGATTTAACTATTTACGGCCTCTTTACCGCGCGAATTGGCTATTTAGTCAGATAAGCCATCTGTACAATGTACGACTAGCACGCGCGCGCGCACACACACCATTTGTTTCTGTAATATATGCCGAGAATTATGCACCGTCGAAGCGATAAGTTCCATCTCTTCTCCGAGATTTTTATCTGTACGAGAAGATAATTAATAGATAATTAATAACGTTTAATTTTGCTAAATAATATCGGATCTAAAATAAAAAAGGAAGCGACCAAAAGAGCCAATGGTTCATTGTTGGCGGTGGATTATTAAATCATTTTTCACAGTTAAACGTTTCGATCAAATTTTAATTAATATCTAATCTGTCGTAAGATCTCACGGAGTTTATTTGACAGAACTTTTTTTGACAGAAATAGATTCTGTATTTAGATTCAAAACGAACGAAGATAATAAAAAAAAACTAAAATTTATTCCGAGTTTATTTGTTGCGAGAAGAATTGCGTAACGGCGAGATAAATACCAAAAGGTTAGAAGTCATGTCTCGCACGCGAAAGTCCGTCGCGTTAAAATCTCTCGCGGCTGACTTCATCCGGTTTTGGACTACTGCGCGCTCGAGAAGACGATCTCGCTCGCGGGAAAAGTCGTCTAATTTACAGCATCCGTAAGAAATATGCTCTATATTTCAAAGAATGTTAATACACACACAAACCACCGGACTCTCTCTCTTCTCATTGTGCGAGCGCGGACGTATCTTATTTCACGACGTTCTCCATTTTTGTTCCTCGGTGAATCCGCGCGAAAAACACTCGCTCGAATTTTATCTCTCTCTGATTTTACAATCTCTCTTTGGTTTGCAGATTTACGATGGAATTTTTTGCTCTCTTCGGTGTCTTCGCAATCAAGAAGTCGCGACACTCGATTATTCGGTCTTTTACTTAAAAAACGAGAAGAAAGTAGTTCAAGTTTCTTGCACTTTGCGGATAAAACCACGACAGCTTGTCGCGTGTATTTACACGTATGTGTGTGTGCGCGAGTCGCGTGCACGTGGCACTTGATGCGCCGAGAACTTTGCGAGAATCGTGCGCAAGAACCAAAACGCTTGGCATGCCGACACGATTCCCGAAAACAATGCGACACGGCGATGCGTACACGAACGGCCGTTCCCTCGGGAACTCGGTGTTTTCGGCCCCGGGGTTTTTAGGATTGTTGCGGCAAAAGAACCGCGTCACAGTTTCTTGTAAAAATGTGTTACGTTCCGCAACTACAAGCGCTAAAATATTCAATTTGGCTTCTCGATACACGCGGGAGTTATTTCGGGACGTGACATTTCGGCACCTTCACGCGACTGGTTCATTCAGCGAGAAATTTGCATTCGCGAAGACGTAGTGATGCTTTTGTTTTTTTTTTCACGCAGAAGATATCGCGCGCGCGCGTGTGTGTGTGTGTGTATGTGCGCGCGCGCGCTGTTACATTTGCGATTTAACGCCGCGGCGTAAAAAAACCCGATTCTTTTTCGCACAAAGACGCGCGAACAATTGTGTTTACGTCGCGCGAGAAATACATTTTTGTCGCTCGCGCGTGTTGATATTCGAATCCGCTGTAAACAACTTTTTCTAAATTTAACCAACATATCGCGAACAAACGCCGACTGATTTCTATTCTACAAATTCCAATTTATGAAATATCAATATTTTCATTGCGAAACGTTTTACGCAGACGACACGCGGACGATCGGGCGAAATTGTTTTTCCGAAGTTTTTTGGTTTTCAGTCTCCAACGTTAGCGTCGATTGATATACCAGCGCTCGCAATTACGGAGCTATTACGTTCGATAATTGCAGCGATCGCAATTTGTCGAGTAGGTACAGAGGTCACGGTTAACTCATCATTGTTTATGTAATCCGTCTCGTGACACGTATAGGGGAAGCCGTAATCTCAATTTGTTTTTTTTTTTTTTTCTAGCATGTAGCGTACGCGTGACAACGTCGCATTTAACATCTAATTAATGCGACGCTGGCATTACACGTTCCTTTTGCGTTCTTTAATCTGCGCCGAGTTATCGTTTCATTTCCAATTCTGTTTGACAACGTGTTATTATTAACAATTCCGCGACGCGATAGAAATGCCTTGACGGCAAAAAAAAACACTTGTCAAGCTCTTGTTTTTCAAGTGGTTTGTTCTTGAGATTCTGTTCGAACGCGGCAAACGAATGGCTTCGAGAAGTTGAGAATACGCCCGAAGAGGAGTGTGAGAAAAAGTGGAGGGAGTACGGGTTTTTAGATCCCGCGCGGTTTTTAGGTCCCGCTCAAAAATTGAAAGTTACCGACTTCGGAAGCCGGCGTGACTCGGTTACGAGAGTACGCTTACGTGTTCCGCTTCCGCAAGATGGGAAGGTAGTTACAAAAGCGTCGTATAATCCTTGATTTATGACTCGCGGTTTTTTTTTTGTCTTCCCTGTAATTTTCTTCGCAGCTCACCTTGCGATATAACAAAGTAGTTGGTTTTTTTTTGTCAAAATACAGAAGAGGAGGATGTTCTTTGTTCGAGCTTGCGAGAGAAAAAAAATGCGGCAAATATCGCCTCGTTATCGCGCACTTTGCGTATGTATTAGATTTTTAGAATTAATGTACGTATTTGTGAAAAGAGAATATGCACGCGCATGCACACAGTGCATTTTCCGAACGTTCTCGGGCATGAAAGTGCAAGGTTTCCGTGCAGTCCGTCTTTTATCGGACTTCCGGTGTTTCACGCGTTGCACGCGTCACCTCGTTTTTCCTGCTCGGCAAGTTGCGACAAACACAGGAGCGGCTCTCTGTTTTGCGCAGCGATGGGAGAAAAGACGGGGGAAAAAAATGCGCTATGCTACTTTTTGCAAAAACAAAAAAAAAACGAGAGAGAAAACGCGAGAGAATTTTTGTGAGTTTTTTGCGCGACGAGTTAAAATTCATTCGATATATCTCTTCTGCGTATGTGATATAATTTTTAGTATCGAACTTTTGATACATATTATCGAAAATAAAAATTGTTATCTAATTGTGAGAAAAAAGCAAGAAAGAGAGAGAGAGAGAGAAGATAAACGAGATTGTTTCGCGAAATATCGTGAATTCCCGATGGTAAACCGTTTCAACACGACAGAAATATTCCACTCTTTGCATTTCGCGCAACAATATTCTCTTTCTTTTGTTCTTTCTTTTTTTTTTTTTGAAAAAAAAAAGAGATAAAGTAAGTGAAAACACGAGTGAGAACACATCCATGGTCTGATTGTGGCGATTTTCCGTCTCTGTTACAGCCACAAGACAAAGGGCGCTACATTCTCGAATATGTGTGCAAGCAGCTCAACATTTTGGAGATGGACTACTTTGGGCTCCGCTACGTCGATAAAGAGAGGGAAAGGGTGAGTGCATTTTCACACGCGCGCATTTGTAATGAACTCCGTACAACCGGATGATTTTCGCACAGAACATAACGTCTCTCCGATTGTTTACACGTCGAGTAGTTTTCTTAAAATATCTTTGCAAAAACGCGTAACGCTTTTTTTTTTTTAATATAAGAGAGAAATTTCCGCGAGAGATTAATATTGTTGATAGCAAAACCTATCGAGTCGCAAAAATGTGTGTAAAATCGCCGTAAAATTTGCTTACAACCGGTAACATTGCACGCGATGTACACCATCGTAATCGTTATTTTTAGGTCATTGGTGTAATACCAGAGGGCTTAAAAATAGATGTGTCTTGAAATACCAACGATTCATCGCGTATAAGCTGTTGTCTGCTCGTGAACACGTCACACATGCGACGGCGGTCATTTATTCCGCCCTTCTCTTTCTATCCGTCTCTCTTTTTCTCACGTATGTCTGTAATATTTTGTAAATAAACTTTTTCCCTTTTTATCTTCGAAAAAAAAACATGTTACAAATGAGATGATGTTGTCGATTTCATAAACATTGCTGCAAAAATTTCATTATTCTTGATGTACTTTTGGTACATGCATCGTTTACGATAATGATGCATATATCAGTTTTGCACATCGATTGCTGAGATTTCTAAGAGAGAGCTAGAGAGAGAGAGAGAGAAAGTGCAAATTTAATTTGTTTTATAAATAAACGCGCGTTCGTCAAGAAGACCCGCAAATTCGTCGATAGCGCAAATGTATTCAAACGCGCGTTACACATCTTTTTGTTTATCGTGGTAAATATCAGATAGCGATATTTATTTTTCCGGGCTGGAAAATCGCGCGATGTATAATTGAAACTAAACTTTCGCATAAAATTATATGCATCGCGCACCCGTAGTCCGACCGTTGTTCCAGTTTTCCCGACAGCCGACTCCGCGCCGCGATGACAGTGAGTTATTAAATTTCAATTTAGCGAGAAACGGAACTCTCTGAAATTTCCTCACGTTTTGCTTGGCCTTTTCCATTGGTTTTGCCTTCGAAGAATTAATCGCGGAGCCGCGTCTCTCGCGTCTCCGAAATGAACGTGCATTTTTTTACTTAAATCTAAACGAGTGAGCGATCGCGCCGCGGGAGAGCGCAGTCAATCTTAATATTCGTATCCGGAGAATTTAATTCCGCCGGGGGAAAAAAAATTGTGTTAATTTTCACATTAATCTCTTCACATTTGTAATAAGAGAAAAGTTAATACGACATTTTTTTTTACGCGTTTCCCACGATTATCTTTGTGTCTCTCTGTCTCTCTCTCTCGTTACTCTTTCTGCGTGCGCAATTAACGTTAACAATGACTTCCTACTTTACTTTCCTCTTTCGCGATAAACCTAACAGCGTGCGATAAATTTATGCAGAGCATAAACGTGCTTGCGTATGTACTCTTACAAATCTACGAACAAAAGAGAGAGAGAGAGAGAAAACGAAACGCGAAACTTTAAGCGCGAAACTAATTTTGCTTCTTCGTGTTTGGGAGCACAAAACACGGGAAGGCCGAAAGAACAGCATCATTTTGCGAATTCAGGCCTTTTTTTTTTTAAGGCCTCGGCGGAAAAATCAATATTGTCTGTGCATCCACAGACATTCCACATCGCCAACGTCTTCAAAAATTAATGCGCGCCGCTTCCTATCCTCGGGCGAAAAGATTCCCCGATTCCTCCATTCTTTCAGAGCTCGCGTCTCGCGAAATCGCAGAATTTTTTCGATGAAAAAAAATTATCTTTTCTTTGTCGCGTTTCTGTAATGCAATAATGCGGGGAGGGGTAAAGATTGAAACTCAAAAACAGTTTTACTCGCCTCGACGACAAAGGAACGAATAAAGCGCGCGTTTCATCTCCTCACGCAAATTGTCAGTTGTCAGCTGCGAATCCTGTTTATTCATTTTCTAAGGTGTTTGTTGCAGGAAGAATAAGATGTAGACAATTGCGCTGTTCTCTGTGCGGACAATTGTGTCCATTTACTTCCGCGAATAAATTTGCACATTTCTTTATCTTTAATTTGTTTTGATCACATAAATCTTCTGTTTTCTTCTCAAATGTATATTTGTGTTCGTTTAGAAATTTCAGAGACAAATAATTTTGCCTTTTAGACAATCGAAGGTGACCAGATTTTCTGTCGCGCTCCGAAAATAGGCGACGGAAAATAGAATTGATGCGACAACAGTTGCGGTTTTTGTTGAATAAACAATAAAACATAACGATAACTCTCAATACAACGTTTTCAACGATCAAACCTCATAACTCAACGGCATGTATCGCGCTCTAATGTGAGCGCAATCACTTCATCAAGTGCGGTATTAGAGAATCAGATGCGCAAACTTTGTACGTGTAATTTCGAACGGTAGAGATACCTTTTCGCGCGTGCGCGAATTGTTGCCTATAGATATCGGCAGAAGCTCATTTTACGGAGAATTTCGCGTGTTACGGGATTCTTCGCTTCTCGTATTCCCTCGAGATACAGTTAAGCAGATTGGCTCGGCGCGCTGTGCGCAATAAGCGAGCGGAGAAATACAATATGTGCAAGCGTTATTTTCGAATCTCTCGCGTTTACAGAACAAGCGTTTAAAACGCGAGTATTTATCGAAATGGAAATTCACGAGAAATTGCGCGACGAATTTACGTCGGATACGTTTTTCATCCGGAATTTCTTTTATTTTTGTTGCAGCACTGGCTGGACTTAGCGAAGACAGCGATCAAACAGGTGAAAGGTCAGTATATTAAATCGAAATTGCTCCCGGAATGAAAAAAACGCGGCGACGCTCTTACGTACGTACTTATAGCCTTCGCGCGTACGGTATCGCATCAGCTGCGAGGGTTTCGATCGTCGCCGTTTCCTCTTTCCCCTCCTTGTTTCTCTCCCCCAATTATGTACGGGTCGATGTCACATGAAAGTTTCAAGCAGTCGCGACCCGCTGGCCTATTCTCGTAAACTTGAACAGATTCTTGAACAAACCTGAAGGGGATGACGTTTGTGTTTTTTTTTCTTCCTCGCGAGAGTCCCGTTTGAGGATCAGATCCGCTCGACGGAATAGATGGGATCTCGCGAAAAAGAAGATGACGATATTCTCCCGCAACGGGTTCATGAAGAAACAATTTTTTCCGCGTACAAAATAAGCTTGAAAATGTAAAATCCCGAAGATTTGTAGAAACGAGCGTCGTCTTTGTCGCGTGCGCGTGTGTGTGTGTACCTGTTGATTTTAGTGCTCGCGATTTTTAACATCGATATTTACGTGACGTCGTCCTTCATCGACGAAAAGCGCTTTTTCTCTCTTTTTTTTTTTTGCTCTCCGATACCCTCGCAAGAGCGCGCGACACAATATCGGGCGTCTGATTAACTTCAATTCGCCTCGATTTGCTCAACAACAGTCGAGAGAATATACCGCGGAAGTGTTTTATATATCCGCGGGGCAGGAGAACGAAAGCCGTATATAGAGACATATGTATGAAGATCGCAACCCCGCGGAGATGACAGCGACGCGTCACGCATTATCTTCGAGTGTAAAGACCGATTTGCATCGCTCGCGTATACACACTATATTTGCGCCAGTTGTTTTCTCTCATTTATAGCAGAAAATAACTCTCACACGATATCGCGTTCTCCGCGAACGTTCGTTTTTACTTACGCAGCCGCTCTCGATAACAGTTGTGATTTCTCGTGTCAAAACTCGACGCGCGAGTTCTCGTAAATATTTTTTCTCGCGACAAGCAACCGAAACGACACGGTGTCGCGTTGCCATTGACACGAATTTCGTCAACATTACACGCGTGATAACGAGCCTTAGCACGTTTGTTCCTCCGAAGAACATAATAGAGCAATGCGATACGCGCCGTCGCTATCCGTACGTCGTTTTTTCGGATACTTATCAATCGCGTATATTTATTATTTTCTCGAACGAGCTTCTCCGCGTTCCGTGTTATCGCGCCATGTATCGATTCGTCGTTCTACGAGAAAAGAAACGATCGATTATATCCGCGCACATATCGAGTCGTAAAACCGGTCGGGACGGACTGCTTTTGGTAAACGCCGCGCGCACGGAATTAAAAAAAAAAAAAAAACGACAAAAATTGCAGCTAATTACATTTTGTCGCGGAAGAAAATGTCGCTCGTTAGACGTTTGCAGGCACGGAATGTTTTTTTGTAGCGAAAAAAGCGCAACCGGAGAAAACGTATGATTACGTGTCGTATGTTTTGTGAAACGCGCGCGAGTTTCTCTCTCGTTGCGCTTTTTCTTCACACGCGTATTTGAAGTGTGTGCGTATAAATCGCGACAAGTTATTTAGTGCGTGTCGGCGGAGGACACCGATCCGCGGCGCGAAAAACGCAGCATCCTGCCTCTCACTGCGAGCGTGCGCGCGTGTGTGTGTTCCAGACATGCATGAGATTGTGCTTTGCTTCCGCGTGAAATTCTACCCGCCCGATCCTTTGCGGCTAAAAGAGGAGATCACCAGGTATCAAGTTTACCAGCAGCTCAAGAGGGACCTTCTTTACGGACGTTTGTGTTGCAGCCCCGGCGAGGCAGCGCTGCTGGTGGCGTGCATAGTGCAAAGTAAGTTCCTGCGTACTTTGCGTGTTATTGTAATCAATCGTCACCGGCGTGGTGAAAATCTTTTCCGCATATCCTCCCGTTTTGACGAGAGAAAGGAACGCGAGAATTGATAAATTTGTTCGGTGGCGGCAATTTGTTAAATCGATTTCTTTTTCATCTTTCACACATTCGTTTGTTTTCTAGATAAAATAAAAAGTAACCATTTATTTGTCCCCGTAATGAGAGAGAAAGAGAGAGATTTTACGTCGACGCGCGATAAAAGCCAAAAGTTCGCAAATGTAATAAAAATTTTAAAAATTTCAATCAAACAAGCTCGCGAGTAAAAAACGCATTAATACATAGTCGTTCTCTCCCGCTTCTGAATATCTATACATGCGCGTGTGTATGTGTGTGTGTGTACCCAGAGACACCGAATTCGCGAACAATGCGGCCGACGGTACGTGGCGTCAGTCGATTCTCCAGTTCAACTTCTCTCCATTTTATACGCGCGCGCTCGGTCAATTTATTCCTTTATCTCGACTCTCATAATTCAGGATTTCCAACTGGAGACCTGTCACGGTCACCACCGTGTATTACCCTCCCTCCTGATCGTTGCCTATCGATCGTCGCGACGCAAGTCGCGAATATACAAAATGACAGGGGAGAGAGACCTTCGTTTCGCATTCAGCGACGAAACTTTGTGAAATTTTCAAGAAGCGCGCTTTTCGCAAAAATTATCTTCGAATGTAACAAATGTATATAAATTGCACGCGGCTCTCTCGGTATTCGAGCAAACAATAACGCCAGCAAGAACCGATGGCTGTGCAAAAATATAAAATATTTTTTATTTAACGTGTGAATTAACGCAATTCGAAGTTAAATTCAATTTGAAGATCTAAGTCGGACGCTCAGTTTCCAATTAAACTTTAGTCATTCTTTTAATTCGCCAGCTCCCACTGGCCTTCTTTTATTTCTCTCGTTTATTTGTAAAAAGTATTTTTTTACACGTTCCTCTTCTCAATTTAAAATAATAGCGCGTTTCACAGAATGTGAATTTGGTCTGCCGCGGTTTTCAGAGAGAAATACGTCTATCTATTTATGAAATCTTCGATTATGATTCGAGTAAGTGTCTGGAAAGTAACCTTTCGATCTCTCTTTCTCCTCCTTGCGCAAATGTGGATTCAACCTTTTGTCGCGATCTCATTGTTGAGAACTACGTAACGGTTCGACGAATTGACCCGCCACTTTCCATCGTGACTTGATCGCGACTCGTCGTCGTCGTCGTCGTATTAAAAATTGGGTCATCGACCATCAATTCTAAGACCGTTCACCTTTCGGCGCGAAGTGCATCGTGTGACCGCAAGAAAAACTGTTCTTTCTTCTCGGCGGATTTCTATTGACCTTGACGACAGGCGTCTTTCAACCAAGCCGAACGTTCTCTTCCTGTGTTCGCTAACGTGTAAACTGGTCTCTTCGCGTCAAAGATACTGCCTTCATCTGTTATTTTATGCGAAATCTGTTTTCCCTCCCACACGTGTCTCATTTGTCTCCGACAGATCCGTTGCTCGCGAGCAACGCTCGTCTTTCGACAAGCGATTTATTTAGACGATTGAGTTGCGGCGAGGCTCGCGATAAATGCCGATCGTTTTTCGAAGTGTCCGCCTCGCAACTTACTCCCGATAATTACCCTCGTCGAACGTTTGTCTTCGTGTCACGCAAAACCCGCATGACTTAGGTTTGGGAAATTCCAACGATTGAGAGAGAGACGCGAAGTTGATTATCCTTTTTGTTTTTTTTACAATAAAGTCGAATTGTCTTTTCAGCCCGCAATTAGTTCGTGCTGTCGATAAACAAACGCTCTTCTTTCTCTTTCGGTTGTTGTTTTGTTTTCAGGTGAATTGGGCGATTATGATCCCGAAATTCACGATGGGAACTACATCTCCGAGCACAAATTACTCAAGACGCAGACCCCGACGATCGAGGAGAAGGCGATGGACATACATCAGACTCAGGTGAAGGGATTCACACCGGAACAGGCGGAGAACTACTTCCTCAGGATAGCGTCACAATTGGATACGTACGCGGTCGATCCGCATCCGGTCAAGGTGATTTTTCACTAGCGATGTGTTCAGAATTCTCATCTCAAAAATTCAATTTTTTTTCTCTCTCCATTTATCTCTGCGAGTTTCTATTTTGTTCCGCTAGAACGTTCCGCACGGCGTCCGGAAACTCTCGTCGAGTCGAAACGCTGGAGAAAGATCTCCGTCGGGAGAAAACGAGCGGGATGTCGTTTCGCGATCAATAAAAATAATGTAGACATTCGAAAACAAACTTGAACGATAGCTAGCGTGTCGGTAGCGTGCGCTAGGTCGCAGCGAGCGAGTTCTTGCGACCTTCCTTTCGTGATGCTAATGGCGCGTCTGTTTTTTATTTCCGGCATTTTAATCTATACCACACTGCTATCCTTTGATAAAGCACCGCGCGCGAGAGTTTTTTTTTTTTCAGCAGAGCGAAGTGCTCTTTGCGTGATTCTTTGACGTGAATGAGTTGTCGCAATCCTCCCCCGGCACGGCGTTGTTTGCTTGAAAATTCACGGTCGGTCGGTTTATTTGTTAATTTGACGTAAACACACAAGTGATCTGATCACTTCGATAAATATTTGTTTAATCAACGATATTCGACTTCACTGTTTTGTCATGTAACAAGTCGTTACGTTCAGGAGATAATCCCTCACTCGGTTTGTTGATATTTGGAGTAGTTTGCTTCAGTCTTCCCGGGGAATAAAGAGATCGCAATTGGAGTAGAGAAGAAGAGTAACGAGGCCTCGATCACGACTTTTGAAATTGATGGTTCGACTCATCGATAAATCTGAGCACGACAAAATGTAGTCGTACATTGCCGGATATAAGTCGTATATCCCGCCTATATGTCTCGATAAGAGTTCATAACCGGTTTATTTTTCTCCCTCTTTGTGTTTGTTCGGAAACAGAAAATGTTAAATGCCAGTTGTTGTGTTTTTTCATTGTGAGAAAAATTTATGTTTGAATGAAAGAATTTGTGCGGCAGAAGATTACACTCGAGAGCATGTCGGTCCTCTTTACGCTCAACGTGTTTTCTTTTTCTTCTCTTCGCTCATTACCCGCGCGGACAGCTGTTGGCCGCAAGCAGTGCACAGTTGCCAATCTCCGAGTCACTGCACACACACACACACACACACACGCGCGCGCGCACTCACCACGCGATGTGAATTTATTCAAATCGCACGCATCACGAAGAGTTCTCATTTAATTTCTGAGATAGTTTCAATTTGCATACGGATTTTATTTCCCATTGAATGAATCTCGATAAGATATAAAAAACGTTTTGAAAGATAAACGGGATTTCATGCCCGCCGACATTTCGTCCAATAACGCGGGATATGAAACAGCGTTTATTGATATTCAAACGAGGAGCGCAACCCCTTCCTACGGAATTTCCATGAAAGCGAATCGCTTACGGTTCTCCCTATCGACAACCGAATGAAGATTCATTTCAAACATCTTTATCCGCTTGTTACTGTGATATACGGACGCTGCGCGTATTCAAAGCATTCCCTTCGGCTTCCCTAAGTCAGAAAGCAAATCCTTCAAAATTGGAAGCCATTGATAAGGAAGATCCGCGTTATGCTTTACGCACAGGACCAGACCGAAGCTGGAAGTCGGCTAGTTTAGCTGTTACATAATTTACGTGTCCATCACTTGATAGAGGAGAATATTCCTATCAGAGAGAATATTCCCATCAAGGAGTCTATTGTACGATTTGGATACTTGAGTACAAATTAGTTAAGAGAGGATGAGGTTATTTTAACTTAGAGAGGAAAATTCTAAATCAATTTTAGAAACTAATTCTAAAGAAAAAGAGACCAGAAGATTTAGAGAGAGAGAGAGATGACATACCTTTTACAAAATAAATTTTCAATTTTCGATTTAGCACATATCGATAAAATGGTTATTTTCATCGCGAAGATACGAGCGCCCGCCTATTGTTTAATTAAACCGTTTCGGTCGATCGATGGCGTTTATTGAAATTACGTTTTCGTTATCTTCCGCCGGAGATACTCTCTCGCTGACAAATACACTGAAACTACGACGTTCGCACAAAGAGGCACTCGCGAGCACAGTAATCTCTCTCGCGTTTTGTATCGCGGAGGATAAAAAGACACACGCTCGCGTGTGTGTCCTATTATTCGTCGCGATACATTTCATTGCTCTTTCGTCGCAAAAGGCGCGAGCGCGAGGTGTTGCCTCTTGTCGTTTATTGGTTTTTCGCTTCCTGGCTCGGGGATGCTGACATTTTCGCTGAGAAATAATCGCGGCCCACCAACCTACTGTCGCAACTGTCTTCCGTTTAAAGGAAAATGCCACTTTTACGGCGCGTTGCGTCGACGTTGTTTGTTCGCCCGCGCCGTGTCGTTTCCATCACCGACGAGGTGTTTTCACCTGCTCGCCGCGAAAAGATCATCACTCGTCCTCCTTTTGTATCTAACACACTTGTTGGAGAATAGAAACAAATGATCGTATGAAAGAAACATTGAAACAAAGAAATCTGAAGTTTCTGCTAACAAGCTGGAATTCGCGAATTGTTCACATGTGACGCAAAAAGTGACACAACAACAATTTAAAATAACTAGCACAACACAGGCGCGCGCTACGCGCACGCTATTGTTATTTTTATTTAACGTGTTGTCAGTGAACACAACCTGTCACCGCGATGACAGATAGTATATACGTCTTATAAACCATGTAATACACATGTGAGAAATGTCAGAAATAACGCATGAAAATCAAACTCAAAAAATAGTGAGAGAGAAGTGGAAAAACAACATATGACTAAAGTCACGTGACAGGGAAAAGGATAAAAAAGAGAATATTATATATATTATATGTAATATTCTATATCTATATATAATACACACACATACGCATATATGTATACCGTAATCACATGACCGAAGTCAGTAACACCGCCGCGGTCGCGCGGCCGGGGTCAGTGACTCCACCGCAGTCACGCGACCGAGGTCATTGACCCCGCCGCGGTCGCGCGACCGAGGTCAGTGACCGCCCCCCCCCCCAAAGTCGCGCGGCCGAGGGCAGTGCCCCGCCAAGGCCGCGCGGCCGAGGTCAGTGACCCCGCCGCGGTCACGCGACCGAGGTCAGTGACCTTACGGTAGTATGTATATAATATTTATAATATATAATATAAAGTATAACATCATAAATTTATAATAAATTATATGTATAATATATATTATTTAATATATTATTATTATTATTATATGTTATATATTATAATATATTATGACACAGCTAGTTTGCACACGCTTTTTCTAGGATTACTGATCAAATTTTTTTCGACTTCGAGAAAATATAAAAATAAAGAAAACGCTTTTTGAACTAGTTTTACAATATAACGATTTTTTGATTAAAAAATAAAATGCGACGCGCAACGGTTCGCAGGATCCTGACAAGGGCACGCAACTTCATCTTGGCATCAACCACAGCGGGATCCTTACTTTCCAAGACTCACGGAAGATACAACAATTCCGCTGGTCGGAAGTTCAGAAGATCAATTTCGAAGGAAAGATGTTTATTGTGCACGTGACGATAAATGAGGTAAGGAGCGGTGCGATACGCGCAGATTGCACGCGCTAAAGTTGCCGCGATTTATCAGATGCGATTTTACGTTATACGCGACGCAATTTACATGGGGGTTCAACTTCTCCCCGGTTGTATATCTCTCTTTTGAACGCGCAATATGTAGTATTTAAAACACGCAGTAGTTTTCTCGTTGGATTTTAATCCCTGGCATTAAAACTTCGCACTTTATATAAACGTGAAAATAACATTGTGTTGTATTTTTAAATATCCGCGAATATACGCGCGTAGTTTGTTATTTCCGAATGGATTCGAAGTAAACAGAGAAGGACTCGAAGCGCAAATTATATTTCGGTTTATTATATTTGTTCATTATATCTGTTCCCAGTAATATTTGCTTAATTGATGGTAACTTTATTGCGTGCATTTAATATAAATATTTGCAACGTAGAGATGAGACACACACATGGAACAACAAAAATTTACAGCGATTTGTGTTAAATATTTTCAAGTACTTTTCAAGTACTGGCCGGCGTTTATTTACATCGACATTCGCTCGTTGTTTCTCATCTCGAGATAGTCTGTTTTGCACAGACGCGCTCTCTCTTCACATAATTTACATTAAATATAATTTTTCTAAATGCCCTCGGAAGGTCCTTGAAAAGATGTTTTTTTTTTTATCTTGACGAGAGATTTTGTTTTCTAAATATCTTTGAGCAAACTACGTACTTACCCTTCACGCGATAATCGCGCGCGCATGGAAATGCGCGCGCTCGTGCAAACGACGTTGCGTGCAGCATGCACACACGCGTGCGATATGCGCACGCCAACACACGTCAGACGTTACGTGAGAAGTTAAGTAATCCTGTTATATTCTCTCTCTCATGCAGGACTTAAGGACAAAGGTGAGTTCAAGATCGATTTTAATCGCTGAATTTGAACCGTGCAACGTGCATTAGATTTGGAACGTGAGAAAGATAAAGAAAATGAGTATAATTTCAAGTTCGCTTGAAATTATACTCAAAACTCGGTTTTTCACACGTTGTCGTTGTATTGTTCCGACGAAAGTAAAAACCCGTGTTGTTTATTTTGAGAACGAATATAACTTACGATTATCTACCAATCGCGTCAGTTGTTATCGCGACGTTTATTTGTCAAGCGACTAGGGGTCGAAATGTGTTTCGGTATTAACGTTCGATATTTGGGCGAGGAGATTCAACATTGTCTGTGCTCGCATCTGACCCCATTTTTATATATTAGAGTTAGTTTTGTTTCATCAACACACGAGCAACGTCAAGATGTGACGGATATTACTCGAGTCTTCGTGTGATTTTTTAGAAAAAGCATCTCGTCGGTTACAAATGTCCCACGGCAACGAACTGTCGCCACGTGTGGAGATGCGCCATTGAGCAGATGCTGTTTTTTACGTGAGTATATGTTTTTTCTCTTGTTCTCCAGCAAGAGAAACGGAGATTTAACCCTCCCCCCCTTCCTCTCTCTCTTGGTCTAAATTACACGTGCGCTTTCCGCTGGAAGAAACGTTTTTCCCTAATTAAGAAACACGCGCAACGAATTTACGCTGTTCGCCGCTGCACAAACCACGAGATATACGCGAGACAATGTTTGCACAAGTACACGACTTGTTTCTCTCTCAATGACGACGACTCTTACTCTCTCGGACGGTCACACGCGTGTATCGCGTGACTTAACGTGACGTTGCGCGAAATTTTTTCACGATAAATTTTTGCGAATTTCACCGAGAATCCACAAATTTTCTCGCACGGAAAAAATTTCGAGCGAGCGACATTCGTCGTGCCGTTTGCGAATTTGAGCGCAAGTTGTTTTTTTTTTTTTTGCGTGGTTGAAATTGAAACTCGATCGAATGCAAGCGCTTGCCGGAATTGCAAGCGCGCGACTCCATCGAAATTTCCGAGATAAGCAAACGGGGGGAAGGAAGGCCCGTAAAGTGGCCCGTAAAAGATGCATCCGTTTTCTGAAAATATTGCCGACGCTCGGGTTTCCTGTGCCAGGCCAGAAATTTAACGTTTTCCATCGCAAACTTTGATGGATAATCGAAACGAACGATCGCTCGTTTATAAAGTTAAAAACCGGGTCGCTCGGGCAAAACGGGCCACGTATTCACCTCCACCACCACCACCACCACCACCATCATCACGCGTATTTATACACGTGGGAGCGGGGGATGGGAAAATACACGTAATCTTGTATTACACGCGGGTTGGAATAATCCGATAAAAACGCACCCTTATTCGATTAGTTGTTGAACTTGACGCGGGAGTTGCTTTGTCGCTCGTTAGACGAGCGGGTGCCGTTTGTGTTATCCAAGCTCGTTAGCACTTTCGTGTCGAAAACGTCGAAACTTGGTGAATTACGGTGAGTGCTCTCGCAAATTTGTTTTGAACACGCGCTTTAAATCAACGCGGTTTCAGTCGGAAGCTGATTTTTGCGTCAATTCTATATTTCGTGCAAAAGAAAGAAAATATTTTACGAATCCCGACGGTGTGAGGATATCAGATTTTTTTTATCGAAGTAGGACGTAGACAGTCGAAACTCAGACGTTTTTTTCCGCGCGTCTAATGAAACAAGATTTGCATAAATCGCGCGCGTTTGGTCGCAATCAAACGTCATTGAGACCGACAGGTTTCAGAATCAATCTCGGGAATGTTGCACAAGATGAATTTTACAAATTGATCAATATAGGAATCGCCCATAGGGCAAGGCGAGTCAAATTCCCACGGGTCTTTCCGAAATGCAACGGGTTATAACGTCGCCTGCGGCGGCGAGTAAGCACATCGGTTTCGATCGCTGAGACCAGCGCGCGGACCAGTTCCTTACGTCGTAAAAACCATAAATTCGTAGGCGAGCGTATAAATTTCCATTTCCGGTTGAATCCCGGAGCGAGAAAAATCCTGCTTCTCGATAAGGATTTTTTTTTTTTTTCAGCTGTTTGCGCGACACCGCGTAAAACATTCTGACGATTTAAAACACGAACGGAACAAAAACGCCGCCAATACAATGGCGCGGTTATTGTTACCTCACTTTTGTCAACAAAATGCGTTCATTTGTCAGCGAAAATTCTTTACGTGAACTGCGTAAAGCGTCGAACGCGCATTTATCGACAAAAGCGAGGTCGGAAAACACACACTAGCCAATGTGCGCGTCGAAGACATTTTACGAACGTTTTTGCCGATGCGCGTAATTACTGACTGCTGATTAAGCGGCCCGAAGTTTGAGTAATTTAATCGGGAGGTACAATAGAGAGCGAGAGAGAGAGAGAGAAATTCGGTTGTGTGCGCAGCTTGCCGAGGGCGTCGGACGCGCCGGTAGTGAGCGGCGGTTCCATCTTCTCCTGGGGATACAAGTTCAAGTATACCGGAAGAACGGAAAAGGAGGTTCTGGAGGAGGCAGGACCGCTCCGGAAGGAAGAGCCGCCGATACAACGCTGCCAGACAACGTGTCTGAGAAGAAAAGCCAGCAGCGTGCCGGCTACGCCGAGCACGCCGAGCCAAGACCTCGTCGAAATACGTGAGTTATTTCTTCTTTTTCTTCTCCCGACGAATGTAATTTATTCCGACCTATCATCTTCCTCATATTTCACGTTTACGTATGAAGAATATACTTTCGCGCGATGGAACATATTATGATATTGAATCACAGCGCGCGCGCGACGCATCTTTGTTTTTTTTTTTTTTCTACAGTAGTTTTCGTAAGACCAACAAGCAAAATGCTCTTCCGCGAAGATTGTGATATTAATTGATTAATTAATTAATTTCTTCCTCGCAACGAGTTGCGAGAAGAATTGATTTTACGTGAAAAAATATTCGGATGTGGGGTAAAACACTCGGTGTTGATCGGCACTTCAAGTCCAATAATTGGCACTTTAAAGACCTATCAATTTTTTTTTTTTTTTTCAAGAGTTTTCGCCAACTGAAAGACTGTAACGTTGCCGTAAAAAAATCCAAATTAATTCTGCCGTAATGTCGGGAGTAAAAAGTAATTACGGACCAAAATGTATAAGCGGACTAAGAAAGAATCGATAAGCGCCAATTGGAGACGTGCTGATTACAGATTCGGTTCACCTTCCATGTATTTATCTAGATTCGAACTCGACGTCTCTCTTATTAGTCTCTTCGCATCTGACTGTCTGAGTCATGGAAGTCGGACTCCATCACCTAATTAATGGACGCTAATGAATACACCGTTGAGACACGTGTCACATTTCTAGGATACTCCAGCCTACCACGTAGCTGTCACAGCGCGGGCCTGGATGGCGCTGGGATGCTGGAGGGCGGAGCGGGGGTGCCGCTGAGTTCGCCCTATTGTCCAGACAATACCTTGCCCCTACTGGAGACTGTATCCGAGGACCAAGAGATTCACGCCAGGAGAAACAACGGTTAGTTGTGATCGGCCATGTTGTCATCCCGTCTTTCCTGTTCTCTCTTTCTCTCTCTCTCTTTCTCTCTTTCTCTCTCTCTCTCTCTGTTCCTTCTTTTTTTTTGAAACGTTGTTGAATTCTCCCGTTGAAATCTCTCCGTCCCCGCGTCCGCATGCGAACGGCAGCGATACACCATTGATCCGTTACATAATATTCTTGAAGCTTGCGTCCTAGTTTGAGCAAGAGACAAGTGTATTTTTACTATTTTTAGTCGTCGAACTGGTAGTTGCGTTTGAGGAAATCTCCGTAAGAAAACTACACTCAGCGTTCTTGACATACATATATATAGAAATTAGTGCATGGCCAAGTACATAACGATAGTGTGTGCAAAATCTCGCTTGTCCGAAAAATAGTGAAGTAACCTTTCGGTGTCCTCGTCTTGAAAAGAAATAAAAAACCGAAACAAAAATCCTAAGAGATATCAGAAAGGAAGTTGCGAAGTCACTGATGAGTAGCGCGAGAATAAATTAACGTGTTCTTGAATACTTTCGCATGTGCGCATAGAATTTCTTGAAACAGGAAAAATAAGCTTTGAATTGAAAATTATACATAAATAAAAATCGGGCGCTTGCTCGCGCGTCGCCAAGTCGCGAGAAGCCACCGTGCATCGGGTGACGCGCCAGCGACGCGCACTTATGTAAGCGCCAACATATCCTCTTCCCTGTTTTTTTTATGACCGCCGCTGCCGCAACCGCCGCCGCCGCCGCTTTTTTGGCTTCTTAGAACCTTCGGTTGATTTGTTTTCTCCTTTTCTTTCTGTTCTTTTAGCCGTAGACGAAAATGATACGCATGCGAGTGCCACCCACACGTCTACTACTACCATCACCACCACCACTACCACCACCACCACCTCCAACACCATCACCACAAACCGTGCGAAAGCCAAACTGAAATTCCCCAAGAGCACGCTGAACCGACCGCAACCGTTGTACAGTCAGAAAATAGTGATAGACTCGGACGAGCTGGCCGGTCGCGACATCGAGCACGTCGTGCGACAGCGCATTAACGCCCTGATTAACGAGGGAAGTCCGAAGGTGGTGCGGTCGACCGCGCTGATAATCAAGAGCTCGAAGGCGCCGGCAAGCGCCAATGGACGCCCGCCGATCAGAAGCAGCAGCTCCTCCGCCGCGCACGAGGGTAAGGCGCGCGTAAGCGAGGTAAGCGAGCTCGACGGCGAGGTAAGCCGTGGGACCACAACATCGATCAAGACTGCCATGAACGGTTGCGCGGGACTGTTGAACGGATTCGATCGCGCGAAGCGCCAGGAAGCAGCAGGTAAGCGAGGCGATCCGCGAAATAGTGAAACGCGAGAGAAGTGCGTTTTGTTTCCTCTCTCTTTCTTTTTCTATCTCTCTCTCTCTCTCTATTTCTATCTTCCTCTGTCAGTTACCCTCTCCTCCTGCGTGTATGTTCGACTTCGCTTCTTTATTTCCTCTCATCTCTCTTTACGTTACGCTTCCACACTGGTTTGCATGGGACTTGTGCCTGTTACGTTGATAAACCGAGACACATCCGACACGTTGTTCTCGGTAGAGTTCGAGTTGGACCGTAGTGCTCGATCAATTGGCCTTGTATATCGGGGCGACTCTTCTGCCGCGAGTACTCGGAGAATTCCGCGAGAGTTCTCTCTGTCACGTAGCCAAGTCGAGTCTGGTACAACGGTCGGATCTCGGTGAAGTGCTGTTGTAGTTTGAAACGTTGTACATACATAGATACGTGCAATTATCATTGCGGGAGAAAGTGCATGTGTGTAAAGCTGTAAACACGAATCAAGTCGTCTCTCCTCTGCGTCGGTCGGTTCGTGGAGATCGATTTTATTTGTTGTGCACGCCGATCTTTCTCTTCTCTAAAGTTTCTTTCTCTCTCTCTCTCTCTTTGTTTTTAATTACACAAACAATTTTTGAAATTACGATCCAGAGACACAAAGCGAGGAGATTATCTTACACTTTGCTGTAGAAACAAAATAAAATAGCGTGAGAGAATGAAAAAACTCGTGAGAAATATCGATCTGTTGAGTGTATCAGGTGAGTAAATTTTTTTAAATGTATTTCTTGAGCAAATTTTCAATTATAAATTTATGCGCGCGAAAATAATACTCCTCCTGTTTGCATTCGCGAAGTATTCCGTTCCGTTACATAGCGCGCTACGTCGTAAAGAGATACTTAGCATAAGTTTTCAAGAGAGAAAGTACCGAAGAGAATTATATCATTCTATGTCGTACGTTTTCCTAACCCGATTTTACGTATATGTATATACGTACAGCGGCGAACGTACATAGCGCTCGAGATAGATATTTGTTCCGTCGCGTTTGTGCACATAGAATTGAAGGAAAAATAGCAACCTTGACAGTTCGAGTGTTTTGTGTTTTTGTTGCGCGCATAAATTTATAGTAGATTTATTTAAAAAGAAAACAACAATCCACAAACATTCTCTCTCTTTCTCCTTTTCTCTCTCTTCTCGCATCTCTTTTATGAAGTTTTTTGAAAATTAAAGATACTACGAGAAAACGATGAAGCAAAACAAAATACAGTTTACGCTATAAATAGGACTTTAGCTCCACGAACGCGACTCAAAGCCTCGGACCGTCGGAATCTCCTCCGCACCATGCGTCCTCGTTGCTCGCGGATCGTTTTTTTCGCTGACGCAATCGACCGATATAGCATCGATCGTCAAACTTTCTGTTACAGTCGGTCAGCACGAGGGCGAGGCAAACGACTACTACTTCAGGGACTCCTTCGACCACTCCTCGTCGGAGAGCCAACTGCTGGACGCCTCGGGCAAACCGCACAGCCGTTCGGTCACGCCGGTACCCAAGATGCAAAAGCTGCAGAACTCGAAGCTGTGCTTGCAGCAGCAACAACAGCATCCGCAGCGTCATCACGCGGGTCGACGTGTCGCGGCCACGGCCAAGCTTCGACGCAAAAGCCTGCACGTTATCAGGCTCTTTATACCGGTGTTTATGCTGACAATCACGGTGCTGTTCATCGTGACGGTCTTGGTATTCGAGACGGATACGACGCTGTTCAATAGCTTGCGCAAAACGCCGGAAATGGTGGCCTTAAGGAGCCAGTATTACGTTCCGATCAAGGAGTTCCTGCGGACCAAGCTCGGCCTATTCTGATGCGACAAGATGATGACCGGGCCGAGGTCGTCCTACGTCGTCGCGTAGCCTCTCTCTATCTCTAGCTTTCTTTCTCTCTGTCTCTCTTACTCTCTCTCTCTCTCTCTCTCTTTCTCTTTTTCTCTCTGTCTCTCTCTCTCTCTCTTCAGTGCCAAGTCGCGGACGGGACTCGTGACTAGAGAGATTTACTGGCCCCCAGTCGCGGAAAAAAGAACGTGCGCCTTTTTCCCTTTCATCCTCTCCGCCTCAGCCTCCCTTCGTTGCGCGCCGTCGCGTCGCAGCTTGATCGCACGAGTGCGAGTGCTTCGAGAGTGTTTGTCGGAAGCCAGGCCGGAAACAAGAAGAAGAGAGACGAAAAGTATTGAGAGGATCCGTACAAGGTCTGAGGTCGGAATTACATCTGTTTATTATTAAAATTCGAGCGACAAAAAAGAAATGATTTGAATTGTTTTGTAAAAAAAAAAAACTTGTACAAAAGCTGTACTTAATCGTGAACGAACACACACAATGTATGTATGTAAAATAGCGCGTTCTACTTTCGTGTCTCCGTGCGTGTTTCGTGAAAAAGAGAGACGCTTACGGTCAGATATTTTATTTCAGAGGAGACTCGCGCTTGGCTACGTGAGTCGCCGCGCTACTCGGTCGCCTCGTCTCTTCACACAAATGCGGAACCAGAAGTTCGCACGCGCATTTATTTTACAAATGTTGAATTTAGTCGGAGAAACGCGGTCTCAGCGCGAAAATACGCGTTGCTCGCCCGTGAAAAATAATAGGGAAATGTCACTAATGTACATATATACTTGTTTAATATTAAAAGAAAACAAAATACAAATATAACAAATAACAAAAGTAAATTGTAAAATTTAGAAGATTTTAAAAATATATTTATAAAAACGTGGTTGAAAACAATTTTCATTGAGAAACTTATTTCTCTGGTTTTTGAAATGAAAATTTGTTTCATTGAATAATATTGCATGAAGTTGTAATCGTTGTATTCTCATATCACATTCATTGTAACGTGTATAGTTTTAATCGTACACGCCGATACTAAAAATCAGCGGACGACGATATACGGGACGTATTTTCGACCGTTGGAGGAGAGAATTCGATTTTATTCGTCACGAATTCAACGGAATGGATGGTTGGTGCCGAGCTACCGGGTGTATCGTATGGCCTACCCTATTATCATGAAAAGGATGTGTGTATGTGTGTGTGAGTGTGTGCGGACACACAAGAGTGTTCTTTTTTCGGACGCGTGACTTTCTCCGCGCGCCGCGGATAACGCGACAAGAGATAAAATACGCAGCGCGGCGCAACGCGCTGATATAATAACAGACAAAGATATTTTAGACACTGTGAGAGGACGGAAGAAAGAGCGCGTGTACACAGAGAAGAGCGGATGTGTAATATGTGTAATAAAAAAAAAAAAGAAAAAAAAAACAAGTCCGTCTCTTTGACGAGACTCCGCTGAGAATTAGTTAAGGGATTTATATAGATTTATTTTAAACGTCGGTCAACGAACAAAAATAACAGTCGTTTCGTCGTAGATAATTGTAGACGACATATATGTATGTGCAGCGCTCTAGTACAGGAAAAACAGACGAGTTGACAAAGTTACATCGCGTCGTCGATGGCAAACATTTAAATTCGTAAAAAGAAATAATAAAACAAAAACAAAAAAAAAAAACTTCCTTGCCGATTTAATCGCTGTCTGTTTACGCGTTCTCGATGTGCGTAGGTGCGCTTTGATGTGCGTTACCGTCATCATCTTTGTCCGTCGTCTCATCTCCCCTCATTCTTGCGGGAGTGTGACATATCTCGTCGCAGCGCGTGCAGCAAATATTCTCGATACTCTCGTACGATTACGAGGAGCCATCATCTCTCTCCTTTTCACGAGAAGAAGTGAGATTTGTCAGGATCTGCGCGTTGCATTCGACGGAAATTTTACCGGTTGTGAAATTAATAAAACGCGCGTGTGTGAACAAACTTTGCGAGTGAATTTAAGCAAAATTCGATTTCACCTCTCGCGTCTTGTACAAATAAATTAAAGCGAGAAATCTAAAATTAAAAATCTGTAAAGAAACCAAAACTGTCTGACTTTTTTTTTTGAAAATTCTCGTTTCTTGATTTTCACTTGCTTTTAAACGATTCTTCGGAAAATCTTAGAGGTGCTTTCACCTCTTTCGGCAGATCCTGACTCATCTTGTGTGTCTCAGACTGGCTATGTCCGCTTGAGTGTTTTTCAAATCGATGAAGCAAGAGTTTTGTCAATTTCCTTTCGACTTTATTGCCGATCAACACGCGAATCGACACGTGTATGTGATTTCGATTCTCGAGAGAAAAAAAATAGAGTTTCTGCCCTCAAGTGGACATGCGGTCTCTCTCAGTCAGCCATTTTTCCTAAAAGTGCCTACGCTGTTTCTTTCGTATCGTTGGATTCGTTCGAGCTAATGAATATCCACTCTGGAAAACTAAGAGCCAGGATAAAGTAAGCTCGAGTAAAAAAAGCACAGAATTAAAAACAGAATATCTATGAGCAAACCAATGAAACTCACTCTCATGTCGATCTTCGCATCGAAGCGTAGCGCTCTTCTGCTCGCGTCGGACGATGTTAACCGGGTTTTTATTGGCTCGAAAACAAATTTCCCTAATGTAGCGCGAACAGAACGTCGTCGGCCGAGCACGAACGACTCTAATAAATTAGAGTCGTAACTGTGTGAAGCACGCGATGCGCCGGCAGTAGGGCGCGAAAATGTGCGAAATTTTCGCTGATTGTGTCGATTCGCCGCGAGGACACATTACGAAGGCCGGTACCATGTGCTTCTGATCTAAACCAAAAATTAGTCGCCCATCTCTAATGTCGAAAAACGCATTTCCGGCCGTCTGAACGGAACGAAGAGAGTCACCGGATTAATCTCAATTGGAGTTACTTGAACGATGATCGATTGCGCGTCTCGGGCAGAAGAAGTCGCTACGGGCGACGTGCTACTTGTATAAATAAAACAAATGAAGGTCAATTGCAAATGTAAATCTAGTTATTATAAATTATAAGAGAATATCAATAAATATATCCTCTTGCTGGGCCACACATTTCCGATGTAACACAAGAGAACTGAGAGTCACGCGAGAGAAGAAAACTTGAAATGGGAGTCGGTCACCAGGTCGGTCTCCGAAAGCAATCAATGAGAGAGAGAGCAGATACACTAAACGAAATTAAAATACTCTCGCAATTGTCGTGGTTTTTCGATTCTCAAAAGCTGAAATACTCTTTCTTCCGGAGAGACGACTTTCACAATAATAAAACTCGCAAGGACATATTTCAAAAAAAGAGAGTTCGCCGTAATGTAATGGACCGAAAAGAGCGGTGGTTTACCGGAGAGCGACTGTTGATTCTAAAAAAAAAGCAAAGAAACAAAACCAAACTCTTTTCTAAGGAAAACATGAGAATTCGAAATTGCGGATCTCTTTAATTTGTAATTACCGCGAGTTCGCGACCTCTTGCGAGGGAAGCGCTTCAATAAGGGATAAAAAAAACTTTTAAGTGAACACTCGGTCTAAAGTGTGGAATGTTTGATGAGGCAGAAACGGAGGATTGTTTGTTGAAAAAAAATGATGTGCGATGTGATAAGATGTGAAATATTTGAGAGTGACAAAGTTTTTTCAATTCTGCGCGATGATACATTTTTCAGAGAACTTCCCCGGTAAACGTAAGTTAATTGATAGATACTCGTTATTCGTGCGCGCGCGCGCGCGCGCGTAACTGTATATAATAGAAAAAAATCTGCGGTGTTGAAAGTGTGAGACGATTAGCCGGACTGTGCGTGCGGTTGTTGCGTGTGCAAACGATCGAAGACGTGACGTGCGAGAAGAACGTGTGTGCGTTTCATATATATATATATATACATGTATAATTTAGATGCGGTTTGTAATCTAATTACATTATTGGCGACGCATTTCGGTATTGTTTAGAACATCAGGCGCAGTATTAATCTTGCCGACAACTCTTCAAATTCGAGAGAATCTCAACAATTGTTTTTAGATGCATTTAGTAGCCGTAGTCTGTCTTTCGTTGTTCGGTGCGGGAGAAGTTGTATATATAATATATTTTCAAAACTACGTAATTCTACATTTCGAATGCGATATGATAATTTAAAGACAATGTATGTCGCGACGCGACGCGTATTATCAGTCGAGCGAGTTGTGCGCGTGTTGCGTTCGTTGTAAATTTATGACAACGTGCCGCGCCGCGTAATTGCAATTAGCACCTTTACATTTAATGAGGGTCGCGCTCGTCCGACAAATCATCGCAAAATTGCAAATTTGTTCTTAATTAGATAATTATGAAATTATCGACATTCTCCTGTTGATGTGCACGCGCGCGCGATCATAAATTCAACGCTGAAACAAAATTTACATCGTCAATTATTGTTAAGATATTTAATTTCGCGCTGATGTGAGAAAATGTCTGTGTAGGATTGTTTTTAATAGTCTATTTTACGAGGGGTTAGTTACATAGTTGGTTAGATATTTATTTAATGATACGTAGAAGTATTGTTAATATTTATTCGCCGTAGTGCTGCGAAAGAAAGAACCAGGCACAATTGCGGGAATAACAATATTGCGAACGGAGGGCTAAAGCAATTACCACGTATTGTGTGCGTGTGTGTGTGTGTGTGTGTACAAATGTGCGGCGAGGTGAGTGTGTGTGATGAAAATGCGATGTTAATTAGAGAAACAAAAAAAAAAAACACGGCCGACGCGACGACGAGAATGGAGCTCTGCGCTAAATCAAAAAAAAAAAAAAAATAAAAATTAAAAAAAACTAACGATGATAATCTTTCTACAATCTCCATTCGTATGTACACTTTTTGTACGCTTGCAAATCGTAGCGAGGACAACAGTCATGTAGAGAGTCAAGTACGTGAAAAAAAAAAAAAAAAAGGGAAAGAGCGTTTTTCTTCTGATCTGTTATTATACATAGCCCTTTGAAAAATTTTGTATCGCATGCATGAATAAACGAGACGTTTCAGATCGCAGACGAGATTTCGTATTATAACGTACACACGCGTGTGTGTGTGTGTGTGTGTGTGTTGTGTGCGTGTGTTGTGTGTGTGTGAGAGGAGAGTCATACTTCATATGAAAGAAATATTCATTCAGAGTTTTATAGCTTTCTTGTAAACACACACACTTAAAAAAAAAAAACAGCAAAAATTGACACTTGCATCTCCGATTCTTTTATCGAATAAAGATAAATCACAAATCAGACAACGGGTATGTTATTTATTTGCAAAATCAATTTCCTTTTTCGCGCCTGAAAGACTTTACCTGGATCTGAAACCGCAAACTTGAAATGTGCAAATTAGGACTTGCGACCGAGTTATCGCTCGATATCTACTATTTGTTTAAATTCGCGCTCGCGATATTTTCAAAACGATACCGAAGCTGACAACGGAGTGACCTAATCGGGACGGTGATGATAAAAAATCAACGCGGTTAATTAGTCACTCGTTCAATTTAAAAGCTAGAAGATATCGCGCGTCTCGTCGATAATAAGCATCATCGCGGATGACCGCGCGTAATGCAATGCGCGACTGTAATTATGATTCACATAGAGGCCGTGATTCTAAAAACTCGATCCGTCACCGACTCGATTCTTTCGCTCGTTTACATGTGTCGCAATTAGCCAAGTGACAGAGAAGAGTCGTCGACAGCGACGCGGCGCTTTTGTTTTCGCATCGCATCGCTCAAACAATAAAGTAAAGTCGATATTCAACTTTTGTGACGTAAAATCAACGAAGAGCTTGTAATAATCGCTCCGCTAATTACCCGAGCGCGGGTTAAGATACTCATTATGCGTTTCTGACTTCCATATCTGACTTCCATATCTGAGGCCGCGAAAACTGGGACGAGTTCGTCCGTGGAAAGTGAATCGCCGACGGCCTTGAATTAACGCAATCTGCGTGGATAGAAAACGCGACGCGGATCGCTACACCTGCCTTGTCCGTGAAAGGAGCGTGCCATCTGTTATTGATGTTCTATTGGGGGTTTGATGTTGGTCGCGCCGTGTAACGTCAATATGTACGTATGTACGCACGCGTACGTGTATATATATATATATATACATATATACATATATATATATATATATATATATATATACACGTACGCGTGTACACATGTGTACAAAACAAGTGGTAAAATTAACTTTCATGTCGAGCCGCGCGCCGATTTCACTTGTAAGGTCGCTATCAGGGCACCGCGCGAGGACATTTAAATGATAAGTAAAGTACAAGAACATACGAACGAGTTATTATCTTGACGCGAAGTCGCACTTTGCGAGTCTCTTAACGCGATACAATCTGATATGTACTGTGTGTTCTATATACACACAGTACGTTAATGTATGATAAATACAAACCTCATACGCACACACAAATATTTGACATTTTCGAAGCTAATAGACGCGATATAAAAGTAAAAACAAATTGAAGTACCGAAAGAGAAAAAGAGAATAAAAGTATAAATATCTTGTAAAAGTATAATAATCATAATTTTACTTTTGTGAAAATAATTAAAATTAATTTTCAATTTTCGAATTAAATTTGCTTCGAAATTACAGATTGAACGCTCTCGTTAGTTTTTGTGTGATATCAAATAAACAAAGTACAGTCTCTCTTTGAATTAAATACGAATTTGACAACGCGTGATTCTCTGATCTGTTTGCAGAGACAATGGCAGAAATTATTCTATTAATTTATATTCGAGAGCCGGTGTGAGGATCGCATCGCAGCGAGCGATGACAGCTCGTACAAATGCAAGGCGGCGTCTGGGGTATTCTCTGGTACCGGTACTACGGTGACTCACCGGAGTCGTTCAGTACGCGGCCGACCACGAAGTCGTCGACGTCGGCTCGTGTATTCTCTCCCGACACAACCGCGTGTGCATTCGTCACTCGAGACTCGCCGCTTCTGGCGGGTTGATTGTCGCAGTGATTTATTCTCGTGGCTTTGCAAGACAATGTTCGCGTGAGTCGAAACGAGTGAGACACTGAGTTTAGGTGGACGGCGCGCAGCTACTTGGATTGCACATTGTTGAAACTTCACATTTTTCAGGCGACATGGTAATTGAGAGCTCGTTAGTTGAATTAATAAGCTCGAATAAAATTCGATCGACGAGATATTTGCTCAAAAAATACACTTCGAATGGAAAAACGCAATAACAAACAATTATACAAGAGAGAATTGCATTAGTTTCTGTTATGTACGAGTGATAAAAAATTGTTCGAGTAGTGATAATTAATTATCTACAGTGTCATTGTCGAGGAATGAGACTTGATTCGAATCCTAATGTTGTTTTTCTTCTTCACGCTTGCTGTAAGGTTTTCAAAGATCCCGTATGTGTGTGTGTGTGTGTGTGTGTGTGACGCACAGTTTTTCAATATATAAATATGTTTTCTATCTGACCTCGCGGTAAACTTTAAATTCAACCCAGATTGTGTCGCTTTGACTCTTGGATCGTAAGTAATGAAGCTTCTTACGGCCGAGTATATGTGACGTCAGAAATATTTTCCCGTTCTTTCCGTTATACACGTATCTATTAAATCAAACTCACTTCTCTCGCAAGGAGAAACTCTTTCATTTGAATTTTAATTAATTTTAGCACGTTTAAGAGAGAGTTTTTTTCGCATTTCGTGTGTGGAAAATGCACGCGCGCACGAGAGAGGAAACATTGCATCTTTATTTTTTTCTGTGATTTCATCTTAAAGGTGAGAACATTTGTAAAAATGAAACGAGCTTGAAGAATCGTTTCCTTGCTCGATTTTCGTGTTGCAAATGTGCTTCCTTGCTGTCGCGCGTCTGTCTTTGTCCTGTGATCCATGAAACGGGAAATGATTCATTTTCTCGCAAACGCGCTCAATGGAGGGATTTACTAAAATGCCGCACGTGATTCAGGAACTAGTTTCTCAAAGCAAGGACAATCGATCGTTCGCCGGAATTGAAGCCTCGCGCGTTGACAGAATCTTACCGTCGTGTAACATCTCGTGCCCCTTACAAATCGCGAGGGAAAAAATGTCAAAGATAATAAATTTGAAAATCAAATTGCGTAAACCAATAAGAGATGATTAATCTTATTTTACGATAAACGTCACGCGTTTTCTTTATCATCGCTAAGTATCGGATAAGTTATTTTGCGAGTGGAGAAAAATTGTTGTTGCGCGTACAACTTCGATAATGCGCGCTCGATACAAACAAACCATATAAATTTCTATATAAAACTTCACAACTAAAATTCCACATAGATTAGATATTTACATGTTTTTTTTCGATATTTGTTTTTGCTTGACTTAGCCATTCGGACGCAGCTCTCACTCGGAAAAACTATTGGACGACCATTGGAATGCCATTGGGAATACGATACGCACGCACACACACAACCACACACAATCTCTTTCTCTCTCTTTCGCGTTTCTCTCTACCGTAAATTTAAAAAACAGGATTACAGGATTACCTCACGCGTGCGATGTGAGTCACGCATTTCCATGCGGAATTTTAACAGGTTCGTTGAACCACTTCCCGTTTTATTTTCTTTTTCTTTTCGTCACGTCGTTCTTCACTTTCGACCGGTTCCTCACTTTTTTTACAAGATCTACGAGATAAGACGCGATCCTCCAATGAGAGGATCTCGTAGGCGAGATCTTCAGTCGGTTCGAATGAAATGATTGACGTTCCTGGTCTCGTTGCATGTCGTAATTCGCACAAGCGCGGCGGTCCCGAATGCTGTAATTGCACCGACAATTCCTCGGCAAGTCGCGCGCTCGTACATATCCCAGTCTCAATTCTTAAGACTTTCCAAATTGCGCGCTCGCAAATGTTTCTCTTTCCCGAGAGACTCGAACGATCTATTTTCGTGCAAAAAATCAATTAACATTTTAATTTTATTTTAAGCTGTTTTTTGGATTTTTAAATTTTATTTCAAAGTTTCTTTTATCTTCCAAAACTACTTCTTATTCTTTTTCAAGCAACAAAATCTAATCTCACAAAGCGCCATCCGCTTGAGGAAAACTATTTTCTAGTATTCATATACATTCTCGATACAAGGAAATTATTTTCTTGACGTTTTTTGTGAAGCGCAACGCTACGTAGATAAGATACGGACGCGTCTCTGCGCAGCAGCTCGTATACGAGAGTTCCTTGCCAATTTCCACGACGGTTGGAATTACGTTATCATCTGCGACAACTTCATCCGCGCGCGCGATAAGCAAATCTCTTTTTCTCTCTCTCTACGCTTGTTCTCTCACACACACAAGCCCCTAACAGACCTGGTATTACCTATTCTGGAAATTAGAACGATCGTGACGCGACATAAAGCGGTCGTTAGCGGTGCGTGTAATGACGCATCTGTCTATCTCTCTCTCTCTCTCTCTCTCTCTCAAAGCTCTTGGAGCCCGATAAGGTACAACACATGCACGCGGGTACGTATCGGCGGAGGACGCCCCCGTGTCTTCTGGGGAACGAACACTTTTAAACAGCCGGCCGTGTTATTATACGCGCCGGGAATAATTTTACGGTAATGTGCACATTGCGTACAACCACCGACGTAATAGAGCGTCCTGTTCGAATTTGCGTTTTCCCATTGACTTTCTCGCGGCGACGTTCTAATCGATCTCGCCGGCGACAACCGAAGCGAGACGCGCGCGAGAGATTTATCGGAAGACTTGGTCGGCAAGAGATCCAGTTTTTTTTTTTTTTTTTGTCGCCGTATCATGCATACTTACCTACTACGGCGCCTGTTACTTAGAAAGCAACGTGGTACATCTTCATCTCCCGACGATCTGACACGCATCGCTAAACAACGCGATAACAATCGAAAATCTGGGTTATTTCAATTCGTCGATTCTTAATTAAGAAACGGGTGCGGAGCTGACGTCGACGATCCCTTCCGCTCTCTTCCGATCGATCGCGAGACACGTCACGCATTTCGTTCGGTTACGAGAGAAAGAGAGAATGCTATCGGGGCGATTAAGCAACAAACCGCTTATCGACCGCATGCAAACACGAGTTCGCGAAATGATAACGCGCGTTCTCGCGTGCTCATAATCGTGGCACTGTTAATCGTCTCGAAGGATGCGTGGTAAAAAAAAAAAAAAAAATCGTCGAGAGAGAGAGGGAGACCGGTATGCCTTTTCCGCGCAAAATCGCGTTTCATTGTTTCCTCTGGCGAATCGCCACTCTGTATATTTTCTAACGCAACGCAACGTGCGTTTGCTTCACCGTCGTGAGATAATCCTTCTGAGAAAATTCCAACCTGTATTTGCCGTCAGCGACCTCGTCAGCCTGTCATGAGTCACGAGATTGCGTTTCTGAGTTCCTTTTAACACGAGGTTCAAATCGCTCCACCCACGTATCTTCATTAGGAAAAAATTTTTCTTCTATCTGGTTTTTTTTTTTTTTTTATCCAGAGGTTGGACATTTTTTCAAAATTTCAAGCAGATAGTTTCAATGGATTTTGTCGTGACGATGTGAGATCTGCCCGCGTTATACAAAGTTTCACGAAACAAGTTTCATGTGCGGTGTAAAAAGATTTTGTTTTACGCATGCGAATCGAACTTATCGTTTGTGCGATTATTGGTCTACACGCTTATCGATAATAAACGAAGATTGTCTTATCATTTGTGGCTGACAATGAAAAATATCGGTTTCCCGCGTCAAGAAACAAAAGCACACTTGATTCAACACGCGTTAATAAAAAAAAACTCCAAAACTAAAAACAATCGCAAAAAATAAAAAACACATACGAATGAAAAAAATCTCGTATTTTTTGGTGAAAATCTTTAAATGAAAAACAAAAAAAAACAATGAGAAAAATTAATTGTTGCACCGTACAAAGCGACTGCACGATTTTTTGATGCGACGACAGTTCGTCCTAACGACGGGCAAAATATAGCGAGCGATATCTCACCGAGTACCGTCGACCGGCGACAAGCGGAACTGCGGTGAACGAACAGACAGTTTCATTACGCCGACTGCGGCGGAAGCCGTGCGAAATGATGTTTCTCTCTGCTATTTGGTACGGCACGCGCGCGCGGTGCAACAAGAGCGGGAAACATATTATGGCGATCGATGGCGTGCGGTCACTAGCCCCATCAATCACAATTAACCCGCTCCACCGCTCCGAGCACTAATCGAGGAGCTTGATGGCGAGATATGACCAGCCGGGCTCTATTGTTGACAAAATCTGTCTGTCACTTGGGATTAACGGCGGCGACGAGAAGCGGAAGCTGAAAAGCGCGTCCATTCATCCCGGCATTGTCCGCTTCCGCGAACGCTTGTTCCCGCCGCGCTTTCTACTTCACGATGAAATCTCCATTTTTTTCCCGTTCGCGTTATTGTCCGATTTGTGTTCCCTCCCTCTCTCCCTTCGACGACGACGACATTGTCGCCAAATCGCTTTGTCGCCAAATCGACGCGCGTCCACATTAAATATTCGATTCTTCGTTCTTCAAAAATTCGTCGAAAGAGAATATCACTCGGCCGGAAGTCGTCTCGTGTGTCCTGACTTAAATTTCTCTTTGCATTTTCGCCGATGCCACGCCAGCTCGTTTTCTTACACGCTCTACAAGTATTCTATCCACTTTCTTGTCTCGTTAATTCTGTTTTATAACTCGAAGATTTCCATTCTATTCTATTTTTTTTTACGCAAATCGAGTTTCTATCATCAAATTATTGTCCATCTGAGAAAAAAGTTGGCTCTTAAAAAATTAAATTAAGTTTTTTTTTTTTTAATTAATGAAGGAAAAAGAAACTCTTCGATATTAATTATTTGCGATTTTGCTGCTTGATTTTCCATCACTGAATTCTTTTGTAATAAAAAGTGAACGCAAGTAAGTTTGCGTGCAAAGTTATATGCGTGGAAGCGGCACAAACTTATTTAAAGAGTTTTATATATAGGTGTTTATAATATTAATATTCAAGCGGGGTGTATTATGGTAAAAGGGCATTGTAAGGGCGCAGAGACTGAACTCGCACTGAAAAAAGAACGGAAGCGATCGATGGATGGATCAGCGATCCGTGAAATGTCGGGGCGAATAAGCGTTTGCAATACTCGCGGCACAGAAGTCGCGTAATTGGATTCGCGGTGCGCGACGCGACGTCGCGTCAATTCTTGCTCGCGTTCGTTGCTCGTTTTCATTTTTTGACGAGCGTGTCGCGTGTCACCGCGAACTGGAAATCAATTTACGTTCGTGCGATTATTTGCAGGTGTACCACTGGCAAAGTCAAAATGTCAAGATCTCCGGGGTGGACGACATGGTACTTCTGCCGAAGATCAACGAGGACGCGATCATTGAGAACCTCAAGAAGAGATACATGGACGACTACATATTCGTATCCTTTTCTTTTTGCATATTTGTCCTTCGAGAGAATTTGCGAACTAAAAACGTACACACTAGATGTTCTCTCAATGTTGTGACAGTTTATTTAAAAAAAATGATGCGCGTACGACTCCTTAATTGCTGTCAGACATGCATCGGACCCGTACTGGTATCGGTCAATCCTTTCAAACAGATGCCGTATTTCGGAGAAAAGGACGTCGAGTTGTATCAGGGCGCGGTGAGGAAAATAAAAATGTTACTTTGTCACCGGTGTACTATACATCGAGAAAATTTCTCTGTATTTATTAGTAATACACTGTATTCTTCCTTTTTTGTGCTCTCTTTAAGAATTAAATATCTTCTGGTCATTATTTTCAATATTTTTCGCGTGTTTTGTTATTCAGGCGCCGTACGAAAATCCACCTCACATTTATGGATTGGCAGATGAAATGTACAGGAACATGTTGATCGACAACGAGAGTCAGTGCGTCATTATCAGGTAAATACTATTTATATATGTAGTAATTAAAATTTGTTTTTGTCTCAAAATGATCTCTTGGAAACATTTAAATTAAACGATCGTGAGTTTAGCGACGTTTTGTATCTTATCGTGTATTTTTGTTTGCGCAGCGGTGAGTCCGGCGCTGGGAAAACGGTCGCTGCGAAATACATAATGTCCTACGTGGCGAGGGTGAGCGGCGGAGGTAAGAAAGTGCAGAGGGTGAAGGACATAATTCTGGAATCAAATCCGCTTCTGGAGGCGTTCGGTAACGCGAAGACTATGAGGAACAATAACAGCAGTAGATTTGTACGTGCGAATTAAATATGTACGTGCGACTGTGTAGTTCAGTTCACCTAAATTTCCGAATTTCTTTTCAGGGAAAGTACGTCGAAATGCAATTCGGATCGGGCGGTCAGCCAAATGGTGGCAAAATTTCGAATTTTCTTCTCGAAAAGTCGAGAGTGACGTGTCACAATCCGGGCGAGCGAAATTTTCACATATTTTACCAACTGGTGACAGGCGGCAATCAAATAATGAAGAGTGAGTGCAATTAAGAAGTTAAATTGTTGTTAAGAATTAGTTTCTCTCTTTCGAGAAAAAATAAAAGTAAAGGAATTTATACGATTGCGTGAGAGAGGATGTTACAAATTAATTAAAATTCCACAGCGGAATTCGGGTTGACGGATCTCGATTATTATCAATATTTGAGTTACGGCGGCAATCACAGAGTGGACGGCACAAACGACGCGCGGGACTTTCAGGAAACCCTGAAAGGTATGTGTGTAAAAATGATCTAATCACAAATCTCTCATTACAATAACTTCGTGAAAAAACACACCGAATCAAAGAGAAAGCGCGCGGTAAACAATTGCCTGACGCAATGATAAGTCGTTTTTCTATGAACGTGCACCAATCGAAAGGCAAATATGTAATTGCCAAACTGTCGAGTCAGAAATAACTCGGAGTCCACTGGCCGGAGGTTAAATATCGCAACTTCCACGATCATTAAGTGTTTTATGCAGTTGTTTTTCTAACGCATGCGCACATATCAACTGTCACTTGATAATCTACTGATATATGTTCACAGCACTGAACGTTATGGGAATACAAGACGCAGAAGTAATGAATATATTCAGATTGGTCGCCGGAATTCTTCACTTGGGAAACATACATTTCGCTGAAAACGGCAATTATTCGCAAATAGCCGACAAACAATGTAAGGCTTATATCATTTCATCTACAATCCACTTCATATAGTATATATATATAATATATATATATATATATACATGTTACACAATTTTTTCTATATTTTATCTATATCAGTAATTGTATCAATGATCGCGTCTGCTTACTATCGGCTAATCGGAGATATAACAAATTGCGTCCTAGAAATTTTCTTTCGACGTTAGGTAACATTGTTGTATTGTTATTTTTTTATCACGTAAGTTTTTCTGATTGTATGCGATATTTCAGTTCTAGAGTTTCCAGCCTACCTCTTCGAGATCTCGGTTGAGCAGCTGTCGCACAAATTGATCTCCAGGCAATTCGAGTCGAAATGGGGAAGTCAATCGGAAAGCGTGGACGTCACTTTGAATGTGGAGCAGGCACTTTATGCAAGGGACGCTCTGGCAAAGGACGTTTATGCTAGGCTGTTCGACCATCTCGTCAAAGTGCGTGGGACATTTATGTGTATTTTCAAACGAATGCCTTTTCTTTACATATGAACGCACGCAAAATTGTTTTCAAAAATTACTTGTGAAACTCATGGATTTTTAAAATTAAAAAATCGTTTTACGATTCAAAATAAAAGAAAGCGACCAAGAGAGTCAATGGTCCACTGGATAATAATTTTACACAACGTCCATTGTGTAAAATTATTTAATAATCCACCGCCACCATTGGTTCTCTTGGTCGCTTTCTCTTTTGTTCTTAAATATATTTATTTAAAAATATATGGAACAATATTAAATTTCGCTTCAAGCTCTCTCGTGCCAGACTGCGCGCGATTTTTAATTGTTTAACGAGCGGAGATACGTTTGCGATAATTGACAAAATTTCGCAGAAAGTTAACGCGGCAATGGAGACCAACACGAACGGGTACGAGATCGGAATTTTGGACATATACGGCTTCGAGATATTCGAGAAAAACGGTTTCGAGCAGTTCTGCATCAACTTCGTCAACGAGAAGCTCCAGCAGATTTTCATCGAGCTCACGTTGAAGGCGGAACAGGTGAGTTTTGGTTTATGTAAATCTTTTTTTTAGCGCGCCGTTCTCCTCGTTGCCGACATTAGCATACTGCGTCGTCTTTTATGTCTTCATTCGTTAGAGATAAAGGTTGAGTCATAGTCAAAGAGCAACGTATGTGTAAAGAGAGAATCGTAAAAATATTTTGGACTGAAAAATATTTCGCGCTTTTCTTTTCGTTACTAAATTGCAAATTTTATTCGTAAAATCTTTCATATTATCATTATTATTATTATTATTATTTATACTCTCTTAGAGCTCTATATTAGTTATCTATATTACACAAGCATATATTAATCTGTATAAATAAAACGATGCTTATATATTACCGCTACTCCTATCGTAAGCTTTTTATGCTTCGCATCGATTAAACTCAAGGCCGGTACTCGCGACGTCGAATTTAATATCGGGAACGTTAAGTCCGCGCCACGAGGCGAAACAAAACTTTTTTTTTTTCATGCAATCACAGCTAGCCCTCCCCCCTCTCATCGAGGTTAAACAACATATTAGTAATGCTTATATATAAAAATAAAAAGATCAAATACGTGAGTCGAATAAAATATTTTGGATCATATCGCATTAGCAAAGTGACAAACGGAAATCGATAGACGTTTCGATTGAAGAAAATATTTTAATTAATTTAATCTTGTAATTTTTCTTATCTTTTGCTTCTTTTGTAACTTTGTGTTTGGTTTTTGTTTCTTTTTGATTGCCATCGATCAATCTTCTTTGTTGCACTTTTTTTTTGTACTTTTGAATCGCAACGCGGAACGCGATCGGGAATATTGTCTTCGCGAGACGCGCGTCGTCGTCGCGTTCTCTTTTCGGAAAAAAAGAAAAAAGAATCGTGTTTCACGAAAGCGGCTCTCCCGATCATTCCTCGACGAAGCCGTATCCCGGCAGAATGTCCGTTCTTCGGAGCGCGTACCTCTGCACGGGCGTGGTCTGCGCCATCATCAGAGCCCGTCCGCGGATCTTGCTGGGCGGCGCGGGTATCTGTTTCGGCAGCTCGCTTGAGGTGACCATCGAGTTTTCCGTGGTCGACAGCTCGTCGTCGATCGCTTCGTAAAATACCGCTTGATCGTTCGTCCTGTCGATTTCCACGCTCTTCGGAATGATTCCGTCTACGTGACGATCGAATTTTTTCGGCGGCCGTGCCTTTTTGTCGCGCACCTTCCAGTCGGTCTGCCGCTCGAAGGGCCGCGTGACCCTGAGGAATCCCGCTCCGTCGCTCGTAGTCGCCGTAGGCGCGGTGGTGTCTTTCCGGAACGAGCCGCTGTGACCGCGCACGTTCACGTAGACCTTCGGCCTGCCGCTCTTCAGGTAGTACAGTTTCTCGTCGAGGCTCTGCAACTTCGGCGGACTCAGCAGGACGCGTTTGTCGTCGTCGAAGGTGTCGAGGCGATAATTGAGGCCGAGTCCCATGTCGCGCACGCCGACGATCGAATGCGGAATCACCTCGGGGTGCGGATAGCCGTCGGTTGGCGTTTGCTGCTTCAGCATCGCGCGCACCAGACCCTGAAGATTCGCGGCGTTCATCTCGTCCGCGGTCTGCAGCTCGATCTCGAGAAGTCTACGGGCGGAGAAAAAATATATTTAATCTCAAATGGAATGTGGGTGATAAGCATCGAATGTTGGACCGTTAAACCGCAGTCAGAGCCGCACAAAAAAAAAATAAAACAAAACCGGGCTAATCGGATCTGTCGTGTCTCTCTTCTGTCTGCGTCTCTTTAATCACGCTCGGTGTGTTTCGCTTTCGAAATTGTCGGTCTCGCCCGGCTTCATCGATGCTTGTAGATGCGAATTGTGGTCGCGAATCCGTCGTTGGAAATTACACCGCGACGCGGTAATTACCGCGGCTCGATTCTCACGTTTTCTTCGCGAGCCGAGCTCGACGGACTTTTCATTCGCGCTAATTGGCGTGTTTTTTTTTCGACACGGTGAGAAGGAGCGACCAAGTAGAATTTTCCGCTTTTGTGTGTTCATCAGTAGTAGGATTTACGAGAATCACGTTACACGAGGTCGGACTAAATATCGTTTCGTCATATCGTGGTGAGTCGGCGAGGAGAGAGTTTCCCCGAAGAGACGCGCGTTCCGTTAAGTAGACTGGAAATGAACACATCGCCGCGCCGTTTCGGTGAAATTAAATGCGTTATTAATGTACATGTAAAAAAAACTATTCTTCGCAAAGAAAAGCACGTGTGTGTTTTATCAACTCTCGAAACGACGGACGTTGGGTCTGTACGGATTTCCGTAGCAAAATGTTGCGTTTAATGATTTTTCAAACATGGAATAAACATTGGAATTTTATTATATTTACAAATACGTACGTTTGCGACTTGCGAGCGACATGTGTCTGGGTCCGAATGGATCCACCAGAAGAAGGTTAAAAGAAACAAAAAATTTTATTACTTTTTTTTCCATCTTGATAATATGTTTTTTTTTTTACAGCGGATGTGTCAAGGAACGTTTTCAATGTCGAGTCACTTACTTTCATGACATGTTTAGCACCAATTTAAGCTTTACAATCTTACTTACGGATTTCTTATTGCGCAAGTGCGAGATCAATAAGAATAGACGACCGTGTTCTTCGGATCGTCGATCATTTCGAATGAGGTTGTGGGCTCGTAACACGCGAGCGAAAGTGAATTATTGCCGAGTAACGGCGATGACGGAATACGGTATCAAAATATACCAGTCTGCGATATAAAAAAAAAAAAAAGAAACGGAGTGCGGAAAAGTTTGAGCGAACGTACGGCTCGAACTTATATACCTGTAGTCCTCGGTGTCGGGTCTCTCCACGTTGGTGGCGGCGGCGACGGCGGCTCGTGGGCCGCCGTGCAGAGACTTGCCTTCGAGCGCTTTGCGCGAGGACAAGTCCTGATCCTGGCGGATGTGATTAGGTGACGAGGGTGGCCTTGGCAAGACCATGGCCGACATGGTCAGCTCGCACAGGACGAGCAGCCCGTAGACGCTGATTCCCCGCGACATCCTGCAATTTTGCCGGCAATGTTGTTAGAAGAGACGGTGGTGTTGGAAACTCTCCCTCAGATTTCTCTTCCCAACAGTGTGCAAACGTTTTTGTTAAGAAAGCTTTGAAATAAAATTTGAAATATTGCGGAATAAAACATCGTTTTCCGGTTTAATTCCGCGTGAAAATTGCCGTTTAATTATTTTCGCAATTAGAGAAAGAGATTGCGTTTCGATCATCAAAGAGAAATTGAAGAAAATAATCCGCTTGTCTTATAATTAGTTTGCGTAACAATGTATGTGACCACGGTTGAAATCGTTGCGCTAGAAAGGATTTACAACGTGCGATTTACCCGTTTTTCTTTCTTCGCAATTCCCTTCTCGTTTTATTTCGTCTGATGTTTGCGGCGCGCGTTTTTCTTATCCGATGTTGTATATATCTTTTGACATTATATTGCCGCGTTTTTTCTCAGCTCGCACACATAAGTTCTTAGAAAACTTGTAAACCGGAAAGGAATAAAAGATCGCTGCTTGCTGCCGAGCAATTAGCGCCGAGCCCACCGACCAATCTGCCCGCGGTCCGGTCTTGCGTGTATTTTTTATTATCCACTTTCGATCGCGCTGAAACGTTCCGGCTCGATTTCACCCAAAGTGTTTTTTTTTCTTTACTGCCGCCGAAAAGCCGCGCGCGCAGGAAGCGCGACAAAGTAACGGAACGATGCCCGGTGTCGACCACCATCGTGCCGTGTAACGAGCATGTTAGTAATAAGCTTGGTGAAAGTTTAGCTCGCACGAGCGCTCGTCGGTCGAACCGACCGACCGACCGAGGACCTCGCCGAACAAAATGATACAATTTCTCTCTTGTTTTCCTTATTACGTAAGTTCTATCTCTCTCTGTGTGTGTGTGTGTGTCCAGGAATTCGAAGACAATTTTGCCGCGGAATCGCTCTTGACGCGATTGTACAATTTTCTCACTCCACATTTCTCGGAATCGCCGCGCGCGAATTCCGCTCGGAGTCGAGAAGATCGCGAGAGAAAAGGCGGAGTCGAACCGCAGTCGTTACACTTTTGCCGCTTGACGGTCCGCACGTTTCCGAGATTGTCTTCCAACGTCTCGAAACGGATCGAAAAAAAAAAAAAAAAAAAACGTCCGCTGGACACGTTTCTTTGTGCGTTCAGAAACGAACGCTGGAAATTTATAATCCGACAGACTTGACGGGAAGAAATGAAATCGTCTCCGCGGAGATTCTGCGCCAATTGTTCGGTCGCGGAACGACGATAATCGCCCGCCGGGCAACGTCACCTCGAGGGGATGGTGCAACAATTAAGTGCGAGGAATCGCGAGAGATCGTTTTCTCGAACCGCTCACCTTGCCGAGGTGCAAGGTTGAATTGCAAAAAGTTTATTTTGCGTTGTTGCGACCGCGTTTCCGTCTCTCCTTTGTTCCTCTCGCTAATTATAACTCGAACACAGTTGCGCAATTTCACACATTTTACAGTTTCTAAGAAAAACTAACTCCGCGTCAAATTTTACGAAATTTTCTCACCGCATCTCAAAATATCGAAAACTCGAGGTTTGACGCGAGATTCTCAAATTCATTTGTCAACGATAAAAATCTCCTCTACTTTGCGGATGTGTGAAATATCGAAAGCAATTTTTTTGTTTCATCAGCCGCAAAGGTGTGTTCGCCGAATAATCGTTACATTCTTTTTCCGTTCTCGAGGCGAATAGTCGGGCTTTTTTTTTTCTACTTTGCACGCTACTTTCTCCAGCGCGTTCGTTTCCCGTTTAAAAATTTATCGAGGAGTCAGCAGGGCGTAGTACGTAAGATTGTTCTTTTTTTTTTTTTGCGAGAAAAGCAAAAGTAATTGTCGCGATACATCGATGACGAATCGACGCGTAAAACGATATTACAACCGGTCGCAAAAAAACGTTGATTAAATTTTACGTCGTCTTTATTGACCAATTTTTTTTAAATTCGATAATGTAAGATCCGAAGAGAGATTCGTGACCGAGCAATTCTCTCAAAGAGTCGACGTTACGCGCGTGTTACCGTAACGATATTGGACGGTATGTTAATTCGAGACCGCGGTCAAATGGCGGGCAGATCAAAGAAAGATAAACAAAGCGTTGAGTCGCGGAAGACGCGGAAGAAACGTTATCAAACCGGTTTTCACGCGCAAAAACGATGATGTATTCGCGCGATAGAGACGTAGACAGGCGCAAGCGGCTTGTAACAACAGACAACACGGGACTCTTTCCTCGGGGAGGAGTTTTATTATGTTCGCGCGCGCGTAATCTCGAGCGTTACCGTTCGCCCGGCGAACGAAAGGTATACATAACGGGCAGGTCTTTCGCGTTCCCCGAGATCCACGACCCGTGGGTGTGGCTCTTATACCTGGCCGCGACACGCGCGAACAGGTTCTCTTAAAAAGTGCAAGTGCAATCAGCTCCGGTGAACGTGCACCGAAGGGGAGCGTGCGACCACGTGGTGGTCGCTCGTCAAGCGCGGCGCAGCCGTTTATTTTTCTCTTAGCTGGAGACAGAACTTGCAGAGAGAGAGAGAGAGAAAACTTCTGATAATTTCTTCGCGCCTATCCGAGAAAGAGATTTTTTCTTTAATTTATCTATTTGCGGTCTAATTGCGCGACATTGAGAAACGCGCGCGACTAAACGACTCGCGCGCTCGATTGGAGCGTCTATTGTCTATTATCCGCCGGTGTGTATATATTTCTCGGATATTCTCTCTCATTCCTCAAATGTCATTCCGCAATTGTCTATTAACCGAGGTTCTTTTATTCAAAGAAACGGAGACCGACTTGTGCACATCTCACGTGTCTAATTGCGTGCTCCCTCTCGCTCCCCGCGAATATTTGTCGACGTTTCATTTCCTATACCTGTTGCGGGGAGACGACGCAGAATAACACAGTTCAGAGTAAATGTGCTTAATTTTCGAGAAAGTCTGGCAAGGCTGGTTGGTTCGCGCGCGCTGCGGTCGCGGAATAATCGAAATCGCGCGGTTTTGCATTAATCGGCGAATAATATCTTCGGAATTTCCTCGAGCAATTTGAAAAGAATATACACGTTAGGAAGGAATTAGAAAGAGAGAGAGAGAGAACTCGGTGATTTTCTCTCGGTTTAACTGATCTCGCTCTAAAAATTCCAAATTCAAGGAAGGATAGTTCTCTCAACTATCGCGCCGCGCGCGGATATACTTCCTCGAAGAAGAATCTTCTCTTCAACCCGAATCGTCGATTTATATTTCGACGAAAGAATAAATCTTTTTACGAGTACTGGAAATCCTGTTGATTTGAATTGGAGAGGATTGCAGATCGCGTATGTACAACAATCGATTGATCGCGCGAGGGGCGCGACGACGAGCGGATTTACATGACCGTTTTATGTAGATCAATGCATTGCCGAGCATTGAAATGGGACAAAAGCGATTTATTACTTATTGTTCATTGTGGAGCATCGAGTTCCGGGCGATGATCGTTCGCCGCGGAAGAGCGTGCGTAATATTTGTCGCATCGGCGATCGTAAAATTGACTCCGTCACACGCGCGCGCGGTGTATTTTCTCTTCCCTCCTCCCTTCGGCTAACTCACAAAGTACAAAGTACAATCAGATGCGAGTAATAACGACGAGTTGTAATTCGTCGATTCGCCATGTGGGTCGAGCATCCGAGAGACCGCTTGTTACGAGCTGCCGCGATGATCTACAGATCTCCAATGTAAACGTCGTCGTCGCCGCCGCCGCGTCTCGCTGCTACCATATGTAGATACGTCGAGCGAATGAAGACGATAACGTGCGTTCTCTCTCGCGCGCGCGAAGTAGGGCGAGGAGAATTTACAGCTCCTCTCTTCGTGTGTGTGTGTGTTTACGCGACAGGTCGAATGTATATCTGTACAACACGCGGGGATTCGTCGCAGAAATAAATAAATCCGTCGATGCGTTCGCGTGAAAGCGCCTCGCGTCGATAAATCGCGACGCGGGTGATTCCGCGGAAATGGCAAACTCCGCGAGGAGAGATATCGATTAACGTCGTATATAAACCGACTGGTCGTCTAAAATTAGACACCGATTATCGAATCAGGAAAAGCCGCCGTTTTAATCGGTTTATTAATCGGGGTTGCGCTATCGCTCTCGTAATTACAAGAGGCGCCCTGATAACGCTAGTCTCCTCCCCTTCTCTCTCGAAACTGGTACATTGTTTATCGGTCGGAAAGATTTTTTTTTACGCGCAACAAAGGAGAGATTTCACTCCGGTTGTGAGTAAAAGGAATCGGAGTTGTAAGAAACGCGATCGATGACGATCTCGATGACGCGCGCGCGCCGATTTCACTGTTAATTGGTATTCGTACAATCGCGCGCGCGCGCGGACACAACGAGGACCGGATACGGGCGATCGAAAGTTTCTTTTTAGTTTGTTTTCTTCGCGGCTTTCTTTTGTACACGCGAGAACAAACGCGCGCCGCGTTTATAGCACTCGAAATAAATAATATAAATCTTGTCGGAACAGGAGCACGATGGAACAGTGCCAGGAAATTTACTTTTCAGGTTGATGCGCTTTGCGTTCGCGTTCATTCAATTACACGAAAATCGAATTTACGTGCGTTGTTTTTAACGAGGCGGCAGCAACGCGACGGTCAGTCAAGTGTATTCGCGCTATCGGAACTTAGAAAGTCGAGGAAACGTTGCATGCGAACTGGTCGACTCCCACGCCACACTTACGGGCACTTGCTGTTCTTACGTAAATAACTTGGCAAGGGATCTCTCTCTCTCTCTCTCGCGCGCGCGATCGTGGAGCGAGCGAGCGAGCGAGCGCGTTATCGTTCGCCGATCATCGATCGGCGGTGAAAAGCGGCGAGGTGTGTGCAATTAAATTCACACCCGTGTGTACGAAAGTGAGAGCGTGGTCAAGGCGCGGTGGCTGCGCGCCCGTCAAAGTCCTTCGACGACGCATTCCGTTCGGTAATTTCAATGCGCGATTCTGTTGCGCTCGCGAACCAATTACCGCGCGCGGTTGCTGGCATTCTCGATTTAATTGTATTACACAGCTCCTCTTATCTCTTACGCGCTTTGTTTACGTAACGCGGGGATGTGAAAAGAATTTCGCAACGACAGAGCGAAGACAAGAGCGTTCGCTCTTTTTGCGCGACAAGGGAAGGTGCGATAATTAGCGAACTCTTGTTCCCCGCGAATGTCGCGGGCGCGGTGTAAAAAACTAAAAGGCGCGCGCTCCTTTCCACCTGTTGAAAAAGAAAAAAAATGATCAGGCGCGCAACTGGAGCAACGCGCCGCGCCTTCTTTCCGTTCTCTCCGCGGATAGGAAATGTGATTCCCCCGCGTTGAAAACACGCCCGCGGTCATGTATTTCACAGACAGACATCGATCACAATTCTCCCCGTCCCGCAATGAACACGAAAACGAGCGACTTAATGCACTTTAATTGACTCTTTGCGTAATCGCACGCTTTTAGCTCGTAAAAACGACGAATCGTCTCTCTCGCGCGCGCGCGCGTTTTTCACCGCTCGCGTTCACCGCTGAAGAAAAATGAAAAAAAAGAGGATGAAGAATGTTATAACGAGATGAAAAAAAAGTGTTGCGTAGAAAAAACATTACTTATATCTGCCTCTAATCGTTTTTTGTTTATTTAATATTTCTCGAGAGTTCTGTGCGCGCACGTGCCTCTCCGTTGAAACTTGTTGAGAACACAACTAGAATTGTTGTATTTAATTTATATATCCGTCGCGACATTTGTGCTAGAAACAAACGGTTCGTGAGCTTGTTTGACAAGTGTTTTGCGCCGTAAAACAACGCCGGGCAATCAACGGAGAGCGATTTGTGAAATCGAATTGGCAATTGAGCGGCGTATTTGCAAATGAATACCGACTCAATCGAACATTGTTCGAGGCGGCGCGTTTCATTGTTCCTTCTCGTTTACACAAAACAAATATAAAGAAGTAATTTTCAAACGCGCGAATATAAATAAAGTCAAACAACAAAATAAAATTGATTGCTAGCAATCACGTTAACGATGAGTTGAAGATAATCGAAATGCGCTGCGATTTAATGCGCAGATTTTCCCGTGCGCGGTCGATTTATTATTACGCGAAATAGAGTAACTTTTGAAAGTATCTTTGCGGAGATCACACCTGCGTGTCATCATATCTACGATATGAAACACGCGAACGTCGTCGCTTTTATGAGCGAGGTTTTGAACGCGCGCAATAGAGCGACCCGGGAACGATATATAACCGCGACGATCAAATTTGAATGCCACCGCGCGATCGAGGACGCGTATTTGTCCGCCATAAATTTCTCTTTGTCTTTTCTCCGTCGCGCCATTTAAATTGACCGCTTATTTAAAGCGGTCCCCGAGCGCGCGCGAGTACAAATTCGACAAAGAAACGCACACAAACGCGGAACTTGGTGTGAATTTTTGTTTTTTCTCACCTATTGCCCGCAGAATCCCCGTCGCGTTAGGGCTCTTCTTTTTTTGCTGGACGATTTTGTTTTTTTTTTTTTTTTTTTAATCACTCGTTGACTTTATTGCGCAACGCGCGCGATCCATCAGTTCGCGTGGCGCGAAGAGAATCGCGCCGATCGGTATCATTCGCGACTCACCGGGACGGAAGATCGCGCGCCGAGACGTGTTCGCGGGCTCCGTGCGCACTGCGGCCAAGGATCGAGTGAACGTAATGAAATAGCTAAGTGAAGCGATCGCCGTGTCTCGCTCCGTCTCGCTCCTTCTCGCTCTTCCCACGTGCGGCTTTGCCACCACCTCTTTGACGCCGCGAGATTCTCTCGATTGGCCGCGTGTCTCTCATCGTCTTTTTTTTTTTTGGTTTTTTAATTTGTTTTCCGTGTGCAACGCACACGTGACTTATGTGACGAAAACGCGTCGCGAGTGTTCGCGACAAAGTGTTTGCGAGGTCGATGCCGAGGAGGCGTGAATCCAGAATTTTGTTTTACGGGTCAATCGAAGAGTGTATTTTATTAAATTTTACGGGAAAAATATTTTGTTCTTTGCTCGTTTTGCACGGCGAGACCGAAACACTTTTCTCGCAAGTGTATTACATTATCTCTCTCTCTCGCGTTCCGCATCGCGATAAAGTTACAGTTAGATCCTGTGGGAAAATGATGAGAGAATGCGAAATCGAAATAATACGAATTATCACGCTCGACTGGTAACCGATGTGTATCTTGACAGCTTTGATTTCACCGCACTTTGTTTTAGTTTTCGTCGTCGCGATGATTTTCCTTATTGTCGTCGTCTTTGTGAAAATAATCTTGTACACAATATTTCTCTCTTTCTCTCTCTCTGTCTCTCTCGCTAATCAATTTAGATGCAATCCGCGGTAGGAACTTGTGTGCGTCGCATTTCTTTTTAATGCAGGAAGAGAAAGAAGTGTCCGTTAAGGAGAAAACGGCTTGACCGGGAGGGGACAGGCAGTTGACATTTGGCATCTAACTGTCGCGCGAATCTGGTGATCTCCGACGTGAAATCGAGATGGGATTCTTCCTGCGTCGCGCATTTTCACCACCCGTTAACCCAGTATACACACATCCATCTTCTCCATTATCCGCGTTTTTTTTTCATACGCTATTTTCTCCCTCTCTCTCTCTCTTCTCCGCCGCCAAGCTAATTCCGGCAACAATAAAGCGCGGTTTCCCATGAGAGGCATTCGCGACTCCCGATCCAATTAGTTGGCGTGTCACGACCTTTTTTGAGCTCATTAACGTTAATTCGGAACGCGCGTGTTTGCGCATGCACATGTGCGTTAAACCCGTTTTCGTAGAAACAACAGAAGCTGAAAATTCCAGCTTCAACGCGCAGATGAGATGTTTTTTTTTTTTTTTTTTTTTTTAGGAAACACACGTGACGTAGATTGCAATCGCACGCGAATTTTCTTGCAACAAATTAAAATTGTTTGTTGTCGCAATCGACGAGTTCAACAAACTCTGCGCGCGCGTACACGCATCGCGCGCTCGAGGACGAAATAAACGGAGGCCGATCAGATAGGAAACACGCAGAAAACTGTCAACGAGTCACACGTCCTTGCGCACACGTGCCTCGTTCGTTTAACGAGGGTCGCTACTTAATTGTCGTCTCGTCTGTGCGCGCGCGCGTCCTAACGGAATCCGCGGCAATTTTTTTCTCGCAGAAAATTGCCGGAAACCCCGATGCGCCGAAGCATCCGCGATCCGCATTCTCGAATGTATGTGTGCGCGTCCGCGCGTCTAGTTAAATTCGTTACCGAACGGAGGACAATGCGCGTAAACGCATTCCGTGCGGAAATCAGAACGTGCAGGTACGTCTGTCGCGGGAGGTTGATCCGGCAAACAAACTGTGACGACAAACGGGGTCGCGGAGGTTAGCGAAGAAAAAGCAATTGACGGAAGAGACCGAAATGGAAGATACACTCATTAAACCGTTCACCGTAATTGGATGAATAAAGATTTAATCTGGGCGTTTCCGCATTGTGTCTTTCTTCCGCGCGACACGGTCACGGTCGCGATTAAAGTGAAGCAAAACAAAAGTGTGGCGCGTTGTCACAAAAGGATAGAAATCGCGCGAGAGACGTTGCGCGCGAGAGGGGACGGAGGAAGAGATACGTGAAATAACAGATGATGATTGCGATACCGAGTGCGTAAGCTCGAGTGCGCGTAATGGGCACTTACTTGCACACGTGCGCTCGTAAATACACCACCAAAACGCGCAACTGTTTTATTTCGCGCGATTAGCACACGCGGCAAAGTATAATCGCAACGTACAATAATCAGCGTCTCTGTTTATCGCGGGGGACTGTGAGGGATGGGGCGATCGAGAAAGCGGCTGATCAGACGTTCGCGCGGCGCATCTTCCTTATTTGTTTCGCGCTGAAAAAGTATTATTCGCGCGAGTGACGCCGGAGAATCTTTGCAAAAATTGATGATTTACGGTCGCGAGAAATGGACTTTAACTTTAATTTACGCGAGTAAAATTAATTATCGCGCGACAAATTCCACCGATGCCTCGGCCCGAGAAATTGATCAATCGGCTCGCTCTAGAGGACAGAAAGCGGCGAAATAATAATAAACTCCGTAAAGTGAAAGCAATCTACTACTCGCCTGAAAAAAAAAAAAAAAAGAACACGCCGAGGATACGTGCACGCGCCAAATTTAGCGCGCGTTAATTATATATCCACCTTGTGCCGAGCCATTCATCCGCGATCCCGTTTCGCAACGCGGAAGTTGCGAGAGAGATAACATGTGTTTCACGTCAAATTTCTCGCGAGTTCTCTTTGTGTTTTTTCTTATCCGAATATTTTCTTCTCTCGATTCTCTTCGTCTCACTTTTATTTTTTCTTTTTGTTGTTGTTTGATATTTCTGCATATATATGTCCTTCTCCGCGAGGCTCTCCTGAGATAAAAAAAAGAGACTTGCTCCGAATTTTGGGTATTGTAAATTCGCGAATATGGAACATCTCAAATGGCGCTATTAGACCGTGCAGCCGCTCCGAGGAACAACCGCCGTCGGCGGAAGCGACGAAACGCGCGCACCGTCTTATAAAGGGGTCAGCCCCGTGAAAAAGAGTCGTTAACTCGAGTAAAGGCCACGACGAAAAAATCGTGCCGCTTCTTGGCCATCGCGACGCGATCGGGAACTAGACCGCGGTGAAAAAAAAAAAAAAAAGCCGGTCGTGAAGAAGCCACGAAGTGTCTCCGTGACGTACGAAGTCGCGGATTCTCCTCGAAATTGTGCAAGCGCTTTATTCGGAATCGCCCCGTAACGGAGCGTCGCGTCTATCGCGTCTTATCGACGTCGTCATTGCGCGACGAGAGCAAAACTCAACCGGGAGGGTTGAGAGATTTTCAACGCGGTTCTCTTCCTTCAAATTCCCATTCAAATTTCACGTTTCGACGACAACGCGCGTCAAGGAGGAGAGAGGTGGGGACAAATGAGGAATTGCAAAACGCGCGCGGAGAGGAGGATGGGGAAAGGGCCGGTGGTGGTAATCGCGCGGCGACCGGTTTTCTTCGTGCCGCTGTCTGCGCGCAACCACGGCGGTCTGCGAGCTGAAATGGAAAGCGATTTTAAAAGAGCCCGGCAATCGCGCGTTATTACTGCCGCGCGGCCTTTCCCTTCTATCGCCTCGAGTAAGCGAGATATAAATCGCTCGTACGTGCGCGATACACAACGCCGTTGGGTTGTGTACCGCAGCGCGCAATTAAACCCATATTTTCGACGTAACGCGTCTGGCGCAAGAGAGAGGACCCCCTTCCAACCTGTGTATACGCGCGCATATATCTCTCTTATGAAAGTTAGATCGATAATCTAAATTACCCGAGCAACACAATTGCGCGTCTTCAATCGCTCATTGACGTTCGCTTAATTTGCCGCTGAATATTCGCAAATTAAATGCGCTCGACTACCCCGTTGCGTCAAACAAACACAATTGCGCGAACTTCCGGCAAGCAATTACTCTTCTCATATTTCAATATGTTTATACACAGGGTGTTCCAAAATCATCGGAAGATATTAAACAGGACAGAAGTGTTTTAGAAATTTGTTTTTTTTTTTTTTTTTTCATTTCGTCTTAGAATCTGTTCTTAAAATATTTTATTTGCATTTCAGGAAGAATACATCGCCGAGAACATCAGATGGACGCCGGTGGACTACTTCAACAACGCCGTCGTGGTCGATCTCCTCGAAGGCAAGAGGCCGCCCGGTCTCTTCTTGGTGCTTGACGATGTGTGCGCGACGCTGCACGGCGGGAGCACTGGCGCCGATACCGATTTGAAGAAGGTGCTCGAAACAAAAAATCTTCTTATCATTACCCCCCCGACGCATTTCGAATTAACGTAACGTAATCATCTCGCGTCACGCGTTAATTCCGCAGAAACTGGCGGGAGCGGCTAACCAACACGTCCATTTCCAAGACACCGGCGACGGTTTCGCAATTCTTCATTACGCCGGCGTGGTGTCTTACTCCGTGGACGGATTCTGCGACAAGAACCGCGACGTACTCTTCTTGGATCTGATCGAGTTGATGCAGACGAGCACCAAGTACGTACGCTCGCGCGATGTCCATTACAGGCGCGCGTGTATCATCGATTATTCGCGCGACAAATTGCCTCGAAGGAAACTCCGCGTCAATTTGCTTGCGCTCGATGAAGATTAATTAACGTTTTTTTTTTTTCGATCGATTTGCGCGATCGAGAGACTGCGTGCAGAGATAGGATCTTGGCAACACATATATCGAAGATATAAAATCTACAAATACAATATAAGTACTTTTTTATTTTTTACACGCACGGTGTAAAAGTTCACACTTTCGAAACTTTTAGAATCTATAGTTTGTTTTATCAAAATGCTAATCACATCCTTCAACGAACGTAAATCCCGCATCGGATATTACAAATTGGGATTGATTCTGGTTTAACCACGCGGAATCAATTTTAGCGTACTTCGTTCTGATTGGCTGAATTTCAATATAATTTTAATCCGTAATCCGATACGGGTTTTAAGCAGGAAATTAATTCCTCTTTGAACAAATGGCATATATAGATTTTCGAGAACACGTCCGGCATCGTTGCGTGATTACGTAAAGGAATGTCCCGATAATTCAATGTAATTCATCACGTAATTCCAACCAACGTCGGTCAATTACGTGTTGTATTTATTTACGTAAGAATGGCGTGCGGAAAATATCGCGAAAGTTGCACGCGGAACGACAAGGCAAGAACGAACGGCTGTCCGCGATTAGAACAAGTTCGGATTCCGAGAGTTGTAATTAAGTCAGTAAGTAACGTAAGAAGTTCGCTCTCTGTTCTTCTTTTTCGATATTCGATTTGGTCTTGTTTTAAATCGAGATTCGCTTTCTACATCGAGAAACACTGTGTGTCTCCACACACACACATCGCTGTCGTACTTTAAAATACACCAAAAAAATAAAAAAATAAAAAAATTAGAAACAAATACTTATTTCACAGTTGTTTGATGCGCGAGCTTTATCCGCGGGATAAGGACGCCGCTAAAACAAAGACTCTGAAATCGAGACCGACCACAGCGGGCAACAAAATCCGAACTCAGGCGAGCCGCTTGGTCGGTCAGCTGATGAAATGCACGCCGCATTACATACGGTGCATCAAACCGAACGAGACGAAGAAGCCGCGCGATTGGGACCACCTGAGGGTCAAGCATCAGGTAATTCAATTCAATGTGTGTTGTTTGTATACATGCGCAATAATTCAAAGAATCTCAAATTTCGGGTTGTCTTGAGTTCATCTTCAGGTCAAAACGATCTTAACGATGAACTTGGGACAATTTTAAATACAGAGATCGGACTTAGGAAAAAATAAATAAATAAAATACCCGCCTCAGACGGAATTGTCTTGATGAACTGTGTTTCAGGTAGAATATCTGGGTCTGAAAGAGAACATCAGAGTGCGCAGAGCCGGGTTCGCTTACAGAAGACCGTTCGCCAAGTTTCTTCACAGATACGCGATTCTCACCAAAGAAACGTGGCCTCGTTGGCCCGGCGATGAGAAGCAGGGCGTGGAGTGGATATTGAGGAGCGTTCACATCGACAGATCGCAATATCAGCTCGGCAAATCGAAGCTGTTTATCAAAGCGCCGGAAACTGTAAGTTTCTCGGAAAACACACGTTCATACATACGCGAAATATATTTCAGCTAGGAGAAAAAAAAAACAAACAAAAAGATCCTCGCGCAACGGTTTAATCAGACAAATGTGGGACTTTAGCTGTTCATGCTGGAGGAAGCGCGTGACCGGAAGTACAACATGTACGCGCGGATCATTCAGAAAGCCTTCAAGAAGTATTTCGCTCGGAAGAGACAGGAGGAACAGAAACAGAAGGCCGCCGATCTTCTATTCGGTCACAAAGAGCGCAGACGGGCGAGTCTGAACAGGAACTTTGCGGTCGATTACATAGGGCTTGAAGGCAAACCGCAAACAATGAGTCTTATCGGAAGACGCGAAAAAGTGTTCTTCGCTGAAGTGGTGAAAAAATACGACAGAAGGTTCAAGGTATACGCACGCGAATGAAAATTTATCTTCGCGAATTGAAAATTGCGATTTTATCGTTTGTTAACGAGAGATTTTTTTCTAACAGATGAGCAGAAGAGATCTGATCCTCACCGGGAAATGTCTCTACCTGATCGGTCGAGAACAAATAAAGAAAGGTCTCGATAAGGGTAAATCCATCCAGGTTGTTAAAAGAAAGCTTCTATTCGATCAGATTAGTCACGTATCATTAAGCACGTTGCAGGTAATTTATCACGATGTGTATTTAGCAAAGTGAAGAAACTATGTTGTCGCCAGATTGGCGGCAATCGGCGCACTTCGGCGCCGTCAACTGCTTGGTTTTTTTTTTTTTTCTTACAAATTGTCTGTTTTCGACAGATTTTTTGCTAAATGTCAATGCTAATTGCTTTTATCTTAATGACAGTTTTGTTTATTTCAGGACAATTTTGTAATTATTCACGTAAAGGAGGACTACGCCAGTTTGCTAGAATCGGTATTCAAGACGGAGTTTTTATCCGCCCTCAGTAAAAAACATCTGGAAGAGACCGGTCATTCTTTGAACGTTAGATTCGGCAACGAGTACGCACGTCCTTTCTCTATTGTTCGTTCGTTTATTTATTGGCTTTGACCTGAACAAATTAAAACTGACAAATTTCCTTTGCAGTATAGAGTTCAAAGTGAAGAAGGAAGGTTGGGGTGGCGGAGGAACGAGGCTCGTGAAGTTCACGCAAACGGATTACGGCAACAAGGAAATTCTAAAACCGTCCGGCAAGATTCTCCACGTCCACATCGGTCCGGGACTGCCGAGCACGACGAGTGAGTTTTTCCGCTCCGTGATTTTTGATCGAACAGTAAAACCGACCTCCAAAAAAAAAAAAAAAAAACGATATCGTCAACACTGTGCTTTTATTTCAGAACCTAATGCTAATCGATCAACGTTGTCCGGTCGGTTGTACAGCAACTCATCGATTTGTTCGACGCCGAAACTGTTGCATGGCGATTCAACTCCGCTCCCAAATTCGAACAATTCGGTCGCGACCGAAAGACCGTGTCTACGTCCGGTGGCGGCTACGAGGTTCGCGGCTGCTCAAGCAGCCTCAAACGGTAGACCGAATATTCCGCCGAATCGTCCGAATGTTCAACCTGTGCAGGTTCAGAAGAACGCGAGAAACGGAACGACTCAACCCAACAACCTGCGGAACAACAAACAAATCCCAATTATGGGTATGTTCGTCAATCCCGCTGCCGGTCCTCGAGGTAAGAGTTGTTTTTTTTTACATTTCAACAATTTTCTTTTTCTCCTTCCCTCCGTTTCTTCAGTGAAGTTTTTTAATGTGTGTAGGTTTGCTCAAATTTCCACCACCGCCCACGGAACCACCGCCGCCGCACGAAGCGACGACGGGTTTCAAGTTACCTTCCCTCGGCGACGAGCGTAACAACAAGGTTCCCGGTCATCTCAATAAAGGCATGCAAACATCCCAAGAATGGAATGTCAAACAATCTAACGACGCGATCGAGCGTGCGAGAAGAAGGGACGATAGCGCCGCTTACGCGGTGGCGAATAAAAAAATGCCGCCCCAGAAACCGAAACCGCCGAGTTTGCCGACGGTCAAAGCTCTTTACGACTACGAACCGCAGGATCTCGACGAGTTGGCTCTCCGAGAAGGAGACATCATAGAAGTACTCAAGACGCGTGAGTGGTTTTTTTTTTTCACAGTCTGATCTTTTTTGTGTAATTTCTTTGAGTGTTTTTTAATACGACAAAGGTAAAATTAATATTTTTGCAGATGAGGGAGGTTGGTGGCACGGAAGACTGAAAGGAAAAACCGGTCTGTTTCCTTCGAATTACGTAGAAAAAGTGTGAATCACAATCGGTGATCAATCGAGACAAAGTCTTCCCCTCTTTGCTGGACTACGCGCGCGCGCGCGAAACGCCGCGTTAGGAAATAATAATTAATGTATCTAATAAGAAAGAATACATCGTACCTGTTACTTTCACGTAATATTTACGCTCGATGATAATAAATTTACTGCGAGTATTTGTAATTAAATACGCATTACGTACAGCGGAAAGACTGTCGAGATGTCGAAAAGTCGAGGAAACAAAGTGTGATAATTTATACGAGGATGTTATTTATTTAAGAGAACGTCTGTCAAAACATCTTATAATTGTCTGAACTCTCTCGAAATATCCAAAGAAATGTTTTTCGTTGCAATCTGTGGTGTGGTTTAGAAAATTTCTAGGAATACGTTCTCTCTCTCTCTCTTTGCTGAAGGAGAGAACGTCGATAACAGTGTCGCTCTTTACATAGTTGATGTACACGATGGAGAGATTCGTAAATTTGTAACTTTTTATGTAATGTACAATCGGTACGTAGTCAGTGAAGTTTCTCTCACAGTTACCAATGCGAGATGACACGAGTAGTCATATTACAATTTAAATACGTATGTATATACAATGTCATTGCCATCCTCAAGATATGTGTGTGCTAGTAAATCCATATCTCAATCAATCTTGGACTTTCATTTTTCCAATTTTTTAAATACAAGGCTGTATATTTTTCCCTACCTTTAATTACAGCAGTGTCTCGCTATTTTTTCGCGCCTCGGTTTCGCGAGCGGGGAAAAATGTTGAGGGAGGTATGTGTCTCGAGAATTGCCGGCTATCTCTGATTGGCTCGACCGCCTCGGCGAAGCACTTCTAGGAATTCGTGGAGACGACTCTCTGTCACAATACCGAGGCAAAAATGCGGCACATTAGCGAGGCACTACTGTATTTCTTAAATGTGGACAGTACGCGGACTGAGTGCAACGCAAACGTCTCGCGAGCTTGCGTACCTCGAGCACGGTTTTCTCGTGTTTGAACTTCGAACTTCGAAGCAAACGTGTTTCCTTTGTTTCCGCTCGCTTATTTCATCCCACACGCAAGCGTCTTTGACGCTTCCCTTCGTGTAATGATATACTTACGTAAAAAATAAAAAAGACACTCCGTAATATTATCAACATCATATATTTATTACTTCTTCCTGCAGTGCTTTATAAGTCTTTTTCTTATTAAATGGCGAATATATTGCATGATACACATTCTCATCGTTTGCTCGCTCGCTCGCTCGCTCGCGCACAATCACATCACGGCTAATCATACGGCGAAAGAAAAAAAATAATAGAATCGGCGCAATCTCCACAAAGACCGTAGCATTGGCAAGAATTAGTTATCTTTACGGTAGTAATTAATTATTGATATATTTCGCAGTGGAACATAGACAAAATAAATTAAAGGTTCATTCCGTGTGTGCTGTATAGGTTTTACAAACGTACACAAGTACATTCATATATAGGCACTATATATAATAAATTATTGCTAAACTTATTTTTCTTTTTTCATCGTACGTTTGGAATCGACAGTTACATGCGCTCGAAAGTGGCACGATCACGAAACGTATCGACAGAAAGACAAATACCTATTGTTACTGTATAAGTATATACGAGAAAGAGAGAGACGCAAGTTTGAATTTCGAATCTGTTTGTTCTTCGGGTTTGTGAACTCCGCAGGGGATGATGACTTATTCGGTCTAACGGAGCAGAGATCATTTTGCAACACTTGTGTATACGATCTTTTTCGTTTTGTTTTGTTTCCGCGACTCTAACAGAAGATCCCCAGTTAAACAAATTGTGAGCGGCGTGAAAACAAATTGAACACCAAAAATTCGACTTGAGCATCAAGATCCCCTCCGTCTACGTTGGCAAACAAAAAACTCTCGTGTTTCGGGAACAGATCCGACAAATCCCGACGTCGCACTAAGACACCAAGTCACCGAGACACGAACGGCGGGATTCGGCGAGAAAATCCGTCAAACTTAACTCGAAACGGAAGATTGACGAGCAAACGCTACACATCCGACGACAAATTGGCAGATTGCAAGCTGAGTAACTTTACACCGATGAGACGAGGAATAGACAAAAAAAAAAAGGTGCTTCGCGCGATGTGACTGTGTATTCAGTTTTACTAACTCACTCATAAGAAAAAAATTAATGAACACACGAAACACATGTGTGAGTATTTGTCACAATTTTTTCCATCCACATTCGTGAGAGATCCCCGTTAGGCCGAATATGAATCGGAACAAATTTCGAACGAACGGATATTCTTTTCCTCCTCACGCAAACACCAGTCCGACCGTTTATAGAAAAACGACACACCGCATCTTGTTATATATAAAAAAATTACAATTAACACAATATCTTACATAATAATTACACCACATAATAAGGAGAATTAGATCTACTAAATATTACAATTGTTTTTTTTTTTGTTTTTACAATGACATACCCATGGTGAAAATTATTGGATTTATCATAATTTTCTCTGCGCTCAACACACACACACACACGCGCGCGCGCAACAAGTCTATTCGCAAGCAAAATAATAAAAGGTATGTCAATGTTTATATGGCACAAATTGAGTACATGCGAATGCTCGACGAGAGAACGACTATTGCAAGTCCGGAAACTATACACAACGTGATCTACCTTTCACAAAGAATAAATTTGTTCTTCGCGAATCGATCGGTAACATTGCGAGATATAGTTGCTACGATACATTGCTTTTTATATATGTATATTCCTCGTGTATTTTTGCACAATAGCCCATTTTTAATGTTCCTTACAAAGCAACAGAATATATATAGCACTCGCCAGCTACTAAAAACCACTGGGTTAACTTAGACAATTTATTAGAATCAGATAAATCAAATGTGTTGTTGTTTCTTCTTGGTACACGGTTTTAAGTTATTATTCTTCGCAATCCTTTCTTTGGTCATTAAACAACACAACACGTGTGTGGTTATTTAAGCCGCGAAATAAAACTTTTCGCGCTAATTTAAGAATCTGAAGTTCAACTAATTGCGTTCCGTCGCAATATCTGCTCTTGTAAATCCTCTGATCGCTCATTAAGTGAATTCGTATAGAAACAGAATATTTCAATATGCAATGTCAAATAATTTAATAGAATCCCGTCACAAAACATAATTTTGTCGTTCAATGCACGTTCTTTCGAAAGTCCTTTGCACGTTTGCAATTGTTTCTCACAACGCCTTATCTCTCTTGTTAAAAACAATTATTTTTTTCTTATTCATTGCGAAGTATTTCGCATCTCAGTGTTTTCTCTTCGCATTATTTGATGAATATTGTTCGGTTTCATTTATTTTCACTTGAAAAGCACATACTCGCTACACGAAAGAAGTCGATCTAATGATCGATTGCTCGTTAACGTAAGAAGGTTCACCCGCTCGATATACACCTCGCTCGGTTATATTTAAAAATTATACTTTTTTTCAATTTTAATTTTGTTTTTGTTTTCTTTGTTGTCGGGCGAATGCATATTCAAAACAAGAAATGAAGTATTGTTCTATCTTGCCTGAATTAATATCTACTTAACACAGTCAACTCTATACTGACGCTGAAACGCTCATCCGTTTCTGAGCATTGGAGTGAAAATTTCAGTATGCTATAGATTTCACTGGCGCGATACATATAGATATATAGTAAGACAAACAAAAATCCTCCTAAAAAAAAAAAAAAACGATCTATTCGTAATTGATACTTAACTCTCCAATGTCTAATTTTGTCGAATCTTTGGCAACTCCACAGCAAAATGGGTCATGCCTGTAAAAGTCTTCGTGTATCACATTTGCATTTTACCACATCTTGTATATCTCGACAAGTAAAAAATGATCAAAAACCTAAACAAACTAAATAATCCAATAGATTGGATTGCATCTTCAATAGTGCATATGTTCTGCATCGCTCTTTAATTCTCTAATATAATCTTACCTTCAAAATATTTCCTGATATAATCTTACCTTCTCAAAATAGTGTTGAAATCAACGCAATTGATAATTTATCTCCTCATTGCACAACGCAGTTTTTGTTACGTTGAGCCAGTCCGGCGCGAGACAAGTCGCGTTCTATCTCATCGTCATCTTCGATGCTAAACGTTGTTCAAAGAGCAAGTTAGAAATAAAACTCTCAGCGATCTTTTCAACTATTTTTAGAAAAGAATAAAAATCACGCATCGATCATACTCACGCTCTTTCTTGCGTATCGAGATGATGAACCAATTCGTCTCTCTTGTTCACAATCGATACCAACTCCTCCAACAACAAGTTTTCACGCATTTTTTGCTCGGGCGTCTTTCGCCAATCTTCCACCGCAAGAATGCTTCTCAACTCCCGATTCAAGAGCTCGAATCGTCGTTCCAAATCGTCTTCCTTTTCTCTAAACAAGCAAATGTATCGTGTATATATATTGCAAATAACAATGTCGATTTAATTAATCACTTACAGTATGTTCAGTTGCATCTGCCTTCTCAAAAGCGCGTTCTTTTTATTGACAAGCGTGAACCACAAGGACATCAGTCTTTCCGTTTCGTCCTCGTTATCGCTTTCCATGGCCGCTCTCAATTGCTTCTCGAGCTTGCCGGCCTGTATGTCAATCTGATTCTGTTCTCTCTCAAGCGCTTCGAGCTCATTTTGTATGTACGATGTCATGTCTTTGCCCAACTAAATGGCGTCATTGAGAAACGACAAAGAAATCATTATTGGCATACAAACGATCTCACAATAATAATGAACAATTAAAATTAATGCATTCTTTCTTTTTGTTTCTTTAATTGTAAAAGTTACATACCCCACGAAGTGTGTACGCGGTTCTATCAGGACTTCCTTTCTCAGGTGAGATTCTTTCTATGATTTTAGAGAACGAATACAAAGGTGAACCGGTTTTCTTTTCACCGTCCATCACACTCGTATTTCCCACTATGTTCCCATTATATTCAGACTGAAATAAAGAGGTCAATTATACTTCGTACACCATAAATTTTTTTTTTTTTATCACACGTACGTATGTATGTGCGTACGAACCTTTATACTCAATCTATCACCAGGGGTCGAAGGCGTAATGCTTCGTCTAGGACTATTATTCTGATCGTCTATCGATCGTCTGTCACTGTTGTTGTCGTCATTCAATTGACTCGGGGTCACAGTGACGCCCATTTTTACCTCCGCTATCAACCGTCTTGCTCTCTCTCGTAATTGCTGTTGTCTTTCATCATCGTTCTGCAAAGCATAAAAAAAAAAAAAAATAGATAATCATAATCATGAAGTATATAGACTTTCTCAAAGTCTATAACAGAATATTATCTGCAATATTGTAAATAAAAACATATACACGAACCTCAACAGGACTGATCGCAGCCGAACCAAATCCGACTGGTTTTGTCTGATTTCTTGCCTGTTCCAAGAGTTGTCTTGCACGCTCTCGCAACTCATCGTGTCGGCTGACTAATGGCTAATAAATGAAAGAGAAAATATAAACTAGATGCAATTATCAACAACTATAACATTTTCTCTTGTTTAATTCAACTCTGATTTTACTGAGGCGTATGAGCATGTTGACGCATTACGTTTTATAAAAGCGACATTAAAAGCAAACGTTGTTAATTACATGTTGCGAACGTTGTTCTCCATGTGGCGACGATGCACCTTGACATTCGGAACTACCTCGGCTTCCTCGATCGTCAGAGTTTATCGAATCCTACAAAGAAATGTTGTTAGAAGGCATGTTTTTGTCGAGCTTCGTTGCATATCGAGTATTTTTTATCGCAAAGCGTTTTTTTATTGTTACATTGCTTAGGTCAAGAATACTAGGTCAAGATTTGTGTAAAGTAATAATAAACTAAACGCAGAATTGAAGCGACAATGTGAAATTTCCTGCATTATTTATAGAAACGTTGCAAAGTTCAAAGCTTGTAAAAATAAAACAAACTAAATTTTGCAGATAATTATCTGCTTCTTTCCTTGTGTGTATTATCTTGCAAATTATTTTCTCTCTCAGAAACGCTTTAATGTTTAAATTTTTGACATGAAATTAATATGTAAGTTAATGAAAAATAAAAAAATTGGCTACTAAAATTAAAAATTCATTTAGATTTGCTTCTCCATATGAGTCCGAGCGAATGAAATTGTCGTAACTAAATTCGGCGAAGATTTAAAGATAGCAAAGCTTACAATAGACAGCCTGTATACAAAACAAATCTATAATACATTCCGTGCATCGCGCGAAATAGATGATGCGCAGTTCTCTCATGCATATTTACATGCAGTATATGCTATTTCATTATCACGCATGTATGTACTATTATAAACACAAATTACCTGCCGACAAAAAGAAGGGCTAAAAAACCTGCTTGCCAGTATTTAAACGAACAAAATAAAAGTCACAGGAAACTGATGTTCAAACAGCGCTTTGTTATAATTGGCCGAGAAATAACAAGAAAGAGACACAACAAGGTGCGCGTTATAGTTCCAATTATTATGTTAATAGCAGCGGGATGTAACAGAGGAAATGTGTAAAAAGCGATAATCTGCGCAATTTCGTTTATACTGACATCACGGACCGGGGTTTGCGATTTGGTAATCGAGATCGATTGCGACCATTTGTCGTCGACTATCTGTATGTTATCCTCTTCGTCGTCGGAGCCGAACGGATCGGTTAATTGCCGACGTGTCATAAGTATAGGACGTTGCTGCGTTTGTTGTACTCCCGGTGGTGATTTGCTCTGCGGTAAATCGGTACTGATTTCTTCAAAACGAAAGAAATTTGCGCGGAAACATTTGCCGTCGGATATAATATGCGTAACACGTCTCGCGATCAGACGTAATTGGGAAATTTGATCTCGGGTTCTCGGTGATCGTAAAACACGCTTTAACGTACCTTCTCTCTCGACGAGTACTTCTCTTTGGTCGGCGACAACACTTTACCGAGAATGCTCTTTGACCCGGCCAGTATGATATCTTTGACCTCTTTCACGCTGGATGGCGATTTGTCCTTGTTGCACTGATCGTGATCTTGACTGTCGGTGTTCAAGCTCAGATGAAGTTTGTTTTTGATCGAATCAATGCAAATGTCGTCCTTCTTGTTATCGAATGGATTCGACCTACGAGAGAGAGAGAGAGAGAGAAATGCGAATCACATTTCTTCTCGAAATGCGCTATGACAAATTTGCAAATGCGTTTACCGGCGATTGTCCATTTTGTTATTTTTCTGATCGATCTGTTCCTTTTTTCGTAAATTAATGATCTCTTTGCCGAACAGCTGGACGCTCACGTCCGTGTTGTTGTCCGTATTAAATCTGCCGATCATGTACGAGGACTCGTCTGTTGTCTTGCCTATTTGATGTACCTAAGTAGGTGCAAAACGATAACACGAGGATTAATCGGTTCATACCATGCGGTGAGTAGTGTTGCATATAGCATTAGAAAAGAAGAACAACAATCGATAAACCAAATCGTTAGATGAGAAATTATCAATTTATCAATAACTCACTTCTAATTCGTGACCGGTGAAATGTGCCCTCAATTGATACAAATATGTCATCACAGCTAGTTTGTCAGGTACAGTTAATATATCCATGTCTGCCGGTTCTATAACTCTAGGAATGCCTAGAGCTTCGCCCGCATCGAAAGCTTTTTTGCAGTTGCCTTTTACGTCATGAGGCAACAGTGTATCAATGTCTCTACAATCATTTTATTTTTGATCACGTTTATTGCGTGATTATGTTCAAATTATTATTACTATCATTATTATTGAATGACTGTTGGATATATTGCGACTTGGATATAAATGCGTCAAAATTTATGACCAACTCAAAAATAATCTTCAAAATGTTGGCACGAGACAGTCAACACAAAACAATAACGATCTCTCAAAGTGTTTATTAATGGAACATGCGAATGAAATATAACCGGCATATATTGTGTCACAGTTGTTTGTTGACATTTTTCCAGAAAATCACAACCCGATTTCTACAGAACTACTCACATCAAATCCGGTCTGAAGTGATGAATAATCGCACAAAACGCCATTCCATTTCGCCAAGATGTTGTCAAATTCGTAACTTTGACTCCAGGATAGTCCTTGGTGACCTCCTTGCACCACTCTAACAAATCTTGTCCGGGAGTAATTTCCTTCAGTCTTGGAACATTCGCGTCGAGTTTTTTGAAATCCAACGGCTGCAGCGGAAGTCTCATTGCACTGTGTTCAATATTTTTACTGTGCAGAAACATTGAAATCAACAAATCGAACTGTACATTATTCTGATATTTTTTTATAAAACATTATATTTAAATTTTATTGTAAATATAATACATACTCATTTTCAACTGCAATATTGTCTTTCACAGGTGATTTTTCTTTCAAAGAATCACCAATTCCCGTTAGACTAATATCTCGCGTAAAATGTTCTCCATCATTTACAGGAGTCGTGTCATCTTTTGATAAGCTGGCCACTGTTAAAAGTACAATTCCTTACTATTAAGGATCACATTAAAACTAGTTTGTAAAGTATCTAAATTCCTAGAATAAAAAAATGAACTTACCGCTTATGGGAGTGCTAGGTAATTCACTTTCAGTGATACTGCTTGTCATTAAATCTAACTGAGTTGAAATATCTAAGATCTCGTCCAAGTTCTTTACAGACACTTCTTCAACATCTTCAGGTATGTCTTCATTATCAAAATCATCTAATGGCGCGATATCACTGTTATTATTAACTGACATTAAGCTGGCCATACTTTGCATATCTTCATCCCTGGACAAATACAAATATATATATATATATATTTTTTTTATGTAAAAAACTTTTTTCATGTAAAAGTAAGAATCTAAATAACAAGAATTTTTAAGTTGAATGTACAACACAGTTACAATTGAGTGGGGAGACAATGTACTCACGTTGCTTTGCCTTCTCGCAGAAACACACATGATAACGTGCATTCAAGATTAGCACTAACAATTTTTTTAGAAGTTGGTTTTAAATCTAATTTGAGTTCTTGCTGACTAGATTCTAGGGTTGCATACTTTTTCATATTTATATTAGTTGCGGCTACATGGCGCCTTTTTCCTGTTGACGACACCTATACAAAAATAAATTTTGTAGATAAACTGTTTCAGTTAGACACTCTTCTGTAAATATAGACAAGCATCATTCATACATCTTCAATAACAAATGTCCAATCTTTGTCTTCTAGCTCGTGTGTTCTTGGATCTTTAAATAGTGTCACAGAAACTGTATGATTGTCAGGAACTGCCCAGCTAATAACACCTTTCAAAGGATCACTCAAACTTGGCTCCCATGCCAAGGGTTCTGTGCTAACTCTTCTGCTGCGTCTTGTCCAAACAACACTCAGTTTGTTTGGTTTCCTATAGAATTATATTACAGTTTATTTTTAGAATTATATTGCAGTATTATTTTAATCTTCTGTTTTTTACTTTTTTTTAATACTTTATTAATTGTCAGTAGTAAGTTTTTTTTTTTTAAATAACGTGCAATTATTTTGAATGTGTACAATCTTTTTTCTGAAGAAAATGTGAATCACTTAAAAGAAGACAGTAGACAAAATTATATTATTATTATAAATAAATTTATGCAAACATCATTTTTTATCTTTTTTTCAAAGGACACTTGTGATATTCAAATCTGTACAAGTACATTACACACAAGTCATTGGAAAACAAAAAGAACAACCTTTGAACTCCTTTTTTTTGTCTATCAAACGTGATGACCGATACTTTCCGGAATAAACAAACACTTTGCGTCATAGAAAAAAAATGTGACATTTGTCTGGCTCGCTCTCTTGATGCTCCCGAACGTGTGACGCGGTTACAATAAATAACAGTAACGCTCACCATTTCGTTGTCGTTTCTAGAGTGACTTCGTGGTAAGAAACAGTAAACTGAAACTTGGCGGCTCTCTTGTTCACTCGCTGCAGGCGTTTCCAGACGGAACTCATGTCTGAGGCCGCGCTTCGTTTCTGGAGAACGATTGTTCCACGCGCGTTCGAGATCGCACGCCGCTGCTCGCGCAAGGATGTTCTCTCACTGGTGACGCGCGAACGATGCGCGCTTCGTCATTTCTGCGTAATCCGCGGACTGAGATCAAAGCGATAAAGTGTAAATCGCTTGTTACTCACTCACCGATCCGATGTAATTGACGTTTGCCTATCAACGCGCACTCTCAGGCACAATCATATGTTCAATGACAGACGAGCGACTACGCGTCTCGCGGACGACCTCGAGCTGGCGTTAACGCTTCTGATTGGCCGAAGAAGATCACGCCGCTCGCGCACGAAAAAACTCAGGCGGATACGAATTGACCAATCGGAGGCGGGAAGCGTCTTTGAAACTCGACTTAAGACGGAACGAGATTGGATTGGAAGTTGACCATTTCAGGACGGGTGTAAAAGATCCTCTCAGGGAGAGAGTCCTCTCGCGAACTCGTGACCTCACTGGACGGCTTTATCCTCTGTCCAATCAGAAGCGAATGTGACGTTACGAGTTTCGCGACTCTCTCCCTGAGAGGCTCTCTCTTTAGGACAAGTGTTTCGCTAAACTCGAAATTGCTTTTCTTTGTCCTGACTGGTCGAATTCCTATCCGCTCTCGATCCGAATTTTCGCATCGAGTTTTCTGCGCGTTATCGAGGAACAATTTAGATCAGTTTCATGTTACTTTCTTCGGAATAACGAAGAAGACGAAAGTCTTGATGTTGGAACAACAATTGGAAGCGAAAATCTTCCGCAAGGTAAAATATTTGTCGCAAAATCAAACGAAGCAACTCAAAGAGTTCACTAGACACTTAGGATTATTTTACTCTGGTCGAAACCTAGTAAATTTGACCGGCTCTTTTGTGACGCACATCAATCGACCCATCGATTGATCCACGATATACCAAAGCAGCGGATAATTTTTAATCTATTTGTCGTTAACAATATTCTGCTTTTTTGCGATCACGCGAAACGGATTACGTTACGACGGATGAGCGCTCTCGTGACAGCTTCGCACAATGCCAATAACCATCATTTCCGATAACAGCGCTCGTTTGTTGGTGATATTGGCGGCCATCTCTCTCCCCTCTCTCTCTCTCCTCCTTTTCTCTTCTCTGCCGCAGAATCCGCCGTCGCAAGCTCCATCTTCGTACTTGAACTCTCCGCGGTTGTGGACACATACGTTTCGCTGCTGCGTCGAGGGATCGCAGTACGGTTCATAGTGGCGACTGAGAAACAGCATCGGCCGAAAGTGGGGATCACTTGCGCCATTTTCTATTTTTGCACAGCACCGCGAAAGCGAGATTAAGGCTCTCGGTTGTCGTGTGCGTGTGCGTGTTCAATTTGTGTGTACACGGATCGTTTTTGTTTTTTTTTTTCTGTTTCCGCGAGAGATCGATTCGGCTCGGGGGTATCGTCACATCGCGGACCGTCGGGAGAGAGAGAGAGTGTGTGACACGCGAGATGAGTGAACTGCGTTCGGCGACACACGACGCAGGTATATTCGCGTGAATTATTTTCGTGCGGGGAACCCGTCAAAATTCAACGACCAACGTGCGCGCACCACAGCTTTTTGCGTGTGTTTCTCAACTCCCCCCCGAGTGTGAAAAATTCTTTTCATCCTCGCGACACACCGCACACACACACACACGAGTTTTTTTCCCCGTCTCCCTCTTCCTCTCTTTTTCCTTCCGTCTCTCTCTCTTTAACGTTCTTACGCAGTTCGTCGCATTTCCTAGATACAAAACGATCGGAGAGATAGAGAGAAGAAGGTGCACGCCGCCCGAGAGTCGTCCGCAGTTCCGAGTCGAGGCTTCGTCGATCGCTGTCCGAAACCGCCATACCGTGTAGAAGGGAAAACCAGTCTGTGATATTAAACAGTACTAAGCGCGATATATATACATACATACATTCACACGCACACACATATACATGTGTATAGATATATATATATATACGCATCTACATATAGTTAGTGCAACTTTCTGGACGTTCATCATATAGGTGCGCGCGTTCCCATACGCGTGTTCCCCGTGTTACGAGAGGACCTGATAGAGTGCGCGCGCGCGCGCGCGCGTGTTCTCGCGTGTGTGTGTGTGTCCGTCTGTTCTGTGTATGTGTGTGCGCGCGCGTGCTTGTTACGTGTTCTCTCGCGTGTGTGTTTTGTGTCGTTGCTTGTGAGAGGAGATAGAGAAGAGAGAGAGATAGAGAGAAAGAGAAAGAGAAGAGATCACATAAAGAATTTCAACGAACGACAACAACATAATCGCAAGGAAGACGCGACGCCGATATCCGCGCGGAATCGCCCTACGCGGGTCGACGAAGACGACGGACGCGATCAGCGACACGATGTCCGTCGAGTCTGTGACAAGTGACAAGCAGCCGCCGCGGCCGACAACCACAACGACTTCGGCGACGACGACTACGCCAGCGAAGGAAGAAGGTGAGAGTCAAAATTGATTGTTTGAACGTTTGCTTTCGTTGTTTTTTTTTTTTGACGGAACTCGTTTCCGAAATTACGCCAGCGACGAGACATTCTCGGACATCGTGTCCCGGAGATTGTACCGATTGTTCGAAATAACCTCCAAGTTGCGTTGGAATTTGGTACAGGTCCTCTTTCATCAGAGAGATCTGCTTGTGTGATAATTGTGTCGTTACATTTGTCGCATGTTTCGTGTAACAAAACTGAAACGAACGCGTGCCAATGTTGCACAGAATATTTGAAAAGTATATAGAAAAAATGTCTACTGTCAGATCGGATATAACATTGCCTCTTGTTTTTCAAACCAAAGACCGAATTTGCCACAAAAACGGCGAAATAAACTTGTGCCAGTTTGCTACACATTGCGACAAATTAATTGTGAACGCAGTTTTTCTGTACGATATTTCACACATAAAGAAAGAATCTTTATTTATAGAGCAAAATCGCACACACACATTCTCAGAATTTTGTTATAAAATATTCCAAGATGTTTTCTTAAATGTATTTTTAGCTTCTATTCAATTTCTGATTTATCTATTTTTTGTACGTAAAAAAATATTTGATCTTTCTTTCAGTGTGTGTGTTTAAATTACATTAACGTGAAGCCAATGAGATATATCTATACGTTTTTCCATCTCTAATGAAGATTGACCGAACGAATGTGTATTCGGCAAAATGAATTTTCTATTGGATATCACCGTGATCTGTAAATCTTTACATACGTCCGTGTTTTCAGGAACAAAATTGCGATCCTCTTCCTGCTGAGAAAATCCACCAATTACACGTTCAAACCATTCACGTGGCCAATCACACATCTCATACATTACTTCCCCGTTCGGGGAAGGTTTGGTCTGGTATTACGTTATCCGAAAAACAGCTCGGAGAGCAGTCAGTTCAAGTCTGCAACGCGCTGCTTACACAACTGTTTACATATATTTCTTCGGCACCGTGTTCGCGCAAAAGTGATATATAAGACAGCGGAGTAATCCACAACGTGACCATTATTTCTAATATCGAGAACAGTCATTTTGATAATAGAAATAAGCAGACGAAAATTCTAGAAGGAAGGAAGCGTGACACTTTGAATTGGTTCAATCCTCTATCGCGAGAGATAGGGAGACAAAAAATTTAAGTTCGTTTTCGAAAATTCGAAGAAGATTTTTTTTCTCGCGATAGTTTTACCGCGATTGTAAGAACAAATAAAGAAAAAACTACGAAAAGTGAAAACTTGAATAGTTTCCGAGACTCACAAGTATAAAGCTCTTGATATTAGTTTTTTTTTTTTTTTTTTTTTTTTGTAACGAAGCCTCAAAAAGTCTTGAAAAAATTTTGTAAAATTCATCAACGGTTTTAGATCATTTATTCCTGACCGAAATTCGATTTATAGGAATTTCTTGACCGTTTACCCTTCATCTGTTTTGTTTACGTTACCGAGGACGGTTGAAGAAACACAACACATACGCACGCACGCACGCACACACACAGAATAGAACGGTGCGATAGATAAGAGAGACTTTCGTGTAAGAACTGTGTGTTTCTCGGTCTGAATATATTCAAGAGCGAGACAAATAATTTGCAAAATGAGACTCATCGCCGTCGATCGTTTTATCGGTTCGAACTGGTACCGACGCCCGCGTAAGCGTCCGCTGGTCGGACCGACTGGTTCCCCATTCCTAGACATTCTTGTTATGCAGACCAGAGCTTGCCGTTGGTTTCGGAAAAACAAATCCGTCAATCCGCTAAAACGAGTGACCTTTCGTAAGTACGCGTTGCACCAGAAATCAAATCGCGCGCGTTCGAGAGAACGGAACGATTTCGGCGAATCATCGTTTTCTTTCAGTGTAGTTATACATGTATTTTTTGTATTGTTTTTTTTCTTTTTTTTCTTTTTTTTACAGGAGATGAAGCCATTATATCGATGTCGGTGGCCGGAGAGGTGACTGATACTTCAATAATGGAAGTAGGCCGTTCTAGACCTCAATTTCAGTATTCTCGGGTAAATATCGCTTCATTATCGGTCTTTGTTTTTGTTGACAGCAAATATTACGTCTTTGGCAAATTATTGGTTAATTATCAATCTCATGTTTGTTACAGTAAATATTATATCCTTGGTTTTTTTTTTCTTTCGTTTTTCGCAGGACGAATTAATGGAGATGAAAAAATCGGAAATGTCTAACCGCAGACCCGCTTTTCTGGACAACGCTTACAACAAGTACGTTACAAACTCTTACGTATACGATCGAAATATCAAAACGTTCGATTTTGCCTAATCAAGTTTTACTCCCAGCTCACGAGGTGTTTGGGATCCTGAACGTTGGCATTCGGACAGAAAGCGTAGCGACACCCCGCCGAAAGAGGAAAGGACTGGACGTAGTGATCAAATCACTGAGAATCATAACAAGCGACGTAGTAATGGCGATCCACGGGACCGAATACGCAAAGAGCAAGACGGCATAGTACTGAGTCCTCAGCGAAGAAGTTTTAATTCGGGATGTTTTGTTAATGTGAATCTAGCGCCAAGTCGACGTCCGGAAAGCCCAATTGGAAAAACAGAGGTACATACTCTAGGATCGAACGTGATATCACTTATATTGCTTTTTGTTTTTCACACTGTTTTGACATATTGTTAAAATACGCGTAAATTATAATATAATCTATGTGTGAATGATGCGATTGTAAGATGATTCTTCAGGTTAGTCATCGTGAGCCTGTTCGTCGTATCGGTAGCGGAAGAATTCTTCCACGGGAAATATGGGACTTCAGAGCCGAAAACGATAAAATGGAACTTGAGCGTGCCGATTACGGGTTCAGATCGGGCACGACTGCTGGTGGTTCTCTGCGCGATCGTGATAATAGGGAAAATCGTGACGCGAAAGAACGAGACATGCGAGAGAGGGAACGCGATCGCGACAATATGCGCGAGCGGGACGAGAGGTTCGAGCGAAGATCATTCGGCCGGGATTACGGGGATCGCGGGGAGAGAGAACGCGATCGTGGCGATCGAGGAGCGGGAGGAGCAGCAGAACGGAACGAGCGGAACAATCATCAAACGGATCGTGAAAAAGATCGCGGACGCGAAAAGAGATTCGGCAACGATCGTCGGCGAACGTACAGCGACAATCGCGATTCGGATGAGCCTGAATGGTTCAGTTCCGGGCCTACATCTCAACACGACACGATCGAGTTGAAGGGTTTCGATGATCCTCTGGAGGAAAAGAAGATGAGCGGCAGTAACGCCAAAAACAAGAAACAGACTGCCGCCCAGAAAAAACGGAACAAGAAAAACTCCGCCGAGAAGGATGACAAACCGAATGAGAACTCGACGGGTCCTAAGGGGCGCAGCACCCCGACCACCATGGACCAGCCTATAAATGTTGTACCGGCACCGCACTCACCGATATCCGAACAGACCGAGCAGTCCTCGATCGTTCCGAGCAAAGAGACTGACGCTAACGAAAGTATCGTGACCGAACCGACCACGTCCGAATCGGCAGAGAATTCGAGTGCCAATCAGAATCAAGAGGACTCTCATCCCGACTTCAATTTGGATGAATTCCTGAAGTCCGACACGTTTTCTTGCGTTTCTGGATTGCTGACGGTGAGTTGTTTCATTTCTATTTTCTTTGTATATTTGTATAGAATATATATGTAATTAATATTGTTTTTTTTTTCCATTACGTTGCGTTCAAATAAATTATTTCGTTTGTAGAACGGAGTTGGCTCCAATAGCGGCACCGGTTCTCGATTCAGCCAGTGGTTTAAGAGAGAAAGTCCGATTCAACAACAAGTGGACAGTCGTAGACCTTCCATACAAGATGAGTTATTGAACAATTTGTTGAACGACATTACCGAACCGAACATTCAAATACCATCGGTAACTGAGTCGAACACCTATTTCGCTCCAATTTCTCCGGCCAACACCACAAACAATACAAATGCGACTACGAATGGAGTTAAGTTACTTGAGATGTTACAACGCAAGTCGAGTCAAAATGGTCAGGGTGACGTAGCTAACCCGGTTATTCCTGTGATGAAAAATTGCTCTATTAAAGATTTGGGTAAGAAAAATCGATATAACAAATTTGTTGGAATAACAAATCGCTCGTAAAACACATAAGATACGAATTCTCTTTTTTCCAGAAGTTAATGGAAAAGTGCACAGTTTGGAAGAATTAGAGGCACGTATGCGGGGTGGTGCTCCTCCACCTACGACTTCGACTGATACACCCCGTGTAGATAAGACTGATGAAGATCTCTCTGCTTTTAAGAAACTGGTATGTGTTTCAATATCTAGAGATCACATTCCATTCATATAATGGCTAATTGAAATATGTTACAGCTTGCTCAAGTGAGTGGAGGACAAGCTGTGCCTGCAGCTAACGGACCTATTACTCAAAAACAACAGCAACAACAACATGTAACATTAATGCAGGTAAGGTGTGATACTTAAAAACTCAAACTTTTTGCTGCATTAATTCTGTGAACAATAATATCTATTTTTGTATTCTAGCTTCTCAATTCACAGCTGAAGACAACTCAGCAAACTCTAATGCCGCATCAACAACCGCCTGCGGAACCGATTCATACTACAACATTCAATCACGTTGGTCCCCTTGGTCCTACTCAGTATCCTCATCAGGCTCAAATGCAACATGAGAATTTAATGAAAGTTTTGCAAATACAGGTGTGTTTATATTGTTACATTTTAATCATTGTGTTATGAGTTTTTGTAAAAATAATGTAATATACTATTTAGCAACAGCAGCAGCAGCAGCAACAACAACAACAGCAGCAGCAGCAGCAACAACAGAAACAGCGACATTCCGATATGCTGTCGGTGATGATGGGGAATCAAAGAGTGTTAGGTGTAAGTCCGGTACCGACAGACATGCAAATCATGTTAAATAACATCCCATCGAGCCAAGAGCTCTTACAACGACCGGAAGCTCAAGCGATCATTCAGGGTCTGCAACAGGGAGAGATCACCAGGCAGCATCTAATGCAACAGTTGCAGGTGCGACTAAGCAGCACATAAAAAATTATGTTTTACAATTTAATTGTACAATTGATTGTTTTATTATTAATTTTTTCGACAGAATCCTGCCATGCAGCATCGCCATCGAGAGGTGCTGGTAAATATTTTGAAGACATACGGCGGTACCACTTCACGTACTATTAGTCCCCATCCTCATCCCACAGCACCTACTCCGCAGGACCACATCTTGCAACAAATGCTGTATCAGCAGCAACAGAGGATTCCTTCTCCGATGAACAGCGGTGAGTTTTTACACGCAATGTTTTTCTATTTTTCTTTTTTTTTTTTTTTAAATCAAAAGACATTACTGCCAAAGACGTTAGAAGTTTTATAAACTCGGTTGAATGGTTTTATATCGTATTTGGAATGCAGCCTATTGTCCGCCTCCGATAATATCGCCAAATTTAGCAGCTAGTCCTAGTACTTTAACAGTACAACATCCAGGTAATATAATGAATATAATAAAAATTGTTTGTAATTGATACATATGTGCGAACGTAATATCTAAAGTACTATACATATATACATTTAAATAATTTCTGCACATATGAAAGAAGAAATATACATACATGAGTTACTTGGTGAATTTATTTTGTATGTCTCTCGCGAACAGTAGCGCTAAAATGAATGAAAGTGACAAAAACTTTGATATATTATTGTCAAACGCATATAAATGTGAGACATGCTTTTAGTATTAAATTTATATAAGAGAATTATTTATCATTGTTATAACAGTGATATCGCACAGAGTACCGTCGCCAAGAGAGCTCGCAATGCACACTCAGACTATAATGCAAAATGCTCTAATCAAGAAGAAGTTGGAAGAACAGCGTGAGAACTTCCGTAAGCGGCAGGATCAGCAGCAACAGCAGCAGCAAGTACAGCAACAAGTACAGCAGCAGCGCCCGTCGACTCCTGTGAATTCACCAGCTAAGCAAACAGCGAGCCCCCTTGCTTTCACTCCGACCTCCGTTTTACGTAAAATGACTGCTGATAAAGAACCTGACGGTGCGAATCAAGTAGAAACATCTACTACTGCTGTTTCCGTGGTTAATGGAGATATTAGCCAATCTTGCATGTCTCCGAATAATCACCAAACTTCCAAAGTCACTTCTAATAATAGTTCTAAGCTTGTTAATTCCGTTAATCAAGAACAAAATGAGATCCTTAAAACGATTTTTATGAATTCTGCCATGACTAATCATATGAATAACAATAGCACTTTTGATATGGAAGAATCGGCATTAAAAACCAAATATTTGTGTCCATCAAAACAGACTAAAGACGCTACGGGTGATAATTCGGATATTAACACAACGAAGGAAAATGTTTTCCTTGATGTTAATGAAAATGCAAACGATGACGTAACAGAGAAAGAGCCTAATGATAATACTGATAAAAATAAGGATGATAATAATGATGATAATAATGATGATAAAGATAATGATAAAGATGATGATAATGTCATTGATATTGATATTGATAACGATACCAATAATAATAACTGTGTCTCGTTAGATGAGGCACTGAGAAAATCATTCGAAACGCTAATAGACGAAAGTAATGAAACAATATCAATGACATCAGACGGAGTAGGAAACGTTGATCTGCAAAGTGCTACTTTAGTCACAGTCAATGGCAAAGATGTCTAATTGTATTGTTTCGTAGATGAGGAGTTTCATAAAGTGCAATATTTCATGTAGTTTTATATCGTTAGTTTAAAGCTGTTAAGTTTTGTTTATATAATTTTTGCGTTATAAAAAAAAGGCAGCTGTTTCGTTTCTTTGTTTAATGTCACCAGTGATGCTTAGAAAGCTTTAAGAGATATTTTTCTTAACGTGACATATTTATTTAGCGAGAAATATGGTTTTTTTTTTTTTATTTTATATATGATATAAAAAGCACTTTATAAAACGAACTCTTCATTTCTTAACATTTGTCGCTCTTGAACAGTATATATATATACATGTTGGAATAGATTTTTTTTAAATATAATAAAAGCTTACATATATATATATATAAATCTACCATCTGCTTTAACTTTTCTTTTACACATGCTTACATTTTTTTCTCCTATCACAACTTTTCATCTACATACATATTTGCTTGCACTTTTTGTCTAATTGTGGTAATTCTCAGTTTTTATGCCTGCCAAAATTGCATGAAAAATTTATGCTTTGTAATAAATATAATATAAACACACACATACTGTATTTATTATTACTCTTACAAAATCTTTATGATATAACAATTATTCTAATATAATACAGTTACACAATATATAATCACTGACATATAGTAAATAACAAAATCTTGAGTCTGGCTGTGTATTAATACGGCAAATATGATATTGAAATGAGTACAAAAAAAAAAAAGTTATATGAAAGTTTTGTCAAAAACAGTTATCCAACATAAGTTTTTTAATACATATTAGTGTAATTAAATACTATAAACTAGTCTAAAGTAAAAACAAATATTTTGGTAAAAAAAAAAAAACAAGACTGCATTAACATTAACATTAAGAAAGCATTAACATTCGTGTATAAGTGTGAGCTTTAAAAATTCATATATAGTTGCTTACTGTATTACTTTGTATCTAAATATAGGAAGCAGCAATGACCCATCAAAATTGTCCGCACAAACTCAGGCTTCTCAGATGCAACAAATGCAATCTGCGGTTCAGTTACTTACACAGGGAACTCTCTCAAGACATACTGCTGCATTGCGACCGCAATCTGTTCAGTCAACATGGTCGAATCCATCGCTTAAACAGCATCCAGGTTTCTTTCATTCTCATTAAATTAGGGAAAAAACATATTCTTGTTATATATATATCCAAGTCTTATTAATTTTATATATAAAGTATCAGTGAAAAGAGCTCGATATTTTGGAGATTAACAATGAAATTTTTCCTCTATCGCGAGAAACTAGAATAACACGATATTCTGATTTCAGGTCGACCTATAGTAAAAGGTGGTAATAGTAGCAACACGAGCAACAATCAGTTTCAGTACAACGCCGGAAACACGGAATTCCAACAACATCATAGGACAGTTTCAAATGTATATGGCAATCCGGCACGATCCAAGCACACAATGGCAACCTCGCTGTCACATCACAACGTTCCGCAGTATAATGTGACGCAAAACACAATTATGAATCAAAGGTCAAATCCTATAAACACACAGATGAAGGCCCAGCAAGTTCCGTCGCATCTTGCTGGCTTGCAACAACAACCGCCGCCGCATGGAACTGTCAACATGCAACAGCCACAACAACAACCGCCGCAAAGGACAGTAAACACGCCGATGCAACTTGTCGTGAACCAAAATTACAGTTCCAATCGCACAGGTAATGATTCAAAAGCAATATTTTCGTAAAAAGAATTTTGCACAATCTCTATTTTACCTTTTACAAAAGTCAATATTCTATGAACTCAAAAGTTTTCCTTATCTTGTTTACACTGAACTTCCAGGTGCCTCCTTTTTCCCAACTCACATTGCATGCAACGGTGTTCACAAATTGGAATAATAATCAGTTCCTTAACTTCCCCTCATATTTTGACCTCTCATGTTTTGACATCACTTATCTGTGGATTCGACTAAGTAAAAGAGAACAACTGTTAATTACGTTAAGATACTTTATATATGCTAGAATGTTAATGAAGTATTAAAAATAATACCATATCGAAAAAGTATTTATTTAAATATACAATATTAGCTGTGGATAATCTCCGCATACGTCGTAATAACTTTCACCGTCGGTGTTTCAATGATGACGGCCTATTACATGGCTGATAAATTGTGTACACAGATGGACGATCAATGCGATCGCAGCAACTGAACATGGTAGTTGGTCGTCAACCTTCGCCTGGTCTTGGATTTGTTGGAAGTAACGGAGGTGATCTATCCCCGACATCTAATCAGCTCGCACGTTGGTTCAGTCCTGAACTCCTCGCTCAAGCTCGCGCGGGCAAGCTACCGGAGCTTGCGCAAACGAACGTCTTGTCGTTAGAAGAGCTGGAAAGACTTCAACACGCGTCGACCATAGTGCATAACTAAAGTGATACTATTCTTGAATAATGTCTAAATTTTACGAACAAAAAATTGCATTGATGACGTTACTACTGGTCGAGAGTAAAACCGGTAGTTTTTATAACTCTCCCTTTACGTCCGAAGCACCTATATGATGTCCCACGTACACTGATGCTGAGAATACATATGCTGCTAAAATTCTAGAATGGTGCTCGCCTACGTATAGATCTTTTTATCGAATCTTTGTATCATCAAGAGATTTATCTAAGTAACACTAGTCGAGATTAATCGGTTGGACAGTGCTTCTTTTTTGATGGATCTTTTTTCGTCGAAAAAAGTCAGTGACGTTTGTGAGAAACAGTTTTTCCAAGTTTTGCGGAGAACGTTATTTAGAGACTATATATAAAAAAATGTACAGTATAATATATGACATAAAAAACGAAGAGTTCTTTAAAAAACGAAGAAAAAGAAGAACACGAGTGAATAGCTTTCTACAAAAAAAACGATGTATTGCTTATAAGACTGAAAAACAATGTGAAAATCCTTATTGTTGATTATGACAAGCTGTTAGAGCTTGATGCGCGTACTTTCTAAATGACAACAATAACATCTATTTGCCTAAAGATAGGACTGCAAGTTTCTTACGTATTCGCATTTTCTTATCCCGTAAGACTAATTATTTTGACGGTCTAACTAATTCACCACAGTATGTTTTTTTTTTTTTTTTTTTATTTATTTATTTGCGTTACTTGATAAAACTATAAGAATTATTTATCTCGCGACTTAAGTAATTTACCTTTCGTTGTATTTACTCAGAATATATTTACTTCATCTTTTTCTCATCTCTTACGTATACAAACTTAAGAGATATCATAAAACAAGAAATATAGTTGTGATTGAGACTTCACAATTAATAAATATTGAGGCACCACGCCGCATAATTATGTTCCTTTAAATCCGGAACAAAACAAAAGAATACTTCCACTCCTGTCTCAATAGGCACGAAAATATTATCCATCTACTCTGTACATGTGTACTTTGAGGTAAAAAAAAAAAAAAAAAAAAAAATTGTGCGCCAGGAAGGATGAAATGTATATAGTCATTACGTTTAATGTTTTTTTTTTATGAAATACGTCGTGACTATTCACAATGGGACTTGCAAAATTTCTTAGGCAAATAATTTGACAATTCTTTAAAAATGTAAATTACAAAACAAAAAACATTTGATTGCAAATTAGTTACGAAAAGTGGCGGTGTAATATTATTATTATTCGTATTAAACAAAACCACGATGAGACCTTATTAACATAAAAGCATATGAAATAAAATGATGAACATGACATCTAGAGAGTCATACGTATATTAATAAAATAAAAATATATAAAATAATACACAATTTCTTGTAGAAGAGAGAACGCGTGAGAGTGCCGTGTTGTTATTCTGATTGAAAGTGATAGATAGATTAAAAATGTCTCTCTTAATAAATAATCTCTGAAGGCACATGTGTAGGAAAAAAAAGTCGTTCACAGATTTAACTTAAAAAGAGCAAGAACATTCCATCAGCCAATAAAAGAATCAAACTAAAAATATTTTTATTGGATTAGTAAGATAAATGTGTCAATACTATTTATTGTCTATTAGAATACTATAAAAAAAAAGGAAAGAGAGAAGATGAAGAGAGTATGCGTGTATGTATGTTTGTGTGCGTGTGTGTACTGTTAGAATAATAAATTCTATCAGTATTGTTTGATTTCGGTTTGATTATTTCAAGATTACAATTTTCATATGATTGCCAAGAAAATGTTGAACTTATTTTAACGCAACTGTCAAACGTTTATTTTTTGTCTTATATTTTGACAGAACGATATTGGTTTTTTTATTTATTGTATACACACACAGTAAATAATGAATGGTGGCACACGATTTTTTTTTCTATGCTCTGTGACATCACGTTTCGGATCAACCATTTTGCTGTTTATGAGGAAACGAGTTTTACGATATTTATGCTCCTGAAAGATGAGCAATTTCGTTCCTTGAGTAAGTACTGATCTCAGATCGTGTGCAACCAATTGGGATTTACTGTATGTGCGTTAGAGTCTCATCATGCGCGTATAATTTATGCAACATTTTATGAAGAAGACAAAGTTTTCGAAATCTCATATATTACATTTGAAAAAACAAAAACAAAAAACAGTAGTAATACATTACATTGATAGACAACGTATTTATATCTATGTATCTCTTTACTAATTGCTTGACACTTATTATTACATATACACGAGAGAGTATAACTCGTATACGCGTTCTCTAATTTATGACTATTGTTTACACCATAGTATTTTATTTAATTGCATACAAAACTACCTTTTTTTTACAACTGTATATAATTGTATGAAGATTCATATAAAATACGTAAAATAAATTTGTGTGAAAATATAAAAAAAGAATAAAAAAGTAATATAAATTTAAATTTTGTTTAAAAAATTACTATGTAAGGTACACATATATGTACATATATATGTTTTATTACTTTTTGTGTTGACAAAATTTATAATTTTATTATTGCATTGTAATTTTCGTGAAAGTTACGAGTATAGAAGCAAAGATTTTTTTACAAAGAAAATAATTACAGTGAATACATATTATAAACATTCTCTGCGACAGTGTGTCGCATGGAAAAATAACGTTAACCACATAATTCAAAACTGACATTTACAAATCTTACATCTGCGCAACAAGAAAGAGGTATAAAATTTGTCAAATGCAAGAAGCATTATGGGACTCTAATATTGCGTTAATTGATTAACTTTTACGTTCAGAGAAAAACATATTGCATACGAAAATATGCAGACAAAGAGAGAGATTCTCCTTATAAAAGGGAATAGTTATACCGCTTGTCAAGTTTCTTTTTTTTATTTTGCGATCGTACAGCAGTAGATATTGTTCAGATTATATCTCCGATGCAAGATATCATGTGCTTATCTGAAGCGTCCATGAAATGTACAAAGTGAGAGGAAACGAAGAGAAAGAAGAACTTATTCGATTGTAATACAAAAATCAATGCACAAATATTTAAAAACATTTTAAGTTATATACTGATGCTTTGTAAACTGTGGCAAAATTTTGTGTTCTATAACAATATATCATTTTTGCTACGTAACAAAAAAAGCACGCGTGTATTCCAAAATAACACTACAATTTAGTCGGTATAAAAATGACACTAATGAGGCTCAAACCCGAAAAACATCTTTGAAATGTTAATACAACGCACCGCGAAAGCATCAAATATTAGACTATAATTTAGTTTTTTGTTTTTTTAAATAAAAAACGAAATAAGTTTATAAAATTACAAAAACAAACTTAATGTTTTACACTATACGTAAGCTACACAGTTGTTTAGGAGATATTTTCTGAAACAATATGTATTTTTTTTTTGCCAGAGTTACACATTAATGGTTGGTGATACCGATTTTGTTTTTGCATGCCGAAATAACGATGGATCGCTACGTTTCTGAAGTATATATTGCATTTATATGTTAGACTTTACTTTTGAGATTGACAAAGCTTACCAAAAACCAAAACTAAAAAATAATCGCCAGAAAACGAAGCAATTTTCTACTAAGGTGCGAGAAACTGTTATAATTGAATCTTTTTGTAATGTGCATTCGCAAACCGAGTAATTACTACGTTTCTGCTTTCATTAAATGGAAGATATTTTTGCGAATGAATTTGTCCTATGCTTGTGGACTTAAAGATTGTTCCATATATAAATCGACACAATTTTGTAAATAAATCGATCGATTCCGGAGCTGGCTAAAGTACACGTTTGGTTTTCGCGCCGGATCGATTATCATGTAAATAAAGAAAAAACCTAAGTTACTGAATATTATATTATGTGAAGTCGAGAAAATCGTCACAAATAAATATAAGGAACTGTAGCTATTTACTCTTCTCATTATATTTGTCTCATTGAATCCGCTCTCTGGTTGTAATTTATAATATTTATTTGAACTCTTACAGTAACGCTATTTTTCTGTAAATTTTATAAATTGTTTAAACAAACTTGATATTACTGTAATATTAAAATAGCGCAATATATTAGTAATACAATATTAATATATATTTTTTAGATTAGAGATTAAAAACAAATTTGTAAACTTCGTATTATCATGGGAGGAGCGCAGTTTTCTCTTGGCTCAAGTGATTCTCCTGAGTTAAGACCGTCGATTCTCACACAAGGGGTGTGTTTAGACGAAGCTAGCGCTACGTAGCGCTACGTAGCGGCTTCATGTAGCAGTTGCAATTGCTGCGTTACTTCTGCTGGACAGTATTGCTACGCGCAGCATGTTCTATAGAAGTAACGCAGCACTTGCAACTGCTACATGAAGCCGCTACGTAGCGCTACGTAGCGCTAACTTCGGCTAAACACACCCAAGGTATATGTTGCTATCCTACCACTCAAATGTAAACCACGTTCGAAAGAACGCCTGTGATTGGTTGACTTGCTTGATACTTGAAAATTTTCGTGTGTTTCCGGCTTTAATAAGCATTAATGTTCGTATCAAACGATTGATGAAAGATGGAATGACAGCGCACTCTCCGAACGCAAATCAAACCGCATACGTTCTTTCTTCCTGTTTCTCAGCGCATGACCGGATGCTTCTGCATTCTAGAGGGCGCGGGCTGCAACGGGCTGAAAAATGGCGTATCCTCGCGAGGTGTGGTTGACTCGCACACGGAAACATTCTTCCCCCGTTCAGACAGTAAAGATCACGGCTTACCTCGTCCTCAAACTTCGATCGTCCCGAGCTACGCAAAGCGATCAAAGAATTTTTCTAGACGCAAATCGACGTCCCAGATGTGTTCACGGTGTTACGAGTACTCGCAACGGAGCGATCGAGCGCGATGTAGAAAAAGTGCGACCAGGGTACGTGACACGCAAATAAAACAATAAAAAGGGAGAAAAATTTTCCAATTCGAGTTGTTTTTTTTGTCGAGATGCCGAGCTTGGCTCACGCGCGAAATGCCTCTTAACAAGTAAACGAACTTTTGATATTACAATCCGAAGTCTTTTTTTTTTCAAAACAATAAAATTGCGAAATTGGTCGTTATTACGTTAATAATTTATATTTAACAAATGCTATTGACGATCGATTCCCGATTATATTTTGGTTCCTTACTCCCTACATCCGTATGTCAGAGACTTCTCGTTTTTCAACGGTTCTCTATTCCTTTTTTTTAGTATTCGCGAACTTGGTACGGGAGGCGGCACAAAGTTGCTTAGACAACGAAGCTCGCGTTGTCTTCTCGTTCTCAACGAACGCACCCGAGCGAATAAACGCGTACAAAACGTTTGCAATTGCAGAGTGCGGCCAAGTATTTTTTTCGTTCCTGTTCCGTTTCCGCATCCTCCCGTATGTTGTCTCCTAGAAACTTTGTTTTGGCTATCCACCAAAGCGAGCGAGTCTTTTTACTCGGAGCGTGAGGTAAGAGACGTAAAGAAACACAATACACTCCGCGAGACTCCGAAAGTATATAAATAAACAGAGAGATTTTACATCACGTATCCTTGATACACGAGATATGCGAATCAGGGAGGGAATTTATTCGCGAAATTTTGGTTTTTTTAGAGATCGGCGTCGCGCAACAATCGCGAAAGGTGTGTGTGCGCCGCTGAGAAATTTGCGCGGCGTGGCCGCGCGAATAGAGGAGGAAGAACAATCGACAAGTTCTGACTATGATCGGAGCGAGGAACGAAATGATTGCCACGAATGGCGCCATGTACACCGGCAGCCATTGCGTAAAGCAAAACCTCACGCGCCCTTCGGATTTGTTTCTCCACATCCACGTCGTAATTAGATCGCGCGCATGAAAGCGATTAGCTCTCGCGGAACTGTGTACAAAGAGAAAAGACACCGAGTGGCGAGGGGACATTTAAGCAAAAAAACGGATCCGCCGAAAGATTTGCGCGTAGACCGATCGCCGAGAAAAGAAAGAACGAAGAGAAAAGAAAGATTTGTGCGCGTTGTAAGTTTTCCGAGTCGCGCGTCATAGAGAGAGAAAGAGAGAGAGAAAGAGACGTGCATATGCTTGCACGATATGTAATAATGAACTATAGCGCATCACGGCATTGCACGGAATTTAATACCAGTTGACGTTGCAACGTCCTTCCGCCAGCGGACTATCTGTTGTAATTGTGAAATTCTTGAAAGATCCGAAACCTCGTGCGGAAAACCCGACAAGAGAGATCGCACAATCTTTTGAAATTAAATATATACATATATATTATATATGTATATATATATGTATCGTCGCGATCATTTTCGCAGGACCGTTGATGACGTACGTCGACGAGTCAGTCGACCAACACGTCACACACCGTACTACATGAAAACCGACTAAATATCTTGATTTTTCGACGCAAAAACTCCAATAGAGGCAACGCACGGCGAAGAGCAAAGTGGCAAGGTAGCGCAATACTACTTGGATTCGTATACACATACACAAACACATGTGCTCACCCGCGCGATTTAGTTATATACACACCCTTACTCGTCGAATACTCGCAACATTCAATCGATCGGTTTTGAATCGGCCATGTCGAGCAACTATGTTGCAAATGGACAATATGGAACAATCGCGGAAAGTGATTGTTCCGCGAATGATGACCGATTAATTTTAACTTAACGAAGACGATAAGAGTTCATTCTTTCGTATAAGTTCGAGACAATTATAACCGTGATTAGTTAGTCGTGCGAACATCTAAACTGAGAAAAAAAAATGAGGAAGTCGTAAGATTCTCCGCACGAAGCAATTTGCGATTTGTTGTATAGACGAAATTAGGTTATCGTTTGTGCCTGGTCATACCTGGCCATACCATGACCGTACCATGGTCGGGAAACAATGGCCAGTGACTTGCGTCTTTAGATGATCGAGAATTCGCGGAATGAGACACATCCGACGTGATAAATTTTACACGTGACAATCGAGACTCTTCGGTCTCGTCGAAGTTCGCGTGTCTGAAAAAAAAATTCGCAGCATTATCAAGCGAAAGAAAAAATTTTCTAGATTTGAAATAGCATAGTGGTGCAATGGTGTGTTTCGTTGTGCAGTGTGATGTCATATCTGATCTCTCTCTCTCTCTCTCTCTCTCTCTCTCGCTCGCTCGCTCTCTTGGCAGTTACGATTTAAGTAAAAATGGTGTAACCGAGTTCTCACAAAAGAGTGAACAGCGAGGAAAAAAGAGATTCCACGAGTGAAATGTCGATGAAATTTTACTGACTGTGTGTGTGCGCACGGAAAATCGTACGGAATTGACTAACAATTTCGGTTAATAAATAATTTTGTTTATTTGTCTGAAGTATAATAACGTACGCGCGAGTCGGAACTCCACACATTACGTTAAATACATATTTGTTCTGTTTCCTCTTCCTAGGGATAAAAAAAGTTGTCGAGAATAAATTTTTACACACACGCGTAAAAGCAACGCGGAAAACTTATTGATCTTGCAAAAATGATAAATATACGTTGCATAAATTTATATTTTTAACAACAGAATCTAAAGTGACTGTGAAATAGTAGAAAGATAATGAATTTAAAGTCTAAATCGGCGATGCTTCGCTGTCTTTTAAATAAGACAGAAAGACTATTGACCGTTGGTTTCTCTAAGCGACGCTTTTACAATGTACAATAAAGATTCTAACATCACACCGTATTCTTTGTCTTGTCGTTTACTACGAGTGTCGGTGCTAGCAACGCGGGGCAGCGTTACGGCCTATTGTTGTTTAGGCCTCTCGACAATGTTCTAATTGTCCGTACGACGGTGTGTAGCACAGTGTTGTAGACGGTTATAGATAGCGCTGCTAGAGAACCTCGAAAAAAGGAAATTACGAAAGGTGGATCAGTGCCGGCATAACTGCGACAACGCCGTGGTGTATTTCATATGCAATTCGATGGAGAGAAGAAAGTATTGACGAGAAATGTCCTTTTGTTGTACAACAGTCGTGTCGTGAGAGGAGAAGGTGGAGGAGGAAGAGAGAGAGGCTCGGCAACATCCGAGATACAGGAAGCGTGAAGAAGGATACACAATTGACGCACCGCCGCTGATCAGTTACGAACGTAACGATAATGACCAGGTGCGCAAAAAATAAGATCGTCTTTATTGGATTGCCAGATGTTGATTTAAGATTGCTCCCCGTCAATATCAACAAGTTAAAACTGACGTATGATGTTTAAAATGTTTGTTTCTAGTTTTACGTCGATCGCAATTGACAAATTTTTCCGAGTCTCGGAGAAGCCAAACAACAAAAATCTTTCGAACACTTCTGCCATTTTAATGCTTACTTGCGCGGCGTGATTTGTGAACATAAAGATCCGTCGCGTCAAAGACAGTCGAATTGTGCGACGGTCGCCATTGTGCGATACAAGTTGGTCTCGTAGTCCCATCGGGAGAATATTAAAAAAATTGTTAATTGATCGATCGAGAGAAACTGGCTTTAAACTCGAAATTTTCGCGGAAAAAATCAAACTTGAAATTTTCAAACTGCGCGTAACACAATGGAATAATGATAAACTTGGAAAAAGTTACCTTTTTGCGCAATAATTGTTATTTCGCTTATTTTTAAAATGGCTGACTTGTTTCTGGAATTGAAGTTTTCAAAGTTTCTTTATTGCTTTCAAAAATCCTCATTTATCTTAACGTGTGTACTGACTCTTACTTGATTCAAATTACAGAAGTTTTGACTTAGCGAATATTTTCAATATCTCTCAGACTTGGTAGTCATGGATCTTGTATGAATTGTCTCTTAAGTTCATCTCTTCAAATGCTCTGAAATCAGACGGCGTGGTTATACAGACGCGGTAGCCAATTAGGATTCTTTGGTTTTAAGAAAATTCATCAAAGTAATTGACTACCGCGTCGCTTTTAGCCGCGCGTTATGCGTTTTATCTGCAGATCATTAAGACGATCTTAAAATATAAAAAGAGGCACACACCTCTACGACACCTCTTTTCGATTGAAACTCAACTCTTCCGATTGACTCTCCTTGACTCAAGTGTTCTCTTGACTCAACTCTTCTCTTTTCTCACTCTTTGGCACGAGTTGCGCGACAAATACAGCACATACTCTTTATTCTCACGCCTCTGTTGTATTCTCCCACTCTCTGGCAAGAATATGCTAAACGATATTGTGCGCATACAAAGACCGCGTTCTAACGTACGATTGATTCTAGCGTGCGAATGATTTGTACTTAGTCGGTGTAGTAGGGTATCAGAACGCTAGGAGTGGCGTGAACTAAAAGAGTCGTGAGATTAAAGAAAATGTGCTGTAACTGACGATCACACATGAAATGTAAGAAGCTGGCGAGGATATGGTAACGGAATGGTAACACTGGAAGAAAAGTTGACTCATCAAAACTAATAAACTGGTGTCGCATCGTGTGGTCACGTTCATGCTACGATAAGCAAACTGATGTCTTTAAACTTTCGCGCGAGAAATCGATACGTACTATATTCGCTGTGTGGACGAAGAGCGTACGTTGGATTGGCTGCGCTGATGCGCTGACGCGCAGCTGCCTGTCTCGTTGCCACACGAAGAATCTGTGGCTTGTACGGGGCCACACTTCTTAAGGATCAATTTATCGTAGCAAGAACAGAAGTTCTCAGGTTAAGATTCCGCAAAATACATACTATTTAATTAACTTACTTTGTTTAACGGTCGTTAGAATGTGCAACTTATTGTTTATTATCAACAAAGTTTATTATCATTTCAAAGTTTACAGCATAATATAGTTTTTTTGAACAACAACGCGAGTGTGTATTGTTAGAGGAAGATGATGTACAATTGTACTGTTTTTCTTTAAGCAAAATGGCGAAAGTTGAAGTTTATCGAAATATTGAAAGTGATTGAGATCTTTTGTTAACCTTTCGAGGTTAAGCTAAATCGTGCAACACGCGATATCCTTTTTTTGTGCTGAATCGCGTCTGCAATCCAGACGAGAATTGTTCAATCGCGCTTTGAAAATCAAAAAAAGATTCTCAAAATGCGATGCTCGCGATGCGATCCAGCGCGACAAAAAAACATCGAGTATCGTAAACTTGGGATTATGGCTGCGTTCAGGGAAAACGCTTTCGTGTGTGTTATCGCTAATTGGATGCGGAACAAGAGTAGACACGTCAGTAATGTATAAAATAGAATATTCAAGAGAAGAAAGAAATATTCGTTTTACAGCGAGTACAAAGTAGAACTTCCAAGAAGTAAGAGAATCCAAAAGAGAAATCGAGTAAATCCACTCAGCTCTCTTAAAATATGGCTGATACAGACATGGGAGCCATTTTTCCGTGACGTAAGCAGTAAAGGCTGCGATATTGGTTAAAAATAAAAAAAAAAAAGGAAGAAAAGAAATGTGAGAGCTTCTCATACTAAAATCGTGGTTAATATTCACAATAGAAACTGTTGTGGTAGTGAATTGTGCATATAAAAAATTTACTGCAGACAAATTGACGCGTCAAAGGTATCTAAACTGGAGGATGTGTGGTTTTAGAGAGCAACATAACGGCAAAGATGCTTTCCTTTACGACGTGTACTCGGTTATTTAGACTTTGACTTACTTAGTCCGAATGTTTTAAGATAATAACGGACGAGTTCCTTGATTCTTATATTTAAGATCGTGTACGTATGTGTGTATGCTTTACACATATTCACACATACGTACAACAAAACGGTCTTATTTCTCAAGAAACGATTGTCGCTTTTGGAATCAGCGTTCGTTTCTTAATAAAAATTTGATTTATTCTCTAAAACCATCTCGAGTGTTCATGAGAAACAGTTACAAGTGGATAGGATTGCGTGAAAAAACCGGAGTTCAAAGAGTTGGAACGTATGATAGTGAAAAAATAACGTAAAGTTTTTGATTGTCAACGGAAGAACTACTCCGTGTCAAGATATTGAACTGATCAAAGGTTGTTGATATCTTGTCAATTACGATACAATTTAGTATTGTTGAGAGTTTACTCAACAATACTTTCAGAATACGAATTACAGCATGTACTTACTTTCAGAAACATTTATTTCCTCACGAATAGCGATAAAGTTTGTGTACTGCAAATCAAACAAACAATTTATTTTGCACAATAATTAATGTGCTTTTTATGTATTATGCTACGATAAGAGCGAGAAGTGTGTTTTCACAAATTGCGTGAATAGGCAAGTATTGAATACTAAAAATGTTACTTTTGGTAAATAAAGCACTTCATTATTGTGCATTAAAAAGGTTGATTCGATCAATATCTATTTCTCGTGGGAATACCTTGGAACAGCTATAGTCTCTCGATAAAAATCTTACATTTTTTACAGTGTAACTAGAGACATCGTGTGTTACATTAGTGTTTTTTTTTTTTTTAATGCGTCTGCGTATCTCATTATGTGTGATGTCTTACACGTGGATTAATAAAGAATATGGGTAAATTAAAGAGAAAAGGGTAAATTAATTACTTTGTCTAAAATTATATTATATCCTTTTTCGAAACAGAATTTACGTGTAATGTTATCTACGTGTTAGATCACCGAAATAACAACGTAAGATCAATTGTATCGGATTTGTGTGATGTGATTTATAGAAATCCAATGAACAATTTTTGACAGTCAGGATTTTATTGTATAATTGTAAGAAACCAGTTTTTATTTAATAAAGATCTAAAGTTATCAATCTTAAATTGAAGATATCCGTGAATCACAATAATTTTAAATAATATTTTAAGGCTCGTGAAAATTCAACTAAAGTAGTAACTTAGTTGACAATAATTTTACTTTATTGACTTACAAATTATTTTTATGTCTCATAAAAAAAAGATAAGTTTGGAAGTAAGACGTGAGATAACTTTGCAATACATTGCGTGACTTAGGGTTTCACTTTACATATATTACGATGGGGACCAATGCGTGCTGAAGAGTTAGAAAATAATCGATCGCGAGTAAAGTGTGCACGTGCTAGTCAAAGAGCGGTGTATTCGTCATTCGGTCTCTTTGACGAAGATTGGACGCTCGCGCGACACGGTGTCTCCGCTTTTTAGTCTTGTACAAAAAACTGTTGTACAAAAATTTAATCAAGTGAAACGGGTTGTCGTATACGCGATTACAAAATTTATGTAAATTGTTGCGTGGAGACACGCGGAATCTCTTTTCTGAAAGAACGAAGACACGAAAATACAGACATTTTATTGTAACTCTGAGAAAAACGGAAAACAAGCAATCATGTACAACAGTTATGTAAGTGTGCGTTTGAAAATAAGATTAAGATAATAATGTGTGCACTGATGTGGAATGTTGCAAATTATATTGAACATAGAAACACTTCTCTGAGATAATACAAAATTTAAATGTAATTGCAATTTGCACAATTCTATTATACTTAAGATATTTCTAGCTATGTTAAATCTGTATAAAAACATAAAAATAAAACTTTGAAAAAAGCTGTTTATCTTCTGTGTGATTATCTCTCTGCTGTGCTTTTATTTACTTTATAATTTTTATATTTAATTTTGATACAAATGTACCGGCAATTAAAAATTAGCATATTTATCTGTCTGAACACAGGCTAGTCAAAACCGTGAAGCAAAATGGAGGACGAATACGAACGGAAATTTGCAGAAATGCAAAAATACATTCCATTCTTGGAAGCGATGATTGAGAGACTGCATAAGGTCAAGGAATCTTCCGGACCTCAAAACGTCAAAGATAAAGAAACTAACAAATTTCAATTACAGAAAATGCAAAGTCTACATGGGATTCTAACAAATAGTAAGCGGAAGTACGTTTGAACAATATTTTTTTATCAATCACATTCCATTTACATTTCTTAGTTACTCTCAAACAATTCTTAAAGAAAATAGAAATCTTGGTGGATATAAATTTGTAATTTAAATTTGTAGTTAAGGATGTAGAATTTACTTAATGTTTATTGCAATATTTATTTTTTTAATTGTATTTTGCGTATAAAAACTCAAGAAAAACTGCGACTAGCATACATTAAAAATATATCCTATGCGAATGTATACACGATATTAAATTTCTATTAATATTCTAAAACAAAAAAGAGATATACGATATGTAACCAAAATATTATTGATGAAACAGATTGAAGATCGAAACGTTGCAGCGATGCGAAGATGTCCTAGAGAAGTTGCAAAGTAAAGTAGAAAAGGTAGATATGCTTATATTTTGTTTACGTTTTATTTGTAATAATCGTTTGTTGAAAGTGCATTATCAGTGTAGTGTCTGTGTATTCATGTTCTGCTGTGTGAACGTTTTTGTACACATTCACTTTGGAATATCGAACGAATATGATTTGCATGCAAGAAGAACATGCAAAAAATCATAAACAACTTTTTTGTTTTTATCTTCTGTGTGATGAACGTGTGTATCTTTTATGTGTATGTCGGGACGATGCTGATTCGCAGATTCACTTTTATTTTTATTATAGTTTTATTTTATTTTGTTAAACTTGTGAGAGTAAATTTGTAGACGTTGATAGTGCACCATGTGTTTGTGTACTCTATGTCTTATTTATTCTAATTCTACACGAGTTTCAGGGACATATATCCAGTACACAAATGGCATCTGCAGAAAATGATATCGCGCAACCTTCGACGTAAGTATTAGTGAGTGTATATTATCAAGACTGCAAAAAAAAAATAATACAATTCTCAATGATTTACCATCAATCGTTTTACAAAATTCATAAAATGTTAAGATTGTGACTTTCTTTAATTTCTAGTTTATCAGAAGATAAACAAGTAGAAAACAGGACAGAAGACATGGAAAACAAAAAGATGGAAAACCTGGAAGACTTGCAAGATGCGGATACTGATAAAGAAATCACAGAAATTGAGGAAGAAACCCCGGCAAGTCCGGATCGTTCTAGATCTCTTAGTCCTGATTGCCAAATTTTGCCGATAATAATTCCCACGGAACGCACGTCAAACTTACCTAAAAACAAATGTAGCAACAATCCGAGACCACGATCTAAAGTAATACCGGTTATCACGATCACGGATCGTTCAGATTTGTTGACGGATTCCAACTCCGACGATGTCACTTCCGAGTGGGACATGTTGGAGGAATCGGAAAGACATCACACGAGGAACAGAAACAACGATATTGCTTCTGGTCACGATATAACGATCGGGGCAACAGCGGGCGTCAGTAATCTGTCAAAAAATATCAATGACAATAGAAATTATCCGTTAGACTCACACGATGTACAAACTATTCCAGTTCCTGCACTTGACGGTTCTAGACGATTAACGTCGTACTTAAAGAAAATGAATTTAAGAACCGGCGAGACTTCAGAATTGCCTGCGAATATTCCAGAGAGAAGACACAGCTCTCCTGACCCTGAAATATTGTATACAAGGTCTAGAGTTACATCGTCCACTGACCGAATTCACAGACCGAGAGATACTGCGTCGAAGTCGCCGTCCAAGACACCGTCGATACCTCTTTTGCTTTCGCCGCCTGCTTCAAACGAACCTCCGCTGTCCCAGGAAGATTTGGCTGAGCTATTATGTGAAGAAAGCGGTGTCGAGAGACATGACAAGACGGACAAGAATAAACGCAACTCGGACAAGCACCCAAGCTGCAGGCTTGGAGGACTCAAAGTAAAGAAAAATTTGCAAAACCCTATGGGAAGTTTGAGTGGGAAAGTTGGTGAAAATAAAGGACCACATCATCAAACGAACGACCAACGACCGCAAGCGTTTTATCAACGTTATGCAAATAATTACGAGAGATATCCGCGTCCACGTGACGGTCTCGAGGAAGGTCTTCATGGTGCTCCAAACGCACCGAATGACAGAAACGTTCCGCTTTATCAAAGACGTTCAAGCACGATGGAAGGACACAAAGACACAGGTCTGACAGAAAACGAATTTATCATAGAAGGCATGGATTATTATAACATGTCACATATGAATCAGACGCATTGGGCGCCTCCCACAGCTACTCAAGATCAATTTCCTAATCCACAGTGGAGAATGCCTAATCCACCTATGCAATCTATGCAACCTATGCAACCTCCTATGCAACCTCCTATGCAGCCTCCTATGCAACCTCCTATGCAACCTCCTATGCAACCTCCTATGCAACCTATGCAGCATTCCTATCCACCAATGGATTCACAATTTAGACCAAATCCTTATCCACCGAATTTATCTAACAATCTGCAGTACACAGGCTATCCAATGAATCAGGGATCTTTCACCGCCGATCCTTACAATGAGAGACCGGATTATCCTCCCGTGAGACCAACTTGGGACGGAACCGCTTCTAGAGTGAGTGAAAGTGCGATACCTCCGTACGAAAATGTGATGCCTTGTGGAATGCAAGTCCCAGACAGTCCCTCGGCTACTTCTTTTCAGCGACCTACTGTAGCTTGGGGCAGAAGTAACAGAGGCCGAGGAGGAAGAGATGGATACTACAACGATAGAAGTAGGACCGACGGGAGATCTGGATTTAATAATCGCGATCCGCGCCGGCCTGATTGGTCGCGAGAGAGTCACTTGAATCGCGAAAATCTAAATCGTTTTCCAAATCGGGACCCGCGCGTCCGTTCGGAATCACAACACAACGCGACGATGAGTCCGAGTCAAACCAAAGAAACCAGTACTTCACCTAGAGATCCACGTATTGCCAAAGACAAGCACGTAACCGCGCCAAATAAACCCAAGGACGTAACTCAGACGGAAAAAGATCAAAACGAGAAGGATCCCAGAAAACGGCAGACGACATCGACAACAACAAAACCGCACACGACGAAAGATAAGTTAAAGCATCAAAAGTCATCCGAAAAAGAGAAAGAGAAGGACAGGTCGCTAAAAGATAAAATGCAATTGTCGTTGGAAGGTCTTTACGGCGTGATTGACACGACCACTCAGGGTTCTAGTTTGCAAAAATTCAAAATTCCCAAAATTAAACGACCCGAACAGTCACAGTCGAACAATCACGTCGTTAACGAGACGACGAAAAAAGACAAAACTATGAAAGACAAAATTTCGTCGCGCCCGAAGACTGATAGCAAAAAGAAAAAAAGTTCGCCTTCTCAGAACAAGGACGATGCGAGCACTGAAGTGACCAGCAGCAGTGACAGCAATGTAGTAAGTGATAGTCTTCGATCCAAGGAGGATGATGTTACAAAAGAGAGTGAAAATCTCTCGTCTGTGTTGATCGAAGAAAGTGACAGGAACAAGATAAAGATCACCGAAGCAGATACGGTGACGAACAATGTCAAATTAAATGACGCGGAGAAGAACAAGAAGGACGATTTGGAAGCAGACGGGACGAAGTCCAAAGAAGGATTGACGCAGGAATGGATCGAACAGCTCATCAGAAAGTCGTTCGAATTTGGCGAAGGAAAGAAGCTCGTCGAGCACGCAAAATTGATACATAAGCTTGGAGAAGCGCTGGAAACAAAAAAGCTTAAAAAGATCAAGAAAATCATCGATTCGGATTCCGTCAGCAGTTCGGACGAAGAAGAAGTGACAAAGGTCGAGACAAAGAAGACGAAGGTTAAGAAAAAGAGACGAGTGATTGTGTCGGACAGCTCGGACGATGACAATCTTGCGGAAAAACTCGAAACATTAAATAGCAGCGGTGAAGCGAAGATAACAAAATCGGCAACTTCCGTGAAATCGAGACGTTCTAAAGAAATTGCCAAGTTAGCTATTAGTGATTATATTAGTGACTTGAGCAAAGAAGGGTTGTCTACAAATGTAACTGCGAAAGAAAGTGTTGAGGTAACTGACAACAAAGCTAAAAAGACGCAGACGGAGAAAAAAAGTAGGGAAGAGAATGATCCATTAGAAGATGATAATGAAAAGACTATTAGCCATTCGGAAGACAACGAGCAAGTAGACAGTCGGTCGAAAGATAAAGAGAAAAAAGATACTACAGATAAAGATGATAAGATCGACCAGACCTCCGCAGACAAAACAAGTAGTAAGGAACAGCCGTCAAAAGATCAGGATAAGAGCGAGACAGATCGCGTTACTTGCGCCACTGCAGACGAAAACACTGAAGAAACTTCAACTGACAAAGTGGACAAACCAAAGGTAAAAACAAAGAGAAGAAATTCATTGGAAATGCTGCATGAGGATATCAAAGAAATGTTCATAAGGGAGGATGTGATAACGGCAACGGGTGTCCGGAATTGTCGATTGTCGAAAGAAAATCAATCGGGAGTAAGTGCGAAGAAAGACGAGGTGTCGAACGAGAAGAAGGTCGCCGAACCGAGTCCCGCAGAGAACGACAAGTCGGGAAAGACGTTGAAATCTCGTAAAAGTAACGAATCTTTAATCAAATCGAAATCCAAGACTAAAAAGAATGTCAAGCGCAGAGTTAACGTACGTTCGAAGGAATATATAACGAGTTCCGATAGCGAAGGGGAAACTCCTTTGGCCTTGCGAACGGATAAGTCGCTTAACAAGACATCGACTCAAGAAGGCAGCGAGAAAGGCGATGAGCTGCGAAGATCCAAACGCGTGCTGCGTAAGGACATCGCGAGTGAGCCACGAGTGCTGGTGGAGAAGGTAGATGTTGCTAGAACAGACTCCTCCAAGATCATGTTCGACAGTTCGTCCGACGAGAGCTTCAGCATAGATGTAGCCGAATTAACTGCAGCGGTAGACAGTTCTCTTCGACGGGAAAAACAGACTGAGGATCCTGTTGAATGTCATCAAAAAGCCGCGAAGAACACGAGTAAACGACAGTCAAAATCGAGGAAGGCGTCCCTGCTCACTGAGGACAAAAACGATAACGAGTTCTCTGGTACGGATGCGGACAGTGCGTTGTCGGACACTTCCATGTCGAGCAACAAAGTCGGAAAAGGAACTGGCGGTGCGGCCAGAACGTGTACCAGAAACGAGTTACTGTGCAACGTGCTGATGGGTTTGGTACCGATGGCGGCGGGAAAGGACGCGTTGTCGGCTGATAAGAACAGCGAGATAAGCGAGAACACGAACGATTCCGCAACTATCGAATCAAAGACCAACAAAAAGCTCGCGGGAAATAAGAAGAAAAAGAAGTCCAGTTGGAAAAAGGGAATACTTAATACTAAGAAGAGGAAAAAAAAGGTCGCTACGGTAGCGTCTAACGCCGCACAGACGGACAGTGAAAAGACAAATAACGAAACAAACGTTTCGACAGACCCGCTAGATAAGTCGTCGTTAGAAATTGATGGAAAAGAAGAAAAACCTCCGGACGAGGCTACGAGCAGCTATTCAGTCGATGATGTGAATATATTTCCAACAAAATGCGAAAAGATTGAACCAGCTCTGAATAACTCTGATATTGCTGAAGATTACAAAGAGTTCAGCAATTTTACGGAGTTGTCAGAACTGTCCAATGCGGATTGTGAACCGTCATTGAACGATTCGTTTATTTCTATCGATGAGACTAAACCGATAATTAAAATGGAAATGGACGATGTTGCGGAAAATGTTGGGAAAGAAAATGCCGCGCCATCCACTACGTCAGTTGTCACTGCAACTACATCAAGTACAACTGCAACCGCGCCAAGTACGTCATCTGAGACAGTCACTACTGAGAACGCGCCAACACTTGAAATTATCAATGCTCCAGCAGCAAATAGTGTTAAGGACTCGACAGAAATTATTTACGACGAACAGATAGAAGAGATCTTCCGACGAACAGACATCAAAGATTTGATAGAATACGCATTTATCGGCCTCAACAAGCGACACAAGTGTCAGCTGTGTATATTTTGGGGGAAAGATATTGTTCATCATTACAAAACGACTCACACTGGAAAAGAGATACTTATTTCGCGTCTCAAAGCGACAGACGCCGAAGCGGCGATTGCCGATAACAACGCGACAACATCCGCATCGGAGACTAGTCAGAGGGGCAAGTATCGTTGCAGATTCTGTTTCAATGATTACTTTATCAGAGAAAATACGGAAGACGTGGCGCTCGAGTCTTTCTACGAACATTGCACTACGCACACAGGTGAATACAGATTTCGTTGCAATTCCTGCTCCTATCAGGCGGTAGCTAAGGCGTCTTTGAAGACACACTTCTACAAAGTGTGTCGTAAGCAAAAAAATGAGACTTTCAATGATGCTTACTCCGAAGACGACGTACCAAAAGAAAATACCGTCTACGGCTACATGTGTCGCGCGTGCAATTACGTGCAATTAAAACGGAAGAACGTGGAAACCCACATAGCGTTTTGGCATCGGAATGATCCGACTGAAATCGTAAGGATTAACATGTCCTTGACGGTCGACGAAAGTGAGGAAGGTAACAGCGAGAATTCGCAAGAATTGGATGAAGATGAGACATTCGCTGTGGAGACCAAACCAAAAATTTCTGAACTCCAGAATACAGACAGCAAAAACGTGCCAGAATTAGTTGATGTTAAAATGAAGAAATCGCAAGACGATGATATCGTTATGAAAGACTCTACTCTACTTGAACCAAAAACAGAGACAGACATGCAGATCAAAGAAGAAGAAGAAATTGTCGACAAATCGAAAGAGTCTCAAGAAGAGACGGAGACGTCGGTTAGCACCGATAATTTAAGCGTGTTTGTTTGCCCGCCAGAGTTAGAGAACAACGAAGTCGAGATACAACGTAAACGGCAGAAGATGATGCAAGAGATCGCCAATAATATTCTGCTAAAGAACCATCTTAAACCGGGGTTGTCTATTATAGATAAGTTGCAAGATAAGATGCGTCCGGACGCGGTTGTTGGTTCTATTCCTGAAGACAATACGTCGGCGGATATTCCGCAATCAGAAGAGAAAGATTCTTCTATCACAACTCTCGTATCGAATACGGAATCATTAAATGTCGAGAGTAATGTGATCATCAAAGAAGATCTGAACATTGAAGAACCGTGCAGTCAAGAGAGTTCCTTGTCTGTAGAAGAACAATCGATAATCGATAAGCTCGAAGCGGCGAATGACGTGAAAGAAAAGGTGGATGTAAAAATCCGAGACCCACTTTTGATTATGGATTCGGGCAAGACAAACGAGAGCGATGGCGAGATGAGCGACGACGAACATTTTGCGCTGGTCTTCGAATCAGATTCCAGCAGTGAGCAATCTGATACCGAGCCAGCTGACGTTAACACAATTTTGAAAGAGACATCGAACATAAACGCGTCGTCAACGCAGGACCCAATGCTGAACACGACAATTCAGAGATTAGCTGCGCAGCTACAGAACGTCAAGCCGTCAGAATCTTTGCCTAAACAGATGGTCGATATTAAAGTAGAGGTCAAGAGTGAGTGCTCGTCGTCGTTCCAAGAAGCGCCGAACGTTGTATCAATTGATAATATCAAGAATTTGATATCAACAGAAGAAAATACCCAAGGTTCGGAAACATCTGACGCAACATCACGCAAAAATTTCATCACATTTAGGCGACTGAGCGGCGATAAATTATCCGTGCCGACGCCTCCGTTGGATAATCAAGTGGACACTCAAGTTTCCAGTGCAGGTAAACTATTGACATTTATCAATGTTGGTCGTTAATGTTCGCGCTGAGATAAATCTTGGTTTATAAGCAATATTTCTCAACATATCTTCTTTTTTGTCAAAATATGTAAATTATTCAACAATTAATAATTAATAGAAATTACTCTCGGGCTCTGAAGTTTTCTAAACTAATAAATATGTCATTATAAGGTCATTAAGAGCTCTTAATGACCTTATAATCATATATTTATTAGTTTATCTAAATTATTATTTGATTGGTAGATGAAACTCAGTCAGGCAGCTCAAAGCAAACAGAGGAAAAATGTTCGTTTTTGAAGATTGAAAACGTTATTAGTCTCGCACCGAAATCTGATAATAAAATTGAAAACGTAATCAGCATTACGCCAAAATCCGACAAGAAACCTGAAGGGAATCCTATTGTAAGTAAAATGTTCTCTCATATCTGAAACATGGCAAAATATATTTGTTTTAGTTTTTGTTCTCATCATTTACCTCACCTTTTGCATTGTTTGCAGATCAGTAATATTAGAATGGTGGAGATTTCTCCTATAAAGAACAAAAATTGTCTTTTGAAAAAAACTCCTTTAATATTAAAGAAACCTAGTCACTCTGTACTCAGAAAAACGGAGTACGCCAAGTTAATTCCGATCACGAGTCCCTCAGCGTCTTCCGAGAAATCTTTTGTCGCTCCTCTCAAGGAATATGTTTCCATCGCTCCGGCAATAACAAAACCAAGTTCGTCGAAAGTGAATTACATGGTAGTTTCAATGTCGCCTATTGTTCAAAGGGTCAAGGATGCTACCAAGCCGGCGACCAAGTTGAAATCGGAGAGCGCTTACGTAACAATGCTGACGGAAAGAAAATTGTGCCATTTCTATAAGTGTATGGCCTACGATTGTGATTTCACGACTGACTATCTCGATGATTTTCGCGTGCATTATCAACAGCACGAGGAGAACGAGAAGAAGAACAAGGAAAGCACCGATTATCAAGCGTGTCCTTATTGCTATATGAGTTTCAGTTCGTGGGTCGACATAGAACTTCATCTTTGGGAGAAACACAGTCATTGTCAGTATCAGTGCTCTTACTGCTTTTATCGAGCCATTTTGCCGACTTATGTGCAACAACATCAAGTAAGAAGATTTAAGTTGCTTTACGTTAAAAAAGGGAAAAAAGTAATATATTTCTTTAATCGAATGTTTTTTTTTGTTTTTTATTTTTTTAAGGTGAGTGCTCATCCCGGAAAGAAGTTTCAGCTTTTATTGGGCAAAATGCTCAAGTCGGTTCAAAAAGAGGAGGCTATCGATCGTAAAACCTATGTGAAGCCGTTTGCGTGCAATGTTATGGGTATATATATTTACATAATATTTATTGTGTGTAAAAATACGCGTAATAACATATATTAACTTTGGATTCGCAATATTTCCAGACTGCAACACTTTCTATTACGTAATCGACTCGTACGTCAGACACTTGAAGACGAAACATTTGATCGAGCATCCCATATGTCACTTGTGTAATATTCACATGAAGATAGACGCGCTTGTAACTGTAAGTTTTATTTTTATTTATCTATTAACAAGAGAATAACTTTGTGTTTTTTGTAGCATTACACAACACATGGATATTCCAAGTATCAGTGTTTGTATTGCTTATGCGGTACCAAGACTCTGTCCAAAATGCATGAACATTTGAGCACTTATCACTATAATAAACTGCCTCAAGTTCTCGAGCGCTCGCTTCCATCGCAGGTATATACACTTTTTTTGCAATTTGTTTTATAATAGAAATAAAATAATTTAATGGTAGATTATTTTAATAATAAAGTAAATTATATAACATCTTTTGCTTTCAATTAAATTTCAGTTGGAATCTAATAAGGCGATCATAGACCAACTCGTTTTGCGAACCTTTGATATAAAAATTCCCGAAGCAAACGTTATTTTGAACGATGCTAATGTCGAAAAAGTCACGGATTTAACAAACAATCAGATTTCCTCAACTTCATTGAACCACGACGCTGCCTCGTCGAGTCAAGAACGATCTAATCTACAAAGTAACGTGCCACCGAATGACGGCAGTGTCAGCAGCAGTACAGAAATCAACACCGATCCTAACGTTTTATCAAAACGGTCGAAAGATGCGCTTCTTTCTGACGTTGCGAGTACTGAGAATCTGTCGTCGCCCGTAAACGACAGTGTAACGAACACGTCAAAATCCTCGATTGATCTGAATTGCAGCGATGAGTTTGTTAATACCGATCTTCTCGATTCTAAAATCTTGAGAAATCTTGCTGCCAGTATTAACGACGCATCAGTTCCAAAGGACGACATCATAACGTCTACAGACAAATTGGAAGACAGCGACATCGAGATCTTGGAAGACATTGTGTCGGAGAAAGATTTGAACACGCCGAAGAAAAAAGATCAGAAAGATGATTGTACTGCGGATTCGGCTTCCTCCGAGCAAAAGATTGAAAAGAAGGATGAAATCGCGTCGTGCGATACCGCTGAGGATAAACTCACAACCGAGGAAATATCTGCGGATACCGCTATCGCCGGTACGAAAGTAGAAAAACTTTTGACTTTGAACGACATCAAACACACCGGTTTCATCGGATGTGATCTCTACAAATGTGCCTACGCGGACTGCAATTTTACCGCATCGAATGCAGATTTATTGAAGACTCACATCAAGGATTGTAGCATCGACAAGTCTAATCAAACTTTATCTTGCGCGCATTGCGAACGACATTTCGGAAAAGTCGGCTTTTTTATGGAACACATCAAAATTCACGGATTGAAGCGCTTCGGATGTTCGCGATGTCACATGAGATTTGCGGTCAGATATCAAGCTACAAGTCACATGAGAATAAAACACAAATCTGCGAACACAAAGTTGGTTCCCGCGGATCCAACGAATCCATCCGCGGACGGTCTTTTTGTCGTGCACTCATGCGTAAGTTTCTCTCTTTTTTTTTTTTTTTGCATATTGTTCTTGTGTTGATAATTTGTTTTGTGTTACTCTGAAATGCAATGTAACAATTTGTACAGTACGATTCTACCGAGAGAAAAACCAAGAAACGTAAAGGTACAAAGTCCGGAACGGATAACGAAGGTGAGAAAGCAGATAACAAAAAATTATCTTTCAATCCGGAAGAGATAGACCAGTTACCGCGTCAGGCGATTTACAATCGAGAGGTCCAATGCGCTGTATGTCCGTACACAACTAAAGTTCGAACAAACATAGTTCGACATTTGCAATTGCACGCGAAAGACGAGAGCGTGCCCGAGATCGGACCCGTCAATCCTGTTCCTTGTTTGGACAAGAAAGAAAAAATGTTCGATAAAATGGTCAATTTAGCGAGCAGCTCGCATCAAAATGGCCGAATGAGCGGCAAACCAAGAACAACTACGGAGGATGATAGCATACCAAAATTCGTACCGGAACACAAAAGGTATGTTTTCGTTGTTTGCACGGTTTACCTCAGTAAAAGAAACAATCAAAATGTTGTAATACACACAAACCGGTTTCTTTAACAGATACGTGTGCGCCGAATGTAATTATCTGACTGTAGACGAAGCAATGTTAAGATATCACTTGAAGGCTTTACATTCGGACGAGCAGTATTTTCGTTGCTCACACTGTCCTGTACCGATACCGGGCCAAGAGAATCAAAATATATCCATAGATAAAATGGGTGTTCACTTGAAAATGCATGACACGAGACTTTATAAGTGTTCCCATTGTCATTATCATCATTATCACAGGTGCGCATGTGCGCTTACGTAATTTTCTGTAATTAAATATGTGCGTATTTTTTATACAGTTTTAACAATTTTGACGTCACATATCCAAGATTACATATTTTAAAACATGTGACAAGTATGATAATTTTACATATACGTATTTGTATATGTATAAAATTAGAAATACTAATTATACACTAATAGAGAAGCAAACAGTCAAAAGTAACAACAACAACATAGTAAGCTGTGAAAAAAAAAAAAACATACTTGTCAAATTAGTAAGTAAGGCCGATACGAGCAGTGAGAACCGGGTGGTCGTGTTCAAATAAAGACTTTATTTAGTATAATATAACAAACGTTTCGGTCCCAACAATATTAGACCTTCTTCAGTGTATAAAAGTTTGATTTAATTAAGCTTAAACTCGCTACATCACACGCAGTAAACAGAAAATGTCAATAGAACTTGTCGTTCAAGGATAATAACAAACTATGTACTGAGAACTTGTTATTATCCTTGAACGACAAGTTCTATTGACATTTTCTGTTTACTGCGTGTGATGTAGCGAGTTTAACCACTTGCGGTGCAAAGAAATTTACGGTTGCGCGTGCCAGAACAGTCGAGTGCAAATCACTTCGAGGCGCGTTCAGGCAGCGTTCAGGGGGTTCCAGAAGAGAAAAATATAAAGACAGATAAAGACGCATCAACTAATGATAAAATTACATATGTATGAATACTAATCTTATTTATTAATAAATAAATGCGTCACAGTTGACGTGACACGTACGTCATTTTCTTTTCTGCAACAATCGCCTGACGACGTGTGTAACACGTCGCTGGCGTTCCGGTAACAGAAGCATCTCGACGTGCGTGGCACGTCTTTGCACCGCAAGTGGTTAAGCTTAATTAAATCAAACTTTTATACGCTGAAGAAGGTCCAATATTGTTGGGACCGAAACGTTTGTTATATTATACTAAATAAAGTCTTTATTTGAACACGACCACCCGGTTCTCACTGCTCGTATCGGCCTTACTTACTACTTTGAACATTTCACGAGCGATTTATTGAATACTTGTCAAATGTTTTATTTATGTTATTTGTTGCAACGCGAGCGCATTTTCTATGCTCTCTGATAGTATTGCAATGTCATCTAGATACGTTGTGGAACGTCATCTTGCCGACAAACATTCGGAGAAAAGACCTTTTGTGAAGGTGATAAGAGAGCTTGAAAATACGGATAACGTTCAGCAGCAGCCGGTCCAGACGGAGGAACCAGAAGAGGAGATGCCCGATCCGGACGGCAATCACTGGAAATGCAATCACTGCGACTTCAAATGTGTCTACAAGGCCGACGCATCCACCCACGCCGAGACGGTTCATGACGAAAGCTGTCAGTTCAAGTGCACTCTGTGCAAATTCAAAACAAACGGGAAAATATTTATCGAGCAGCACATAAACAACAAACACGCGTACGATTCTAACGCCGATTACGCTATGGCTTATCACAGAATAAAGGGAGTCAATAAACGTAACAGCGAGGTCGCGGAGCAAAGCGGACAAGATGAGCCGTTTGACACGACGCCTCTTTGGAGCAGAAGCATGCCGCGAATTCGACACATTCGTGGGATTCTCCTGGAAGAGATCGAGACAACGGCGGAATCGTCGCCCGCGACAACAAAGGCGTCACTGGGCAAACGTAAGAATGACACAGAGATTTCGAACAGGCCGGCTAAAATCAAATTTAGCGAGAAGTCAGGATCTCTCGACGAGAATGTCAAACACTCTAAAGAGAAATTAAAACGATCGTTCTCGTGCGAGAAATTATCCAGAGACTCGGAAAGTGAGGAACAAGTTGAGAAGGAAGGCGCACAGAGCAAGACTGACTCACGCGATGTCACCGACAAGAGATATTTGAATCGAAACTTACAAACAGCGAAACACACCGAACACACAAAGACGGCGGATGCAGCAGAAATGAATGATTTGGATCTAGGACAATTCGGTCCTTACGGCAAACCAGAAGACAACTTGTACGTATGTACGCTGTGTAATTATTTCAAAACCAAATACAAGCACGACATGAGAGATCATCTTTATAGGGAGTTGAAGTATTCGAGGTAAGAGCGTTACACGCTGTGTTTGCATAAAACTTAATTGTGTTCTTAAAAGCAATTGTGTTGGTTTATTTAGATGGCATTGCAAGACTTGTGGATATCTAACGGTAAATCGAAACTCATTGATGCAACATTTTATAAAGCGTCAACATGGAGATAGTGAACCCGAACCACTTTCACCGGATTATGCAATTGAGGAATGGGTATGTGTACAAAAAAAAATCTACATTTGTTATTGAAACACGTTGTGTTTCAATTCACAGTTAAGTTTTTGTTTTATTTTTTTTTTATTAATTAAACCTGTGATCTGAACTTTGACTATCTTATTTGTTTTGTTTTTATTGTACACAAATGTCTTTTGATTTAAAGGTAATGACTCTGCTGAAAAAACAAACAGATATAATTAAGAGAAATATCAACTCCGCACACAAAAACGCACCGACGTCCGTTAACAAGTCTGCTGAAAGCAGTTCCGTTACGTCCAAGAAGAACCAAGTGGACAAAAAAGCTGTGAATCTCGCGCCAACTATATCTAATTTGAAAAATGACATTCTTCAGGACGTTAACAAAAGTATAGACACTGATGATGGCGACAGCAGAGATGCTGACGATCTTGTGATCGATATAGGGGAAGACGAGGAGTCCGAAAGTAAAAATAACGAAAATGACCCTGAAAATGGTAAGTGTGCGAATTATATTGTTATTTTTTCTCACTTGTTCGTAAAGAGAAACTTTTATATCGCAATAATTCTGTACGTAGTTTGCGAGAAGACCGAAAGCCCGGACAAAACGTTGATCTGCAAACATTGCAAGATGCCGTTCCACGGCTTACGCGGCCTCAAGTTACATATTGTGCGTGTGCATCTGAAGGGCGACTACTCGTGCCCCTATTGCAATCACAGCACCTGCTCCGAGCTGTCAATACGCCAGCATATTCGCGTAAAGCATCCGTATTGCCCGGAGAAGATCATACACAAACCGAATATCGAGAAAATGTCTAGTGAGTTCTGGGAGAAGCAATACGGCGTCACTTTTCCAGGAAAGTCCAAAAAGCGAAAGAAGTTGAGCGTCGAAGAATCCATTAATCGCATGTCCGTAAGGGAGAAGTGCGAGATATGCGGCTTTATGGCCATAAACTATACTGGTCTAAAGTCACACATGAGAACGCACGGTTTACGTTCTCATAGGCAGGATTTCAAGTGCGAACATTGTACCTACAAAGCTACTTTCAAGGCCGAACTGTTGGAACATTGGGAATTGAATCATCCCGAAATACCGTTCAAGTTCCAGGAGGTCGAATCCTCCTCCGGCGAAACGGAAAGTGAATTGTTGTCGCCCAAGAAACAGAGTAGCAATGTCGACGATATGTCAGATGACGTGGAAGACGAACCTATGGAGGAGACCTTAATATCTGTGAATAACCCGAACGTGATCTACAGCTGCTCATATTGTAGTCTTCGCAGTAACTCGTTGCTGTCGATCAGACGGCACTGGGGGATCGTGCACAAGGATTCGAAAAGCTCAGAAACTGGCGATATGCCATTTAAATATAAAGAGATCCGACTGCCGGCTTCGTTACCCAGCAGTAAGGGTAGTAAGGACGCCGTGGAATTGTCTTCAGATATTGGGAAGCCGTCGCCGTCGATGGTTCAGCGGCACGGCTGGGTCTGTCAATGGTGTAGAGAATTCTGCAAGACAGATAACGACAGAATGATGCATCAAAACATATATCACTCTCATTTGCCGCAGAATTTTAAATGGCAGAAACAACAGCAAAAGGAACAGGATCAATTGACTGGGTGAGTACGCTTGTATTTTTATGTTAGTAAAACGCGTCGTTTTTATCAGAAAGAATCTGATCGAATGAATTTATAGTTTTAGCACATCGCCACGACAAGTAGGAAAGGCCGATGGCATTCCTAGTTACGAATCGGTCGTGGAGAATCTAGTGGCGAAACAAGTCAGACTGGACGATGCCGCGGCAAAAAAAATGTCCAGTTTCAACGCGTCGTTGCCAAGAAAAAGTAACACTAGCGGTCGTCAGGCTGTCGCGAGGAAGTCCACTACCCGATCGACTCTCTCGTATGTGAGACCTGGTCCGCGTATGTTTAAGGCCGTTGCACGCAAGTCCACGGCCAATCCGTTGCCGAGGTATCTACCGAACTATGTTCCTATGCCACGTTGCTTCAAGAAAATTGTATCCGATGAAGAAGAAACAAGGAGCAAACCGTCTTCGCATTACGGAATACCGAGCAAACCAGTAAATTTAGCAGAGTTGAATACTTACATGGTGGTTGGTGGCCATAGTATGAGAGTAAATTGCCAAACTCTCGCCACGTTGATTAACATCAATCCGAAGATACTATTGAAAGATATTAGGAAAGATCCTATATATTCTGCGGTTCTGTTAGATTTTAATTAGTGTCGCAATTTGTTTTTGCAAAGATGTGATTCTGTAATGATCAATACTCAAAATTGACATAATTACTGATCCCATAACTAATGATTACTTATAGATTACTTTTTAAAAGCATAATACATATGAGGATATGTTTTAACGGAAAGAAACTCCGTAACAAAAACTCCACTCTTATAATTTTCTAGTACAACAGGAGAAGAGAATACAAGCACGTTTTAGTTACTATATTCAAAGAAAGATTGCAATGATAGTGAACCCGTTCGTATATCTAATTTTTTTCTCATTTTATAATATAAAGTGTATCATACATGTATATAATGCCACTGAGAAATAAGAGCCAGACTAACAATAAGTAGTCTAAAAAGATCTTGTAATTTTACTGAGATAAGAAACATAATTATAGGAACATCTTAGTGTACGTGTTATATATAGATAGGATACATGAAAAGTTGATTAAAATTAATTTTTAACTTGATATTATTAAATAATTGAGTACTGTGTCATGTGAAATTACAGGTTCTTTATTTTTCATAAATTGTCAATCATTATGGAAAAAGTTTTATTTAAAATTCACATAAATTCTATTGGTGTTTAATGTTGAAAATAATTTCAAGCTTTAGACACTTCTCACCTTTTTTAGGCTATATATTTATTTCATTATTAATAATACTTCTGAGTAATTGATACAGTCATATATCGAATTGACTTTTTTTTCTTCAAATTCAGTATGACTGTAACAAATATATACAAAAGTCAATATTTTAATAATGTCATATTATTAGTTTATGTATTTTTTATTGCAGTTCTTATTTTCACTTAAGTCTTGATTATCTTGCTATAAAGAAAGTAACTTGAAAAAAAAAAAAAAAAAGATTTTTTTGCGAAGAGATAAGACTGACAAGCACTCTATGTATTATAATTTTCAATACTTGTAAATACATGTGTACTATATACATCTAATACATATTTTTGATGTTTATATAAATCGAGTAATATGTATATAAATTCTTCGTATGTATATAAATTCCTCATACCATTTAATGTCTTTTATACATGCTATTATAAAAAAGTAAAAATTGCATATGCACGCATTTGCGATATATGCATGTGCATATGAAAAAAATTAGACATAGAAAGAAAGTATATTAAAAAATATGCATTAAAAATAGGGCTTTTAATTAGGATCAAAACGATGAAGTTGTGATTTGTAATTTGATTTTGTAATTTGATCAAATTTGAACAATTTCTCCTAAATAAACTACATAGTGATCAACAAGATGTAACATCATAGCAAAAACATATAGATAATAATCAGATAACAAAAAGTATATTTATAATGTCATGTCATTCTATTTTTGACATTACGTCTTTTTTTTTATATGAATCGTCAGATACAAGTTACAAGATTAAAATATTGAATCCACTTGTTAACGTGTTCAAAGAAAGATAACTTTATGTTTATTCTTATTTTATGTTAGGAAACTCTCATTAAATTAGAAACTTTTGTAATATAATTTATATATATATATCGTGAGATTTTCTTTTTTTTTCTTTTTTTTATTTTTTCAAATGCAACACGTGAAAATATTAATCCTTAAAAATAAAATATATGATACAAAAATAAAAATCAACATAATTAAGAATGCTCGTTGCGAATACATGCCTCTTAGTGACACCTACATAAAAACAAATTTATCTAGAATACAAAAAAACATTTATACACCTCTCAAGTTACATTAAAAAAGCAGCTTTGTTAAAAACGCTTTAATTGTCGCGGTACTCGACATAGAATATACAAATTGTTTTTTACAAATAAAGAACAGTAATTTACACAAGTGTGAAAAAGAAAGACCAGAAAAAACACGATGACACAAGGCCCTTTTTATTTATTCTTCTTCGATTTGATCTCCACACTGTCCTTTGCACGCGATCCAAACAAAAGTTTCGGTAGTTTTCGAAAAATAAACGATACAATGAAAAACACTGTAATGGTCACGAGAAGTATAAAAGCAAATATATCTAGCAACTCCCTTTGCCACCAATAAAGACGGATGGCCGGAGATTGAAGTACACTTCCGTATTTTGCTATGTACTCCACCCAAAATATTGCTGTATTTAAAGGGCTCGTTGGTCGGTCGACGAACATTTTCGACAATTTCTGTACATTTGATCTGAAACAAATACGAGCAAAAAGTTCGTTAAAAAAAATAGAAATTACTAATGTTGTTGAGATTTATATGAGCGTTAACTATAAAAAAAACTACTGTATTATAATTTAAAAGCTTTATCGTGTGTCAATATAATTGTTACGAGAGTTTATTTTTAGGATGTCATTTTTACCTACTATTAAGTCAATCAAATAACTTGTCTGCTTAATAATCATGTTTCTGAATACTCACCGATACGTAGGATCTTTCAAGATAGCATTTAACGCCGAAGTTAATTTCGCCTCGGTAATATGGTTTATGTCTCCGGGTGAAATAGCTACCTTCTTGTTGACATAATTTCGAATGTTGATGTGCTGATCGCCGAACAAGGAAATACCAATCAAAGGAATTCCAAAGTATATTGCTTCTTGCGTTCCCATAAGTCCTCCGTGAGTAATAAAGGCTCTTATATTTTTATGTTCTGCAAAATTGATTTTCATCTTTTTTTATCGTAACGATATTAAGCAATTGCATAATATACAGTAGTAAAAGAAAATACCTTTAACAATGAGAAAATATTTGTTTTCGTGAAAAAAAAACTATGCGCAAGATAAAGTTTCGGATTTCTATTTGATATAAAATAAATTTTACGCCTTTAGATGATATTTCAAGAACCAAATATAGTAATGGAAATAATGTCTCAGAACACATGCAGACCCATTATTCTAATCAATCTTGACAATAAATACATACTCAGTACGGTCTTTTGTGGAAACCAAGATTGCGTCATGACATTTTTTGGTAATCCCGGTAATAGGTCTTCTTTTTTTGCGACTTTCATTAATACTCTAACTGGTGCGATTTTGTCAAAAGATGCATAAAATTGTTTTAACTTTTCTTCAGGAAAAGTTTCGATCCTCACCATAGAACCGAATGTAAAGTACACACAGCCATCTTTGCTTTCGTCTAACCATTTTTGTACTTCCTGCATGTAATACATTTCATAGAAGAATATTATTATTAAAATCGTCTTATCTTTAAAACATTACAACTTTTTTTGTCTAAAACACATTTTGTAGAATGCTTTTTTTTTTCTAAAATATTAAACTTTTTTTGAACACTTTAATTATATTTACTCTATGGAATTACATGTTTTATTGTGTAATTACCGGCGATAACGGACTATCGCTATCTTTAAGATGTAGACCTCCAACTTCAATCACATTATTAGTCATCGGTCTGATTCCATTTAACGTATGATGGGAATTGACCAAATAGAGAGCTACATCGTTGTACAAATCCTTGATGTGCGGCACATCTATGCCGAAGTGCTTCTTCACTAATTCTACTTGAGGATTTGTGTAATAATGTAACTGAATACTGACATAATTCCTTATGAGAAAATTCAGGAGACGTTCTTTGAAAGTCATTTGTTGAGAAAAAGTTGAGAGCATGCTTGGAACATAAGAGGAACATTCTGGATTACCGGTCACTTCGTTGAGCCAGTCGTGAAAAGCGCAGGTAACTGTACCGATCACGGGGACTTTGAGATGACGACCGAAGGCCAAATAACACGGTGATGCAAATATCTACGTATAATCAATCTATTAATGATCGAAAAATTTCAAGTCAAATTGTAGCATTTTATAATTACATTTGTTTCCTCTGTATCATTTTCAAACGTGAACTTATTATCATAGAAATAATATCTACAGAGGAGTGCACTACATCGTTCCACGTCAGAGGAGATATTTTTGAACGGCGCGCGATAGTAAAGAGAAGAAATTTCCAAAAAATACTTCTCTTGACGCGGAACAATATGGTGCACACTCCTCTGTACATTTAGTTGTCATTAACAATTTATATCACAAAAAATGTCTACCACATATTTCATTCGATTGTATATATTCAGATTAATGCACATGCTAGAAAGCCTGCTGAATACGATAAGAGAGATACAATGTTTGGCGAAAAATTATGGACAATATGTTGCTCGTTCCGATAGAAAAAGACGAATGTAATACATTGGTTCACATCCAGGTAGACACTCGACTACTCTTTTGCTCGTTTGGATAGCATTCCTGTGTTAACGTCGCTTTTGAATTTTCATGATAGATCAAAATGTTTTATCTTGCGCGGTCCTGTTGGTGGTTCATTATACGAGCTCTTGAGGACGCGGTTAAGATCTTGTAATAATAATCTACATTAATTTGTACATGATAAGTCCGAGGATAAAGAGCATGTATAATTAAATATGAGTATAACGATTTGAATGTGATAAGTTTAAGAATTTTGTATGTGTAATTAAATGTGCTTAACGAAAAACATGTATAATTAAATCAGAAATATCACCCTTTTGGCTTTCCTGGGTTGCAGTGAGTAAAGAGAAATTTTCTTAGACCGCATATCCAATACGCAAGTCCGCGCTTGAGCACCGCGTAATCGAGTCATAAAAAATATTGTTAAAATCACATAATAATGTTAAATGTTTGTGATTTTGTGGGGCCGCATCATTAGCCGTCGCGGGCCGCAGGTTGGACACCCACGAATTAAATGCTAAACCTTTGCTTTGAAAATGTTTACAAATGCTTTGAGATACAACTTGTAACTTGTTGTAATATACAATACATTGTTTATTATTAACTATTGGCATATTGACGATATTGCGTCATCATCATCAAAAAAAACTAGACATTATCCTTCTCGATAATTTTGTAAAATTTTATACAAATTATATAAGGTTTTTATTTGACTGAATATCAAATCTTATACATTTATAACTTATATTTTATCAACTTATTTTACCAAGAAGCCATATCATTTCTATTCTTCCTTGATTCATTACAAAGTGTCGCCACAGTTTTATAAATAAAAAATAATTAAAATATTTAACATAAATAACCTTATACTTTTTATAAGTTGTCTTATAAATAATAATAAATATTCTATAACTGTGAGTTTGAAATATGTGAGATAACACTTTGAAAAATATAATCGTTCAGTTTTCATTTTAAAATATTGATTATCAGCAACTTTGTTATTAATCAATATTTACAAAATGTAAATAAAAACCATAATACTAGATCTTCTGCTATATAAAATTGTTATTTTTCTGATAAGACTGAATAAAACGTGCTTGCGATGAAAAATATCGATCGTACCTCTGTGATAACAAGATCATAAGGAGGATCTTCTGGCGGATTCTCAATTAGATCATGCAGCTTCGGTTCATTCATCAGTTCACAGACGTTACTGCCAGCAAAATTGGTCCACGCAGCCATGTTCAGGTCATCAAATCGGTGCATATCACTTGCACTCAAATTATTTATCATCGAATCCATACTGCCTTTCAGATTGATTTCTTTATAATTGGGTTCCGACTGTTCTAGCGGAAAGTACGTGACTACGTCGACTTGATGACCGCGTCTTGCAAGGCCTACCATCAGGCTTTCTTGCATGGCCCAATGGCTTTTGCTATTAACCGGAAATATGCCAAGAATTCGATAACCGTTAGCGATGTGATCGCAGGCAAAAATCACAAAAAGAATCGACAGCAAATCCTTCATATTGATTTAATAATCTTCAAACTCTAATGATTTCGTTCAGCTCTGTTAAACGTGCGGTACCGTTTCGATGACAAAAACATCGACTAAACGCGTTATTTTTACGCATTGAGTGGTTGCGTCGGAAAGCGCGTTATCAGCGCTGATAACATGCACCCCGAACGCAGCCTATGAACGCGTTATCTTATAGATACCGTTATTTATTTGTGAATATAAAGTATCAGATATTAATCTTGAATAGTCAATGCACACAATGAAACTCATGATAAAAAAGTATATCTAATTTTTTGCTGTTTGAATTACAAATCATTCTTCAATCTATATAAGATACGAACATTCAAATGTACATTTTAAAAGTAGTGGTCAAGAATACATGCTGTAAAATACAAATATATTGTGAAAACTTTTTAGTATAATTTATATAAATAAAAACTGTATCATTAAACTATGGTAATATGTCATAAAAATTAAATATATTTAAATATATAGATATATAACTCAGAAGTTTTTGTATTATATTTTACACATATTGTATCTTTGTTGTTTAGTTTTTTTTAAATGCAACACGTGCGATACTAAATGATACAAAATCAAAAATAAAAATTTTATAATAAATATATTTATCATATTTATCTGATAATTATTAATATATTTATCTGATATAAAATTTTTAATTTGTGCATGTAATTATGTATACGATTTATTCTATGCGTGTAATGTAATATATAATTATTTTTTTTTTAATATATAATAATAATATATATAATAATGTATAATATAGATAAGAGAATTGTTATAGCAAAAATATATGCTAAAAAATCTCAAAGTTATGTTGTCGATTGAAGAAAACCGAGAATCGATACCTCCGCGACGATGGTTACTCACTTTGGCTATTTTTTAGCGATAGTTTAAAATACACCATATTCATCACACATATATACCGGAAAACTTAAATGTGACTTATGTAAAGTGATTGTTCCGCACTCTGACGATGAAAACTAAAAACTAAAAAGCGTTCCAACTACAAGTCGACACTGGGTGCGTTCGGACAACTCAACGGTTGAGAGATCATCACTTATGATAGGACTATTCTTCAAAATCTGATGCGGTTTCAAAAGTATGATCCAATCAGAAGTGATTATCTCTCAACCGTTGTGCAACTGTTGAGTTGTCTGAACGCACCCATTAGTAGTACCACATAAAGGCCATTACACATAAACTTACTTAAGACCGTAAGACGTAGCCGTAAGAAAATTGTCCAATCAGAATGTATACCACGTCGCCATCACTTTTGAACGTCAATTTCTGATTGGTCGATCTCCTTACGGCTACGTTTTACGGTCTTAAGTAATTTTATGTGTGATGGCCTTAAAAAAAAAAAACACTAGAATTAAACAATCCGTGGTGATCAATAAACACTTCAAATATTTGAGAGGATTGCATCAGCTGTATCAGTTGGATGTTCGTAGTTACGCTGTGAATTACGCTATTTTTAGACAATTGTCGGTGTTTTACACCACTTTCGTTATTATTATCTGTTAATTTAAACAAATATACAACTCCGTGGCTTGGCGTCAGGAACCCAATCCACGGTTTTAAACCTATCATCAAAAAGACGTAGAATGGCGTATGGACTAGCTTTATAGATCCAAAAGAGCCAAAAGAGCACCCAACCAAATCAAACACTTTAAATGTTTTATGAAAAAAAGAATTACATTATTGCGAGAGTCCACTGAGCTATAAGGGGGGAGGCACTTACATTATTGCGTTCGTGGTAAATTGATTGCACATGTACATACTGTAGAAAACATATGTAAATCCTATCCGAAGAAAGGAAACTGCACTTACGATCTAGCTTGACAGCAATGAATCGAAAAGTGTGTGAGACCGACAGTCTGCAAGCTGTTATTCTTGCGGATGAGTTTACAACAAGTCTAAGTCCTTTGCAGAATATATATCCGATCATCATGACGCCAGTGATAAACATATCGCTTTTCGATTACATGATTGACACGCTGGTAAAATCCAGGGTGCAAGAAGTATTTCTTTATTGCAGTAATCACGTGGATCTACTGAAGAAATACGTGAGTGAGATAAACTGCAAAAGCTTTACGGTCTCTTTAATTATTTCTGATGGCTGTAGATCCCTCGGCGATGCTTTACGAGATATTGATGCAAAAGGTTGCATCAGAGGATATTTCATACTGATTCGCGGAAACACCTTTACTAATACAGATCTGAAAACTCTACTCAATACACATCGTTTAAAAGTAGAAAAGGATAAGGGGACAACTATGACAATGGTACTACGGAATGTTGGTTCAACTAGAAAATCTTGTCTCTACGATGAAACTTGTTTATTAGTATCTGATAAAACCAGCAAGAAAATTCTACATTATGCAAAACTGAATAACAATGAAAAGAAAGTAAAACTGGAATTAAACTGGTTTCTTGATCATAGCGAAGTAGAGCTTAGCACGTGCCATTTAGATACTCATATTTATATGTGTTCGTCATCCGTTTTACCACTTTTTGCTGATAATTTTGACTTTCAAGTAAGTAGTCAAAAATTTCAAGTATTCTTATAAGAATGTTCTTTTATCAAACAAATTGAAGATAAGTTAATTTTTATTTGTTGTGTATATTTTTTGCAGACTATGGATGACTTCATTCGTGGAGTGCTGATGAACGAAGAAATTTTGGATTCAAGAATTTACTGGATACAACTGAATACGGAGGATTATGCTTTGCCAATTACATCATGGAAGACTTATTGTCTGCTCACTCAGGATATTTTGCGTAGACTTACTTATCCTCTCACACCGGATGCTCTTCCCTTATCAAGAAATTTTACTTACATGCCACAAAGTATATATAAACATAAAACTGCTATTATCGGAAGAGGTTGTACGCTTGAAAAAGACTGCACTCTTGGATATAAAAGTTCATTAGGAAATAATACAACAGTTGTTAAATCTGTGATTGGGGATAATTGCACTGTTGGCAGTAACGTTAGAATATACAATTCCTTTATTTTTTCTGGTGTTAAAGTTAAGGATAATTGCTTTATAAAAAATAGTGTATTGTTTCCAGATTGTAGCGTTCGATATGCTAGTCGCGTGCACGGATGTATATTGTATCCCGGGATTGAAGTTCCTCCTCGCAGTCAGTACGTCGACAGCCTTATCGAATCTGTGTCTTCTGATGTAACTAAAACTAAAGTGACGAAGCTCGATATTCACGAACAAATTTTATACTCCGCAAATAACGAGATAGATGAGTGCGATAAATATTCTACGGACTCGTCTAGCATAGACAGGGAATCGGGACTCCCCAGTTCTCCGATTCCAGACGACACGAGTATGTTTCTGTCGGAAGTGATCGACAGTCTGTTGCGCGGTTATCAAGACAAGCTCAAATGCGAGAATTTGATTCTGGAAATTAACTCGTCAAGATACGCGTACAACGTCACCATGCGCGAGGTGACGTACAATGTCATTAAAGCAATCCTCAGTCTGCCGTTACATTATTTATCGGAAACAAATACTCCCGTTGATAAACCGAAATATCAGAAGAATCTTAAATCCATGATAATTTACTTTAATCCCATTATATTGAATTATATTAAGAACAATGACGCGCAGGAAGACTGTTTGCGCGCCATAGAGGACGTCGCCAGCACGACCGATGAGCTGTTACCTTACACGCAACACCTGTTGCATCTGTTCTACGAACGCGACATACTATCGGAAGAGAAGATTTTACAGTGGTACGAATTTATTAGCGAGGAAAATGACGTGCAACACAACAAAGTGAGGGACGTTGTTCAGCCGTTCATTAAATGGCTAGAGGAAGCGGAAGAAGATTCTTCCGAAAGTGATGACGAATAGACGTACTTTCTGTTTGAGACTTTATATTGTAGAACAACGTGAAATGTAAGAGTGCAAATAACATAACATACTTATGAGTTTATTATGAAAACAGTAACCAAAACTCTGAGATCAACATTTTATTTTTCTATCAATCTCTTTCTCTCGCTCTTTTTCTTTCTTTCTCTCTCTCTCTCTCTTTCTCTATATAATTTATTTCTTTATAATACTTGAGTTTTGAGCAACGGCGAATAACGCGAATCAATAACACACGTCAGACACACCGTATGCAAGTGTGCGCGCATGTATATCGCGTGTCGATTGAACCCGCATAAGTCTGCGGTTAATCTTGACCTCCTTCCTGCTCAAAGTTATCATTCCATGGACGCGTCTATCTCTGCCAAATCGTGCCACGCCAAATGCCGACGATCCGGAAACTTGATCGCATCTATCCAGTGCCGCAATCGCGCACCTTTGCTACCGCAACCCAACATCAGACCACCTAAAAATTAAAGTTTCTTCTAATTTTTTATATATACGCACACTTCAAGTATATCGGTTTTACATTTATCACGGACTTTGTATCGGGTGATTACAAATGTTTATTACATAATTTTTAACACGAATTTATCAAGCAGTACCCAGATAGTCGTTACTCTTTCCGAAGTCCTTATCCCACACGGAGAGGCATAGAGTCAGCTTCATCAGCTCCGTCAGACGAGTCGCAAAAACGAACTCTTCGTTCCATTCTGGGGTCAGTGTCTTTCGCTTGATGCTCGTGACATGGGAGCAACGGCCGAGTTGCTTCTTTCCCGTGAGCTTCTTGGCAGTGGCGCGGGCGATCGAGTAGTCCAGGAACCGCTGCTGCCGGTGATTGTCGGTTGCGTCCTCGACGAGAGACAGTTTGACAAACGGGTCAGAAAATCCGTTGCTGTCCATGGGCAGAAGATTCGTAGCGCGATGCACTACGACTAATAGGGCACGTCGGCTTGTACAATAGCTCAGGCTTATCTGGATCCGTCCACGACCGCTTGAACATACGCCCCACGTTTCCTCCTCGTTGTCCACCTGCATCAGAACAATCGGTGAATTCCGTTTCGAAAATCGAAATTTTTCGTAAAACCTACGAGATATAAGAGATAATTTTTTTTTTTTTTTTTTAAGGCAAATTTTATGCTCAACGTACTGGAAAGTGTGCTTGTAGAGCAACTTTGTAATGTTTTGTTATGTACGGATGTAATTCGTATAGGTTGAATCTCGCCTCTCCTAGAAAATCCTGACCCGACGGATCGTCCTGAAGGATTAAGATGTGCAACGCCTTGCCAGACGAGATCTAGCACGAAAAATTTCTAACATGTATTTACGATCGATATTGATCGCAGATTGATATAATCTATATGTTACAATATATTGATATCTATGTATACGTCGGTTTCCGTCATCCCGTAGAAATTCACTGTCTCGTTGAACTCGGGATCGCGGGTCTTGTGCACCGTTTTCGTACGCAACCGTCGATTGGGCGCCCCTTTCTCGACGGGCAGTATGTTCAATTTGCAAAAGGGGTCGGCGAGGCCTTGGATGTCCATGGGTATTAAACGGCGCGCACGTTCCACCTTGCACTGGAGGCACTGATCTGCCGGGTCGTATCGCAAGGAGGCTTCGAGAATCCCATAATCTTGTCCTATTACTGCATTCGGACAAAACATTTCTCAATTTTAATACATCGAAATTTCTAAATTCAAGTTCTTCTAAATTACAAAAATGAGCTTATATAAAAGCTCGAACCTTGCTGATACTCCGGAGTTTTTGGCAATGTGATTTGGCTGTTGCCGCAAGTCCCACTGGACACACTGTTCTGGTCCGAGGAGGACTTGTTTGAATCTCGTTCTGCGTTGTTCCTTTCCAGTATCTTGCCCACAGTCTGAAATCGTTCGGAAACCGGCGTGGTCGGCGTCGTCGCCGCCGGTGAGGTCACTATCGTTGGTGTTTTCAGTCTGCGGAAGATTGCCCGCATGAGTTCAAACCTCCACCCCATTTGTCATTATTTTTACGTACCTGAGGGATTGTACCTGAGTGCCCTTGGATCGTTCTAGAGAACCGGAAGAATTCTTGCGGGGCTCGTTTGCATATTCCTCCTCATCGTCGTCGGCTTCGTTAGCTTTCTCGTCGTCCACGAAGATGTCTTCGAAGGACACGCGTCGCTCCACTTGCGAGTCGTTAGGGCTTTTGCTCGGACTTGTCTTTGAACGGAAGGTAGCAATCGATCCTGTGGGTGATAGTCTGCTGCATTGAGACGCAATCGACAGGCAAGACTTGTCCAATCGCTCGGAACTCATGTCCTCGCGATAGCCTGAGGGCGACAGACCGTTCGGTCTTCCTCTAGGACTCTTCGGCGAAGAAGCGGCGGTTCCGACGGGACTGGAAACTGTTAATTTGGTCGGGGTACCCTCACGAGTGATTGACAAATTTGTGGGCGAGACAGAATGGCCGCGTGTCATCGCGAGTCGTCTTGTCGCGTCATCGTCGGATGAGGAATCTTGAGCGTCAGTGGAATCGGCGGATTTACTTATCGTCCACGACGACGTTCTGTTGCTTGGTCGACACCATCCGCGCTCCTAAGTAAAAAGATTTTGGATTATATTATGTTGACAAAAAAAAAATAAGATCTGAAGAAAATTAGTTATTGGTCTTGAAAAATTGACTACAGAGTCACAAGCAATATTTTTCTTTAATAACGACACAAAAACGTAATGGAAATAAAGCGAAACGTATTAATATAGCGTGTATCAAAAACAGAGAGATGGAAGAAATAATGAGATGTATGTATGTCAACACATCATGGCGGAAACTCTCAACTGCCACGTGCCGGAACATTATTCGATTTCTGCCGCGGCAAATGTAGGTATGTATTGTCGTTATAGTGTGTTCCAATATCCTGATTACATCAGCAACGGCAACATGTATGATGACTATTTCATTTAATGGACACACTCTTGCTAATTCTAGATCGTTCCTAATTGATCGAATCAGTTTTAGGTCAGGCTCGGCGTTTCGAATCTAGATCAGTGTTAATAAATGAATCAAAACGCGAAGAGCTTAATTTGATTGCTCCACATATATAGCTATTTTCTTCCATATCTCAAATCTCGAATTTCCGAAGTCAAAAGATGTTTTAAAAAAAGAGATAATATTTTTAGAACAAATTTAACACAACACACAAATTTCATTTCACATAGTACCAAACTAGCAAAGATTTATTCGATAAATGTGACCCAATATGTTGCGAAATGTATTTTTATTTACTTAAACGTGTATTTAATTAAAATTGAATTCAATTCAAATTATTATTATGCGTATCAATTTACACATAATAATTATTGCGTGTAAATTAATTTACACGTTTAAATAAATAAAAAATATATATTTCGCACGAACATCTAATACATTGGTTCACAGTGACCGAATAAATCTTTGCTGATATTTTTTTAAATAAGAGAGGCTATTATTTTTTAAATCCTAATTCTCGAATACAAACTAAAAAAAATAGAAATTTAAAGAAAGATCGGAACCTTTTCTTTAAATTTCTTCTCTTGCTCGTACACGTTTCTTCGCGTACCTTTTTCTCCGGTAAAATATACTTGGGCATGCTCTTGAAGAACCAGGCGCCGCTTTTCTTCCACATTTCTCTGGTCTCGGCGCAGATGCGACAGAGGAATTGCCTCTGCGCGTTGCTGTGGGATCGTTGAACGATTCTCTGAACGGTCGTTCGTTCCTGAGCAAGATTCACGACGCGCAATGAGCCGCGCGACGAGGAAGTTGGTTCGTTTCCGTCGCTGTTTCCTCCGTTTCTCGGCGGATTAGGTCTCGTAATTTCCATGCCGCACTTCTGACAGATGTACTTGCGACAGTCCTTGCAGAGATACGCGCTCGCCTTCAGCACACCGAATTTCTCGCCGCAGAGCGCGCACGAACAGACGCAGCGCGCACCGCCGGAACATCGACTTCCGCAACCGCGTCTCTCGTTCGACCTGGTCGACGTCACGATGCACACGTTTCTCTTCATATTTTCCAGTCTCTCGACCAGTCGGCCAACTCGTTCCTGCTCCGACAGATCCAGAGCTTCGGCTCTTTGTATTACCTGCGGAAATATCAGCTTAAAACGAAAACGCTCTAATTTTCAAGAATCGATCGGAAAAGATCTGGCGATGCGATAATTGTCAACGATAATTTGCCACGTGGGCGCGCAAAACTTTTTGAAGAAAAACATAATAAAAGAAAGAATAAGGAAAAAGAAGAGAATAAATTAAGTTTTTGCATTCGGCGTCAATATTTTCGTCGTTATTCGAATCGAAAAAGATCCAGTGATGCGATGACAATTGTCATGTGGAAACACATATAAAATTTTTGAAGGGAAAAAATAATAAAAGAAAGTAAGAATAAGAAAAAAAGAAAATTTATTCCTTCTATAAAAGAATAAATCGAGTTTTTTATCTTCGGCGTCAATATTCTCGTCGTTATTCGTTATATTTATTCAAGTTGAAAACAAACGAATTATCGGGATATGGCAAATCAAACTCTTCAATTTTCTCCGTTACGTCAATCATTTGTTCCTATTGTTGTGAGAATAAATCCATAATTCTAGAAACCCAGATATCTAGAAATAATATTACACTTCTCAGTTTCTGCTTGAAACCGAGGCAATCAACCAACCTGGTTTTGCGGTTTCAAGATAGAAAAAATAACAGTTGCTTATATTCAGACGGGGGAAAGAAGGGGTGGGGAAGCGCGATTATATATTGTCACTTACAACGAGATGAGAGAAAAAAGCTTTTAAATAATTCAGTGTCGCCAATTTGGAAGGAGAGAAAGAAAAAAAAGGGGTCTCTTTAAATATGAAATATGCTTTGCGTGTCCTTTCGTTGTTAAATATGGATCTAGATATATTCGGACAATATCTTCGTCCCCTTTCGCTTTATTTTCGTTGAAAGAATAATATGTTAATTTTATTATTGAAACACGTAAGAAAAAAAAAAAAGAAAGAGTTCAATATCCTTCCGTCTCATAATTAACTTTGTGCTGAAGTAATCAAAACTTTGTTAGAAAAAAGTGTGTCGTCTTGGTCTAACAAAGTTTACCTGAATAATAGTTTGTCGTTCGTCTTCACTGAGCAAGAAAGATTGTCTGCATCGATTGGAACCGCTTGTGTAGGAATTTGGGTAGTTTCCCCACCCATGGGACTCGAAAGATCCTGCTTTTACGGACCATCCTGTCCGCAATCTGTACATGAAAATTCGATTTTATTGCCGACACGTATCAAAGTTTTTACAACATTTTTATAACAATTTATTGTACATACATATATAAGCTAATGTACAAGTATGAATTCAATAATGACAACGAATGTAAAAAATTGATATTAGAATTGAAGACTACAGGAAAAGAACTTGATAAGTCAATTTTTTTTCTTTTTTTGATGTCATTTGATAATTAAAATAGAATATTTTAATTATCCAAAGCTAGAGAGAGAAATTCTCGATTATTTCGAGATATAAGCATTTTTATAAAACGTCTAACAGACACACGTACAATATTTTCGAAAATGACAAAAATCGCTCTCTTCTAAAATTACGAAAATGTCACTTATCAAGTTTTTCTTCTGCGGTCTTCAATTGTAAGCGATCTTTAAAATAAAATGTTTATTTGGCAAATTAAAAGTTAGATTAATCTCGACGTGGATGGGAAAGTTTGTGTCATTACTCAATTATTAACACGACGGTTTTTTTGCTTTCGCTGAAAGTATTACTGTGATGTTTGTTTTCACTGAAAATACATTTTTAAAGGGCATAACTCACTTTGCGCGCAATGCCAATTGCCGGTCGTTTGGACAAACCCATCTGCCACCGCCTCGTGTTATTGGTTCGTCCATTCCGCTGGTGAATTATTTTACTTGTGACACACTGTTTGCTCCGCGCCCGGAATCAGCAGCCCGTCTGCAACATCAATAACGTCATGTGCATTCGACAAAAATGTACATATGAAAGTTTTCACGTATATGTCTCTTTATTTACTGTGTCCAAAAAATACGCACGCTCGTGTTTACACCATTCGCTTTTATTTAACAAGAGACCAGATTCCGAGATTTGATATATATTTTACGTAAGAGTTAAAATGAAATTACGAATTTTAACGAACAGAATTGAGTTTATCGTGAACTTTAATCACGCACACGCCGATCTTTAATCTGACAGCGATATTTGTAGAAAAAGCACCGCGGCAACCGCGGAAGCCGCATGAAGACATTCTCTCCGAGAGAGAGTAGATTGTGGAGCAGCACTTAACGGGTTCCTCTCTAGGACATTAATTGTTTCTTCTTCAAATTCAATTTAAAATTCGATTAAGATCACGCTACCAACAATGAGCAAATTGGACGTGTACATTTCCTAAATATTTTCCTTTTATTTTAGCACTCGCTTGAATCGCTCATTATCGCGCGCGTTTATTTCTCTTACAAGGGCATCACATAAGAATAAAAGTGATTTATTAAATTCTTTTAACGTCTTTTATTAAATTATTTTTTAACGTCTCTCTTGTCGCTGTGTAAACGCGATCTGTAACAACGCCGACTTAATAAATCACGAACTCATAAAGAATATTGCGAAAGGATTTACAAAAAAAAAGTTACTGAATAGAAAAAGAGTCTCTCTATCTGTTCTTTGAAGAACAAGAGAATTTTTCTTCTTTGAGGAAAGAGAAACTTCTTCTGTGGAAAATTTCTTAATTTAAACTTTTCTCTTCTTCTCTCTTTCAATGATAAACCTATCAGCTGATATGAAGAAAGAAAGAAAAAAACAATAAATGGATTCTGTACGCAAGTCACGCGTACCGCGGCGTGGAAACTTCTAATGAAATAAATTCGATAATAGTTTTCGCTAATCATTTTCTTCACCAGAGACATTTTCGCAATCAAAGAAATATGTCCACGCGCATTGTAATGTTTTGGCCCAACTCGGCAGAACGTTCTTCTGTCATTTTCGAATATTATAACGTGGCCAGCTCTGTGCTCCGAGCGCGTCATATCGTGACGTGTGCACGTATGCGTATATCGCGAATTATTATCTCTTGCCCAGTCTGGGGGATATATCAGTTGTGAAGGATTTTTCTCTCCCAAAGCGTGGGAGCCGACGCTACCCACGCCGCTTCTCGTTTTCTCTTATTTATTTTTCCCCGCTTGCGATAGACGTAATTCTTGTGTTTTTACCGAGAGCCTCGGAAAATTAGAAATATTCGAGAAACTGTGTGCGACGAGAACGCAAACGCGCACCCGCTTTGAATCGCACACACAGGAAATCTGATATCAACAACCACAAACGCGCGCCTTCACTTACAACGCGATATTACTTCGACGATAATGAGTTTCAAAACGCGAAGCTATTATAAATTGTTGCATGCACTCGCTGGATTTGAGACGAAGAACAAAAAAAAAAAAAAATTGCGATATAAATGTCCGCTCGACGGAGAAGTAAAATACGATACATTTTCAATATCCATTCGGAAAAATTGGAACAATCAGAGAAAAAAAACCATCTATATGTACATTTTGACGTGATCGGAAAATGTTTTTTATAATCCTAGAAAAACAATTTTATATGTGAAATATTCCGTTCGCGAAAGATTTGCAACAGATTGCAAATGTCATCTCTATTGATTTATGTAGCTACAATATTTATTCGCCTAACGGCTCATATATTGCAATGTGTTGCGTTATATTGGCGCATCTCGGCGAGATATTATCTCGTATACGAGAAAACCGCGCGCGGTCGCGTTGTCGGGGTATATATGAAAAATTTACGTGAAAACGGAAACAGCGTAGTATCCCATTCAAGTGTCGTCCAAGAGAAAAATGTTTCGCGAACTACGTGTCTTCAACTTATGAAGTTGCGTCAAATCAATATATCATGGTTATCCCTGCAACACACACATATACACAGGTGTGAGATAACTCAAATATACAGCCGTAACGAAAACTTTTTTAAGTGACTTTTATCATGACACATCAGTCTGGTTTTTCTGTAATGCTACATCCTTGCTAATAAAAACACTCCGACTTAACACGTCGCTCAAGAATAAAGTTGTTACGTCATTTACATAAATATGTGTGTCATGTCAAAGCTGTCTACGCATATGGTTAATGAATTTCAAAAGTACACATCCTTGAACATTCGGGGTTGAACACAGCTTTTACGTATGTTTTACTCGGATTACATTTTCGCAGTAGATAACCTGTTTTTTTTTTGTCATTGAAAACAATATTTTATCTGTTTTTCTCTGAATAAAATAAAATATCGAGTGTGAAAAACATCACATTAAAAACATAAATATATATATAAGCTTGTATAAGTTATAAGTCGGACTCGGTGAAAAATAGATAAGTCATATGTTGGATGTAGCGATGTGATCATCGCTGTTCTCAAAACTATGATTTACGAGATATTTCGTCGTCATTTTGTAATATTTTTTAATTTAATTTTCAAGAGAAAACTATATGATCTTCGAAAAGAATCGAACACCTCAGTCTTTTGTCGTTTTTTTCTCGCAAAGTTAGACTGTTTTTGACATAAATGTTTGAAGAAAAAATTTAATTACAATTATTAAAATTTAATTACAATTATTATATACAACAACTTGTATGTACAAGAGAAAAGAGCAAGAATTCGCGGAATTTTCACGTAAGTGGAAGTCCGCCACGTTCTTACACGTCAACAATTTCGCAAGAGGAAGGAGAGACAAGTTTCCCCCAGAAAATGCGATGAATTCCGCCGTGCCGTCTTGCTATCTGCTGCCATTGTTCATCGCGCGCGCGGACTCGCTATCACATGGTTCACCGCTGTAAAGGGAACAAAGGAACTTTCAAACGAAAGTGGCTATATTTGCCCCGCAGAATCGATACTCCCATGATGCATACACCTTGCACAGAGCTCTCCAAAGCTCTTTCACACTTTTCTTATTGCGATAGCGCCGTGTGTACGTCGACGCGCGCGGCTTCGAGCGCGTATATACGGCATTAAAAAAAAGGAACAAAGCCGCGCTTTGAAAATACAGTATACGAGAAGAGAGCTGTTGCTTTCCTTACGCGATACCTCGGCACGCGGGTGAGAAAGGAACAAAAAGGACACACGGGAAGAGAGAAACGTACAGTATTGAAGTCCGATATGGGCCATGAAAAAACGGAGTTATTTGTTTTCTCCGACTCTTTACGACGGATTCTTATCCCCGATTCTATTCTTCTTGGCCGATGTCTCGTGCCGCGTAGCAGATTAGCGGACCGGCGGTCCGTGAATAAAATAAAAAAAAAGAAGAAACTCAAATCGAAGACGCGGGTACGCGTTACGTCAACGTTGACGATCCGATCGATGATACGCTTGTGACGCGTATATCAACATCGTACGTGCATGTACGTACGATGTTGTTGCCCGTTTTATATCAAAAGCGCGTATATAAAGCTATGCGTCGGCTTATTAATATAACGAAAACACATCCCCGATGTCTCCCTCCCGTAACTCACCATACTCCGTTATGCATACAGACAAGCTTCGTAATTAAGTCATTTAATCCGCTTGATTACACCGCGTGCATTGATTACGCGTTGGTTCATGTAGACTACACGATATGCGTGTCTTATCGCGCGGCGCGACCCTCTTTTTTTCAGACGTCCACCGAAATCCTCGTCAATCTGGCGTTTATGTAGGCGCCGATAATAAAAAAAAGCACAGGTGCAAGTATGCTCTCAACGTTTATCGATAACGTATCACCGATAGACAGAACAGAAAAATAACGAGAAACAATATTCCATATGTCCAAACAGGCGAGCGGATAATGCTCGCAGTTTTTTTTTTGCATTTAAACGCTAATGGAAGAAATTGCACATTTTATCTGAGAATTGTTACCCCGAGAAGAATACGCGAGAGATTTGCGTGAAGACCAGAAGAATTTAACGCGACTGAAAAAAAAAAAAAAAAAAAACAAGCGTAAAAAACTTTGTACTTGTTCAATCGATCGTTAAAATGTATATAATTGCTCGAACAATGAGAGAGAGAGAGAGAGAGAGAGAGAGGGAGAGAAAAGTAAAACTACACGAACTCACGTCATAATCCGGCGCTTGCAACAGGCTGCAGCTGAAGCGCGCGCGCGGACGCGCGCGTGCGGTCAATTGCTCTTCGTCAATTAACCGTCGCGCTAATTAACGCGCTCCGTGAATGCCACGCTTTCGTTATTGCCCCGCAGTTGGCTTGAACTCCGGTCGTTCGCACAGCCGTAGTCTTTTTGTTTAGTTCCACACGCTTGTGTGTCTCGCCGGAGCAAGTGTGTCGCGCTGCCGAAAGCACGAGCCCACCGCCGACAAGCGGATGCTGCTCACTGGTCGGCTTTGGCTGTCGCTGGTGCGTGATCGCGACTACGTCAGAAACCGACTGGCGCGCGCGACTCCACTTNGTGGCGGCGACGGCGGCGGCGACAACAGCAGCAGCGGCAAGCGGAAGCAGGGATACGCGCGGGGATGGCGGAAGGGTGGAACGTTGGTTGGCTGGGTAGAGAAGGGTGCGAGAGCTCTCTTCTCGCTCGCGCAGGGATGTATCAGGCCTGTGTTCAAGAGAGAAGCGATACACGAGCGAGGAATGGGCGGAAAGTGAGACGGGAGACGACCGGGTGAAGGGCGTATGTAGGAGCGACGCGAGACTGGGAGAAAGAGAGGGCTAATAAAAGAGAGAAGTGGTCGTCGAGCGCAACAGGCGCGGACGTAAAGATAAAACCGTGTGTACAACGGAAGCGCATATATGCGCCTGCCTCCTTGTCGTCGCCATCCTTGTCGGCAGTTCTCTGCAATAAACTGGAACTATCCTCGCGCACTTGCTGACTTCACGGCGTACTTATCAGCCGTGACTAAGATAATCGTGCAAATTAAACGACTAGTGGCGCACTAGAAGTAGGACATATCACGTTGAATACGGAGCGCGACCGCCGCTCCTTATACATGGGTTTTAAATTTGCAAAATGTCACGGAACGCGCGCACGCGTTTTTCATCATCGTTCTGAAAGTATAGCATCGTAAGAAAAGATCGTTCAATTTTCTGTCAGATCATCGTCGTCGCTTTTTATCGATCGGCGCGTTTCAAATTGTCAGTATTTTTTTTATAAATAGAACGCGTGTTATGTTGTGTGACACTACGGAATTCATTATCGGTACTCGATGATTACACAATGATCGATCTCTTTTCGTCGCGCGCGCTTTGTGTCGCAATGAATTTTATCTCCAACCTGTTGAGTTCGAATTTCTCTCTCTTTCTCTCTCTCTCTCTCTCTCTCTCTCTCTCTCTCTCTCTTTGTGTGTGCGAATCCTTGTGGAATTTCGTAGAAATTGGCACAATTGTGTTTGAAACGAATATGCGGGAATAAAATGCAAATTCGATTTCCCCTCCGTTGCATTACGCGCATTTAAGTGTGAACTTTCCGATTGCGGGACACGTTTGCAAACGACACGCCGCGCACGCAAACGATTGAGGCAAACAGGTGGCCTTGTGCTATATCGTAGTTATTGATGTGTCTCACTTTGCAATCGCTACTATAATCTGGACCCAGCGCGGAAGGTCGATGATCAGGAAAAGCCTAACACACTCTCTATCGCTCGCAAAACGCACGTACACACACACACACACACACACACACACGAGCGCGCGCGCACGCATGATTCTAGGTCACGCAGCAAAAATTTTACGCATCGTCGAGTAGGCATGCGCCAATTTTGCCACGTGCCCATATCCACGTCCTTGTTATTATCGTAGATACTCTCCTCATTCTGAGAAGAGAAAAAAATTTTTACCGGTACCGTATTCGTCCCAAGAGACAATAGCACATAATATAAGAGAACGTTTGAGGGGGATGAAGAATAGATTGCGATGCTGTCAATATATAGTCCGATATAAATCCGAAGAAAGATGGATTATTTATTTATCCATAATGGATTAGCTGTTTATATATTTTTTATTGACAAAGATGGACCAAATTATTTATTTTCTGACCCACTTTCTTTTATATACTCGGAGTGATACTTTTCCACAGCACATAATACAAAAAATAAAACTAAAAAACAAGATACCACCGCCATCTGTGGAATGTCGGCGTATTTGGTCTGTTTATACTTATTCAAAAAAAAATAAAACATTTCTGAATACAGTATCTAATTTTTCAGAAATTCAATGTTTAGGAATAAAAAACAAATAAAAGACACAGTTTTGTAAGGATTCTCGAAAACTAGAAGTCGAGCGATGGATCAGTTAAATAAGGTTTACTCTCTCACACAAACGAGAGTTTTAGTTCGATTTTAAAAAGTTATTAGATAATCTCTAGAAGTACTCGTAAACAAATCACGCGGTTTTGTAGCTGAACTATAATCTACTGCTGAAAATGTAGAATTTGACATTTGAATGAATTGTCATCTTACGATGGCATAAAAGTTTTCTTCCATATCATACTTGGAATTTGACTTTTATCGACAACGTAGCTCTCTCTTTTTAATTATCATTTGATATAGTTATGAATATATGTTATTTTGAAATGTCACATAGAAGTTTTTTAAGATTTTTAATAATTAGAGTGCGCTTTTTTTATCGTTTAAGTTTTGTTTTTTTTTTTCTGTCAAAAGTTAGAGAAAACATTAACGAAATAATAATAATAACAACGCGGAATTATATACGCGCGCGGAAGAATTGATTTCCTCTAATATTTATTGCCGAGAACTTGCACAAAAATGGGTCTGGAGTTTGGCAACTTACCAATTCGGATTCGACGAATTTTGTATTACGGTTTATCACCCGCGGAGCAACGAGCCTGGGCGAAATCGGTATCTCACGGAATACCGAATCTCGTGGATAGAACACTGCGTGTACTTCCAACGATGCTTCCAGGTGTGTATATTTATACGCGATTTATTTTAATCATTCTATATCAGCGAACAGCTTTATTTCTAGAAAATCGCAAGTGTATCCGAAATTCAAATTGATATCAAAAACTATCATTCGCTTACCGTAGGTTATAATAGTCGAAATTTTATACGTATAGAAATTAATCAAAATACAAAAACTATCGATGTAACAACAATATACGTTGTTGAAAAATGTCACACCAATGTACCCGTGGCAATTAATCTTTATTTTGGCTTTACAAAAACTGTTTTATAAACGATATTTTTTATATCGATTTTAAATCAAGAAGATTAATGGTATCAGGTTTGCGCAACTTTCAATATTTTGTTTTGTTTTTCGCGTCGTCTAAAGATGAAAAGATTTTAGTCATCAATTGGTTTAGAATGGACGGGTTTTAGTAACAAATAATGTTGAAAGCTTAGTGAGATTATTCAATGTAAAACAAAATTTGCTATTTTAAAATATTGACTACATTTGCTATTTCACATACGCAAATATAACAATTCTCTTTATTTTAGTCTTTTTTTTTAAATACTCTTTGATATATATATATATATATATCACTATTTTAGTAAATATTGTTTTTTTACTCTATGAAAAGAAAGATGAACTTTTTATGACGCGCTTTAAAATGAATTGAAGCTAGTGCATATGTAAAACATTACTTTCTCATTTTCTTTTCATACAAGTTTATTTTCTTTTCATTCATGTTTCGACAATTTAAATAGTAGTGTAATTTGTATCTAATGCTAGAGATTCGTAGAGATTCTATTTTATTTGATAGTGTTTTCTTCTCTTGTTACAATTATTCTTAATTTCCCGGTTTAGCTTTTATAATATCGGCTGCGGCGTACAAATGGTCGATTGCGGAACATTATCGATGTCACCGCAAGAATCCTAAATTATACGAACATGACAAATGAAGGTGAATCGAGCTGTTTTTAATTTCCATTCTATTATTTCTAATTTGTCCAAAGAAAACTCAATAAAACTTAAAATTATAAAAATTTATCTATACAATGTGTACGTATTTATGTAGAATAAAATAAAAAATACATGAAAAAAAGTTTTTTTATTATATGGCCAGCGAGAAAAATTTAGTGAGTCTACTGAATTTTTGGTTTTATCAACAACGTTTTGTTGACAAAACAAAGATCTCAATAAGCTTAGCAAATTTTTGTCGACCGTTTATTCATTTTTTGCTATTCTAGCAAATCTTTTTTTCCGTGTATTACTATTCCTTCGTGGTCAGACTGTAAAAATGACGACGAGTTAGTCAGACCGGGTCTGTGAGACCAACGCGACTTTGTGAGATCAAATATCTCCGCGAAAAATCAATATATTTTTCAATTTCTTTTTTTTGTTTTTAATTAAAAGTTTGAACACTTCTGCATCGATCAAAAACAAATTGAAAAGATCTCTAGTAGTTTTGAAGATATAAGCGTTTAAAAAAACTAATTTGTTCTAGAAATACCGATGAGCAATTTCTGAGTGGGTGTGGTACATCCACATCTGACTACGAAGGGTTATATAAAGAGAGATTACTTCTCATAAAGGAAATATATATTTATTCATATTTTTTTCAATAAATTATATGTAACAGATATATTAATCTTCATTTCTATCATATCAATTGTAAGCCGCAAGTACTGTAACGACAACAAAAACTTAATAGTCTAACGCACATATCATTGCCACTCCTCTTTTTATCCAATGCGACTGCGGCTTGTTAGACGGAATCTCCGCTGCTAAAACAAAGTTCGTAGAACGTCCCGTTGTGCTCAGAGTACCGGAGCGTTTGAGGGTTTTGTACACGGGACAAATGTAGATTCCATGCCCGAGAATTATACGGTCCACTTCCGGCAAAAGGAGAATCGGCGGCATCTCTAAACAAGAAACGAGCAATATATTCACTGTTATATATAAACGAGACCGCAGCTGCTGAATACACCTATAATTTGCCGAATAAGCTCTTCGGAGCGTGGCTCTATTTATTTCGAAAATTTATTACTTTGATACTATCTATTGTTCTAAGAGGATATATTTTAATTGCAATATATGTCGATACTTAACCGGTGAATAATTCTTTCGGTAAAGATTCTGTTAAATTATTTCTGTTCCACCGACAACCTTCCAGAAAGAGACCGTAAACAACACAACCGTCTGATGGTCTCTTGCGTCGGTTTGGAAGATAAAACCTGTGACAACCGTTGCATGATATATTTCAATATATTTTATAAAAATATATAATATAATAAAATATATAATTGTGTAATATAATAAAAATATATAATTTGGTCTTTTAAAAAACTATTATCATTATTATTTAATAATACTCAAATTAAGTTATAGACATTTATCTAATGATGATCAATTTAAACGATAAAATTATAATATATATGCGAGATAATTATTTCTGTGTAGAAGACTGACCGTAAAAAAAAAAAAACCATAGGGTAAATGGGGGTATTATGACCATACGGAAAAGATAGCCATAGACTGGCCATCAGAATTTCACCAATAATTGTTTAATAGTGCATTTTTGTAGCCATTCTTAAAGATAATCAGTATTTACAGTAGTTTATGTGCGTACACTATTTAAAATAACAATATTGTGAAAATTATATAATATTTTTACTTTCGATAGTTATTATTACTTTAAGCTTCAGTGAAGTGAAATAAAACAACAATATTATACAAAATAACAAAAATAAAGGTCTGGTTTTTGCATTTAAAGAAAACTATGGCCATCTTACCCGGGTTTACTCTATATATTATATTGATCTTGTCAATTTAATGCAAATAGATCAAAATATTGAAACTTTTCTAATCTATCTTCTCTTCATGTGGTTCTTGTATGCTGCGCGTTAACCCACATACGGCTATTAATCGATTAATTAAAGGTTGAGAGAGCGTACCTTGTAACTGAAATCTATTGTGTCAATGGATATTACGTGTTTGCGCGCGAAGTTTTGCAACGTGTCAGTTAGGAAAGCTTGAGGAAAGTAAAATCCTGACATCCAAAATGCCGGCGCGGTACACCTTGATCTCGCCAGTCGCTTATAAACTTGATTCATTCCTTTAGATCGTGGAACCAAGAAGCTAATCAAAGTAAAAACATATTTGTTACTACATAATATCTGGTTTAAGCGAAGAATAATACAGATGGAAATAATACAACGATATAAATTTGCGGATATAATTATGTATACCCAACGATTTTAAAGAAGGATAACTTTTGCTTTGACAGTCTGAGGGCACTTTGTTGTGAAACAGACTAGTAGCCATTAGTTCCAGCTGTTCCGAGATGACGACGAAGCCTTTTAAGGCTTTCGAAAGATCTTGCAATGTTGATTGCACGATTTCGAGTAAGTCATTGTACTACGTCGCGCCTCTTGTAATAACACAGTATTAAGAGATTTTTCGTACGAAATGGGATATCTGAAATTCAATCAATGTCTTTAAAGGTTTTCGTGAATTATTATTATTTTCGTCCACCGTATTTGAGATTTACTCTTTTCTCCCTCTTGTAAATATAAAAATGTTTTAATATTTATTTTTCTCTATGAACGACATTATCCTAAAATTGTTTAGAAAATAAATAAGGGTGAAAGGAAGAGAAGAGTGAATGACGTACTGACGGAAAAGAAAGTCCAAGATTTAGGTGTGTATATAACATATTGTGTGTGTAATTAACAATAAGTAGGATTAGATTAGTTGATAAGTTATATAGAGTTTAAGTTGCGAAATTAGTTCCTAAGTTAGTACAAGGTAGCGTTAAGTTAGTATATTAAGTTATTATAAGAGTGTTGTGTGAGAGTTGTGTTTTTGGAAAATTTTGTACAAAACTCCTAAAAAGAGATCAGCAAAATATGTATTTATCTACTAAGAAGCATTTTATTACATATCACATAGCGAAATTGCGGAAATAACCTTTTTATTTTCACAATAAATAAATAACGCGTTAAAGAAGTGTACAAAAGATAGAAACAATATGTTTGAAACATCGCCGAAGAGAGATATTACAATGGCAATACCTCATCTGCATTGCGAGCAAGTCAAACGGTTTGAGCATCTCGGCCAGCATGTCGTTAGTTATTCGAAATTTCACTTCCTCGATACTTGCGGCTGCGACACCGACTTCTCTCGGTTGCATATTTAATAGAGCGGTGAGGCAAGAGTATGTTTCTGCTTGCGCGTAGCTTATGTCGGCGTTTGAATGCATGCCAAACAGTGACGGATCGTCATTCAAAGGCAAATCCTTTACGTACTCGAGATAATCGTTATATGACGCCGCGCCCGATAACTTGATATGGGAAAATACAACGTGACACAAAAGCGCGATTGATAATACAGTCTAAGGCTCTTTACTTAATTTTTTTTTTCTACAATTATAAATTTGCAGAAGAGATAAATAGTCAAAAAATATAAATTTGAACGCGCGTTTATCCTAACCTGACGGTAAATGCCTTGTTGATCGAACCGATAGTTTGGGGTGTTATACCCGACATTGGTGTTATAGTAATCTTCGATAAGTGTGAGGACACATCGGCGATCCCACTCATCTGTTATTCTTCCATCGCAGTTTATATGCCCAGCGGTATATTTGAAAACCTGTTCAAACACACACACACACACACACACACACACACAAACAATAATCGTAATTTGAAAATCAATAATTCTCTTTGTTTATTCGACGTGCAAATCGAGTTCGTGTAAAAATAACAAATCGCGTAAACGAGACGTTTCTAGTTTCTATTACATTATTATACTTTGAACACATATCCTTTGACAAATATATTACGCGACAAAATAGTCAAATGTGACTTTAAAAGTCAATATATCACAATATTGCAAAATATGTGTAATTGCGTCATTCGATCGCTGCAATATATATATATATATATTGACGACTTTCTATCTTTGGACATTGCGGGTTTTCCGCAATACGCTGTTGCAAAATTCTGAATGAGAAATTGTTGCAACATTGACGCTTTGATCCATTTCGTGTTTGTCATCGATATACCTTAAATGATAAAGCGTCGTATTCCATGAGAAACATATACAACTGCGACATGCATATTGCCAAATCCCCGTTTGTAAACTCGTAGGATATATTGAAACCAAGAGGACCGAATTTCCGTCTCTCGAGCAAGATCGAGTGAAATATGCAAAGTGAGAATATAAGCCACTTGAGCGTCAATGCTTTCGGGCGGTCGGATTGCAAAAACTCTTGCATTTCCGTTACTTGCGTCAAATATGCACGTAACATGTTAGCCTGCGTCAAAATAAAAAAAGGAACGAAGTGGAAATACAATGTAAGCACATTTTTATTCACTTTTTTGTTATATGTGTGAATTTTTTAAGTTTAAAGTTTACAAATATAGCAAGAACGTTCTTTCGATTGCATATTGTTTAAATAATGACAAAAAGAGCCGATAGCAAAATCCGAACGCGATTTTGGCGATCTTGCAAATATTCATAAATGTCGTTTAAATAAACATAAAACAGAAACACGAAATGCGTAAAATGCGTGTCATACTTTTACACCCCTCGGTGGTTCCACTGTCATTTTGTTGCAGTTTTGAAGAATGCTGGCAGGAAAATCGGGCGACGGAGCGGATGTCAATCACAATCGGAAATCAGAATGCGTGTCCTTTGGCGATAAGGTTTCGATGAGAGATTCGAGTTTCGGCATCCAGCTTGGTGCCAAATGACAATTCTATAAAAGGGAAACAAAAAAGAAGATAACATGTAAAAAAGCGGCAAAAAATATCGATAACGAACAATTTTCGAATGATATTTGACGCTTTTGTATTACGTCACACAAACATTTTTATGCGTGAGTTTGGAGTCGCGTTTGTCTCATACGGCGACGTTTCATGAATTAAATAAAAGAAAACGAATAATAACTATTTATAATGTAACACATACACACACATTAAAATATAAATAAATATGACATAATTTCTAACTT